AAGATTATGTTTATCATTAGGGTCATATAATGCAAATTCAAGAACTATCATCATATCTCTTCTAATTATTAGAGATTAGATTTACTCTAACACTTATCATTTTATTTTTCTATATTTACTATAAACCTCAAAGAATTCTTAGAATCCTATTTCTATCACACACAAAATAAACCTTAAATTTAAGATTTATCAATTGATAATTTGGTGAAAAACACTCTTTGAATAATTGTTATGTTTTTGAACTATGTAAATTACGGTGCATTTTAAAATTATTTTTTTTCAAAATATATTTACTTACAATTTTATAATTTTATGTCACTCTTCAGTGAAATAATATATTCATATAAATTCAAAACTTTCTATCTTTATAAAATTGATTTACATTAATCACATATATATATATATATTTATTTATTTAGTCATTGCATTATACAAAATTTTGAATACATTGCATTGAACTATAATTTTAAAATACTTCAATAATTACCTAAAATTAAAACATAAACAAAACATTATATTATCGCCTCATTCAGAATTTAAAATCCTTCGAACACTTAAAAAACTATTTGAGATACCAAATGAATGCAACGACGACAAACCCTACTTCATAATTGGATATTTTTCAATAATATTTTTAATTACGCCTAATTTTGATGTATATATGTGTGAACTAAATTTTAAAGAGATAGTGAAATAAGAAAAGAAAGACGAAAAGTAGGGTATAGTGAAAGTATGGATATGACAAAATTATAAAGCAAAGGATAAATTGCAAAAGTTTCAACTTTTAATAGTTTCTTTGTATTACTATAAAATTAGCTTTAAAGAGTTTCGCTGTTAAATTATTATAATATTTATTTACGCGGTTTTTAAATTAAAGTTTTTACCCTTATATATGTATTTTCAAATTTCCTTTCACCTCACACAATCACGGTATATTTGTCATAATAAAGAAACAGAGTATAATCAAAGAATTAATTTTAAAATCTACAATTTTCAGCTATTGAATACATAATTTTTAATCTAATAGTAATGAGATAATAAAATTTAAATTAAGAATATTGTTGAATCAAAGAAGCAATTTATTGAAAAATTATATAAATATGTTATATATATTTTTAAATTTTGGGATAATAAAAAATTAATTAAATATATATATTTGTGATGTGATTTTTTTTTTTTTGAAATTATATTATTAAACATATGTGAATAGATCTATTATTATAATTAACCTATATAATATTATTCAATATGGTTTTAGTTTTATTTTTATTTTTCTTTCAATATAGGATTCATAACATCTCTCTCTATCTCTCTCTCTATATATATATTGTGACACGAACTTAATGATGAATGATTATAAGAAGGCACTTTCGGAAAAGCAAATTAAAGATTCGATAACTCTGTCATAAGAGTGTGTGGTTTTGTTGTCTGTGCATTTCATTGTCGAATTAAAAATTAAATAAATGCATTTTTTTTATCATCCCAATGGATATATATATATATATAAATTAAAATTAATTAAACAAACAAAAAATTAAAGCAAAGGCCCCATGAAGAATTGAATAGAATAGAATAGAATAGAATTTCCAATCCAAACAAGGCTCCTCCTCGATCTTAATTAATTTATTTGTTGAATAAACATACTAAACTAATCATGAAAACCGACTAAACTTTTCCCTACACTATACACACTTCGACTATTATATATATTTTTTATGCACAAAAATTGACAAAGGGCCAATTCTTTTTTTTTTTTCCTCGTAATTAATTAAATTATTGAATTTCTTGAAATATATATATATATATATTTATATATAAAACTTTGTAAGGCCGTGCATGGATTCTCACAGTGCTGTGCTTTCACCCTCAACTCAAATCTTTTTTATTTTTATTTATTATATATATATTTTGAGGATTTCATAAAAGACACAGTAATTGGATTGATGTAAGAATCCAAGGCATGACTCACTCATCTCTACTTTCAAATTCTTACACATGTATGTATAGTATATATATATATGTATATATCAATTGTATACTTGATAGGCTCTTTCTTTCATGAAAGACATATTTCCTAATTCATACACACATATGCATCGATTCTTTTATTTATTTAGTTATTTTTAGTTTATTGCACATGCATTTTCTGACAGCTTCTATATTGTGCATAAATTGAAGTTTTTAGAGTTTTGTAGTATCGAAGAATTTTAAAAATGATTAAATATATATATATATATACATATATATAGTGCATAAAAGTTTTAAGGGTATTTGATTTAAAAAGTTTAAGAAATATAGTAAATTATCATATTGTACATAGATTGAAGATTTTAGAGTTTGATCATTAGAAATTAATTGTTGTGTGTATCTAATGAACCCATCTAGTGCGAAAAAAAAAAAATTTCTAAAAAAATAATAAAAAATATTTACAACAAGTACGAAAACAAATTAAATTAATATATATAAAATTTATCTACAGGAACACACCCAAAAAATAAATAAATATACATTGTAAAGTGTGAGACAAAAACATTCGAACTCATCAAAGCCCATCCCAGCTATCTACAATCTTGGGCCTATTTGGGCCCATTCAAGTTGTAACAATAAGCCCGGCCCAGTCAAAGTGTTTATTTTCAATTGTATTTCATTTTTCTTTAATATATATAATTTCCCACTTCAAACTACAAATGTTTCTAATTGTTATGAGCTATTAACTATAATTTTATTCTTTTATGTAAATAAAATTATAATTATGTAATTTAAATCTTATTACCTATAGTAATATATTTTTACAAATACTAAATATAGAATATAGTTATTTAGCTTTACTTATATATATATATATATATATATATGCAAATTACAGTAGAAGCCATGGATCTTACATGTATATATATATATGTATATTCATAAACCAACCATGAAACCTACATACTTATTTAATTTGTATATATGCATGTATATAGATAATTGAATTCATGTAATTATACCTTAAATTAATTAATAAAATAAATTTTACCGTAAAAAGGGGCTATGATTGAATTTTAAAATTGGCTGACTTTTAGGTTAGATATGTGGAAATTAAAGCAAGAAAATTGTCTCACTCTATTGTAAATTTGATTTAAATTTGTGTAATAGTAATTTCATGTAATGTTGTAAAATAAATAATATTCTTTTTGTACAAAGAAATGTTAGCACACTTTTGATGGACATAAAATAGTCAAAACTTAAACTAAATAAATCTTGTACGTTGATAATCAAGACTTCAACCTAGGAATTTGATTGTCTTAAATTTTAATCATTTATCGATTATCTCAATTCAATTATGCAAGTCTTAATTATAGCTCATTTTTTAGTTGGATTCTTAACATTATAATTAAGCATGATATAAAATGAATTGGAGAAAAGAAAAAAAAGAATAGAAAAACAAAGAAAATAAAATAAATTAAATATCACTCTCTTCAAAAACACCACTACATAGTACATACACATACATACTTAGCCGATGATATTCATATTATATACTCCCTCCGTTCCAAAAATATAGTTTGGATCGTGTTTGGCACGAGATTTAAGAATATTGATATTATATTACTAGTGGATAAAAAATACAGATAAAATTTTTTTTTTGCCTTGTGAGTGTATTAGGATAAAAAATAGTGGCAAGTAATAATAATGAAAAAGTAAGGGTTATTTTATAGTAATATGGTTATTTATGGAAATGAGACTATTGTTTTGAGACGAAAAAAAAAAATAGTAAACAAGACTATTGTATTGGGACGAAAGGAGTATATTATTCGCGGACAATCCAAAACTCAAAAAAAAAAAAAAAAAAAAAAAAAAAAAAAACAAAAACAAAAACAAAAGAAAACCCTAAACTAACAAAACCAAGAAAATCAAATTCAATAGTTCTTCTCTATCACCATATCCAAAACAAACAGACAAACAAACTCACACCATTATTACATGTAATAAATATATATATATATATATATGTATATATGTAGTTGGATCAATCACTGGAAATGGTGATTGTCCAGCCATGGCCAAAACCCTGTCTGATCATCCACCCCACAGAACAAGTTGCAGAGGTTTTCTTCCTTGACATTATTCTGATGTTGATGGTGATGGTGATTATTGTGCATTTCAGGCCTGGAGGAAGTAGTCCTGCTGCTTTCATGGAAGCTGAGCTGCAGAGACGATGGAAAAAGAGGCCTGCTAGGGCTAGGGTTAGGGTTAGGGTTTGGGCTAATATTATTGTTGTCTCTTAATCTTTTGATTTTGATGATATCATCGGATCGAGAGGTGTTTTCTTCGCAGTCGTCGCTTCTGTTGCTGCTCGATGATCCTTCGGTCTCTAATTTATTCAGGTTTATCGATTCTGTCGCCTCCCTCGTCGGTGTCGTCATCTTCATCATTGATGCCTCTATCTGTAGGAGAAAATAGTTGATAAAATTTGGATGTATATATGTAAGATAATGGAATGTTTCTTTTAGGTTCAATTTTTAGATGTGATAAGCATTGGACACTATCGAAAAATCAAGACTATACTATAGTTGTTGTTCGAGTTAAGTTTAATCAAATATTTGCGATCTATTCTTTTTTATTTTTCTCGAACTATTCGCAAAATCTCCACAATGCCCCTCCGCCAAAGAAAAAAATTCAAATCAAATCTATATTTTTTATTTAATATACAAAATTTTCATTTAAAATATTACATAATCATAGACATTTTTACCAATCTAAATTCAATACAAAATGTTCTGAATTGAGTTGAGCTATATACAATCAAGCTTGCATTTGTTGAAAGTTTATTTATTTTTAATCGATAAAGTTTCAACTTTTTATATTATATATTTAAAATATAATGTAAGACAAAAATTATCATATTATTGAACTTTATCAGGTCAATCCTAATAAAAACTTCATAAATTTTAAAATTTGAGCAAGATTATTCTTTATTATGATTTTTGAGTCGAAATTCAAGTGGCTTAGTTAGCCTAACATCTCTGAAGAACACATGAAAAATTTATCGAATCCGAAAATAGTCCTATATATATAATTAAATTAAACCAAGTTCTTCTTGCACCAAATGGATCATAAAAATGACAATATGCAAATTTTTTCACTAAACACAAAATCTTTATTTCAATTTCAATTATGTCAGAATATGATAATAATTAAATAAGATCAGATGATTGTATATATATATATATATATATTCCTGCATTATTAGAATTTTGTCCTTGCTAAACTAAAATTCGATCTTCTTTGATCCTGTTGAACTATATATATAAATTATATACACATATAAATATAATTGAATTTAATTAAATTACCTGAGCATGAAGCTTCTTATTGTGTGCCTCAAGTGCTTGATTTTGAGCTTTGATAGCTTCAAACTGTGTCTTGAGAGCATCATAATCCTTCTCCAATTTCTTGGTCTTCCATCTGGCCCTCCTGTTTTGGAACCAAATCGCGATCTGTCTCGGCTGCATCCCGAGGGCGCGCGCCAGCTGCATCTTCCTCTCCGGCTCCAGTTTGTTCCCTAGCTCGAAATTCTTCTCCAATGTTCTTACTTGCTCCATGTTGAGCCTCCTCTTCTTCTCCCCTACTTGTGATCCATCATCATCTGATAATTCATCCTCCACATTTTTAATCATCTTGTTCATATCCCTTTCGATTCCCGGAAATATTGCCATTGAAGGTCTCTTCCCAAGTAGTGATGAAGCCACACCTACACATGATACAACACACCCATATGTGTTATTGTCAAATTTTTATATCTTTGGCTAAAAATCAAAAAATAAAAGTTTGATCTTTAAAAGATCTAAATTTAAGCAAAGGATGAAATATTAATTAAATGGCTCAATACTTTATGATTCACATATCACTTAGAATATATGCAAAATTTTGAACCTTTTTAAGTATACCAAATCCATCAATAAACATACTTCGATATCCATTGTAGAATCGCAACCGATTTTTTTTTTTCTTTTCACAAAATCGAAATCCCTCCACCCCGAATGCAAAAACTTCGATCCCCTAATTCTATTTTCTAGAAAAACATGGCAAAGAAATAATAAAGAATAAAAAGATTAAGTACCATGAAATTCTTGAGGGTTGCAAGAATTAGGTGGAAGCTGATGAGATAGAGAGATAGAGCTATTGGTATTATTGTTGTTGTTGTGATTGTGATGATGATGATGATGATGTTCACCATTTTCATCATCTTCTTGGGGAGTAGTTTGCAGCAAGAAATTGGTGTGAAAGAAGGCCATACCAGCTGTGCTATACCATACAACAAATAACACTTCATATATGAAAAATAATCAATCTGATCAGAGATCTACAGATTGATTAGCTATTTTTAAAAAAATAAAAAATAAAGGAGAGAGAGATCATAACAAATAATGTTTGTGTATATATAATACCCACTATATATATATATATTCATCTATATTTATTCTCCTAGTTCACATTTACATAGAAAGGTTTGAGTACATGTGTTTTCTATTAATTAACTGTTAATTTAATAAATAGGTACTTTATCAAATACCTTTTTTTTTTTTTTATTATTTATAAAATTTTTCAAGATTTCAAAATACTATTAAAAACATATTTAAACACGGTGAAAGCTGTGGAAATGGATGCAATGGAAAATTAGGTTGGTTACACACCTTTATCAAGAAAAAGAGTTTTTTCTTTTTGCATTTTTTCCTCTTTTGAATAGTGAATTTAGGGGTGACAATATTTTCAAATTGTGGGATGTTTGGATTTTTGTATGTGTTTGCACATTTTTATTTTGCTTAATTTTGATATATACATATATAAGTCGTTATTAGATTAATTGTGAATGCGTTACTAATATATATATATATATTATTATAAGTTTCAACTTTGAAATCATGATATATATTAATATGTATCTTGTGCAAGAAATTTCTGGGTGCATCCCATTACATCGACAACTGTCCATGTAGACAATATATATATATATAAAATAAATAAATAAATAAATAAACATACTGTGATACATACTTTTCTTGAGTATTATTCTTTCATATTATATATACTCTGCATACGTAAAATTGCTAAAGTAGTCAATAATATATATGTTTTAAGAATATTTGTTTTCATTTAATGGTGGTGTTGAGAATAATTATGGTAGAATTCATAGTTAGCCAGTTAGGGTTTATAAGAACAACATGTGTGTTAGTTTGTGTATATATATATATATATGTAGAGAGAGAGAGAGAGAGAGAGAGCCCACCCATAACTCATAATTCATGAGGGTGAGCTGTTGTTATTTCGTCTTTCAGTTGCAGTATATCTATAGCAGCAGGAACATCATCCATATATATATATATTAATTAATTAATTAACCCAAATACTTACTACTGTCCATTTATTTGTTTTCTTGAATATGAAATTCAAATGGATGAATAGCAGTGTATAATTAATAATATTCTTTGTCTTGTCGTTCCACAGAACAGATGTGCTGACACATCATTCTGCCACTCATACCTCCACATACATACATACATATACATATATATATATATGCATTTAAGAGAGAGATAGGGCGTCCCCTCTCTCCATACGATCTTCTCTCTCTCTCTCTCTCTCTCTCTCTCTCTCTCTCTCTCTCTCTCTCTCTCTCTCTCTCTCTCTCTCATTCCAATCTTTGGTTTTCCAGACGCGTGTTCAAATTTAGATCTTACATAGAGGTTTTATTTTTATTTTTATTATTATATTCTCTCAGTCCCTTTCCTTGAGCATATATTTTTAATAGGAATAAAATAAAAATAATAAAAATATTAATAAGAATAAAATAAAAATAATTAAAATAATTTTATTAATAGGTATGAAAGTAATGATATTTAGAAATAAATATTTTGTTATGCAATATACTAAAATAAATAATTTCTTAAGAGATATGGAAGTATATATTATGCTTAGACAGTATAGATTCAATATCCATGCTTAATAGACAGAATTAAAAATACATTATTTATAATAATATAATTTTACTATTTCACATTAAAAACGTACCTATTTACTATTTCCATTTTTGTGCGTGTTATTTTGGCTTTTGATCAATGTTATTTGAGTAAATATACATAGTGTTGATTTTTTTAAATCAAGCACTTCAACAGAAATGTGTATATATATTAAATTTATTAACATTATGGAGATTGAAATTATTGGAATTTGCATTCCAATTTTGGGGTCCATATATATATATATATATATATATAAATTTCCTTGGATTCCATTTCCATATCTCACTTCTGAGTGAGATCCACATTCGGCTGTTTTTAATATGTTGAATGAATATCTTTCAATATAATGCTAATAGATAATAGATTGAACATAAGTAAAAATATATGTTTTGTATTGAAAAAAACATCATCATTCCAAGTCATTATTAAATATAAAATACAAACAAACACAAACACTAAACATGTCCTAGATCACACATGTACGATACTTTCATATTATCTATGTAACATAATTTTTATTAGTTTAATAATTACCACTACAATAACTATGACAATATATCCGAAAGGAGGAAGTATTTTTATACGAAACATCAAATCTAATATCTATTGCACTCAAAAATCAAAATACATGCACAAGAAAACAAACCCTCTATTTTTTCTTAATCCAAGAAATAATAAAATACTTTATAAAATACCAAGAATTAGAATGAGTGTGTCCCACAAACTATCAGAATTGGGAAATAATTGCCTAAAAGTGCCCCACATTTCCTAAATTTTCCAGAGACAAAGACAAGAGAGGAAATGGAATATATAATTATATAAGATGACTTTCATCAGCTGTAAATGTTAAAAATTTAAAAAAAACTTACTTGAAAGGACAATCATCAGCAAGTCTTTTACATTTTCCAGAAACTTTCAACTGATCCATCACACCACTATTATTATTCTTCCTAATGAAAACAAATGAGGTACAAAATCAACAAAGATTCATCTGCCCACTCAAAAACATGTTTTTTACTTAAAACGACATAGATGACAAGCTGTATGCTCTCTTCCTCGCTTCAAATATATCGACAAGACAAAACAAAACTACATAAGGTTAAATCACAAAAAACTACTTCACTAATTGCAACTATTTTTATCACTTTAGAACATCACAAGTGCTCGAGATAGCAACCGAGTAAATAGCAAGGAATAGCAACAAGTGCGCGCAAAATTTCAACAAGCATTGATTGCAAGCAAGAAACAAGTATTTCGATAGATGTCCATCACGGAAAATTGAAAAGACTACAAGATTCTCAAGGTACAAATTCGGTCATCCTGATAAGTGGGCTCTGAATGAACATGAAGATGCCCTCAATAATTTCGCTAGCAATAGTACCAAAAACTATGTCAGCTTCCAGCAATGATGTCCAAAACTAGGAAGAATTGATCATTAATGTTGTAGAGTAGCTTATCCGACCACCATAAATACAGATTTTTTGGATAAGAGGAACACAGTGATATTTACTCCAATTATTCGACACAAGAAACAATATTCGGCATCCATCATATTCATCAATCAGGTCACAATTTATTGTTTCAATGAATGAAGGGGGAATCGAAAGGACAATGATCAAATTATGATAACAGTGTGTAAAAGGATTGTGTAACTACCATGTAAAAAGAATCTTCAATTATTTATCTACAACTACGTATGAATCTTACAGCTCATATATCAGATACGTGTTTCCTTTCCTATCTCCCCAATAAGATCTGTCACTCTGCTATATACTTCAGGCAGTAACCGAAATGTACATACATGTAGTACATAATAGAATTCCATTGCAAGGAATAAAGTAAATGAAAGTTTGGGGAACTCACCGTGGTGATGTAAATGGTAATTGTAAGCTCCATGCACATGAGCACCATCGACCATTGCCAAATTGGATTATAGAAAAACTCAACCCATATGAAACCCCGATGTTCTATAGGAGCTAAGAGTTGGAAGCTTGCGAACAGCGATGATGCCAGCTGCTAGAGCAGCAACTGAAGCCAAAACAAATGCTGGAATGTTTCCACCACCAAATAATGCATCCCATGGACCAGCTCCGAGGGACACAACCATCTAAAGATGAGAAAAGACATTCAATTTCATTGTAGCAAAAAGCAAGGGTATCAAGAGGGGTATGCATGTTGGCGAATATCTGGACAACCATTCACCATCTATGGAGGAAATGATAATCATGGAAAAACATAGCTACCTGAGGTATAACGATGGCAAGATTTAAAACTCCAATCGCCAACCCTAAATTAGAGAAAACAAAAAAAAAAAAAAAAAAACCCATTTATAACTAAAGAGACAGCTTTCCCAGACATAAGTATTAGAACTAGGCATTGATCAGACCTTGGCCACCTCCTGAGTCAGCAGTCACTTCAGCAGTGATGGAAAATGGTACGCTATAAGTAACCTACGTAGAATAAAAGAATCAACTCAAACAACTTGGGGAAAACTATTGGGTTTTGAAAATGTAGGTAATGTTCACTTAATTTGAAAACACAATTTTAAACAGTAACGTTGATATACTTACAGCAAGGGGAAGGCCAAGAATAGCAAACACAATCAACGACGCAATTTTAGTAAATCCATTTGCTCCAATAACATGCTGAACCCCTTGAGAATATTGTCTCACAGACACGAAGCTTATAATAGCTGTACTAGCCATGCATATAAAAACAATAAAGTTGCTAAAAGCCCAAACTAGTTTAGCTCCCATCCGTTGGCACATTGGTTCGATTAAGAAGGAACTGACACCCAGAACAACCTGCAATAAAAACAAGATGAAGAATTGTGGCCTCAAATAGTATCTACAGTATGAATAGCTCATCAAATTGTTGAAAACTCCCCTAGCAGTTACCACTAGGATCAATCTAAAGTTAGACTGGTGATGTTTGATTTTGAGTTCTTACAGAATTCAATAGCAAACCAAATGCACCTTCTCGGACGCCTTGATTATAAACCTGAATTTCCTCAGCCTCTCCTTTAGGGTCTCCATGATAAACTTCTCTTCCCATCCAGTCAGTGTCGAACAGAAAGAAGGGAAACCAGGACAACTATTTTGAGCAATAAAATTATAAAATCAGAAGAAAAATAATAACATAGATAATAAAGTTACTAAATCTTAGGATGGGTGCATACCCAAGTCAAGGCCATGACAATCAGCACTGAATGCATAGCTGGAGGTAAATGCCGCAAGCTAGTTAGCAAATTGACCAAAACAGCCCCAGGGCTGTCAAAATAATTGTCATCATTTTCATCATTTTTTGGTTGTTCGGTCCTGTCACCATCCATCAAGAAATGGTCCTTGGACTTAACTTGCAAATCATAATTGTTTGAGTCTGAATCAACTTTCGATTTTGAAAGATCAGATCCATTTAGATGGTGATCGTCTATCAGAGGAGTAGAATCTGTCAGATGGTGAGGTTGTTTGGGCATCAATGGTACTTCCTTTGCAAAGTAGATTGTCACAAGCGTACAGAATGTAAGGAAGACCTGCAGGACTCAGAGTTCAGAGTTCCATTAGTAAGAATATGATCAGCAGAAAATCAATCAAATAACCATTCCATATGAAAAGCAATGCAATTCAGCAATCAAGCGAAAATTTCCAGTGTAAGTCACTCAACTATCAAGGTTTTATTGAGAAGAAAAGGAAGGTAAATATGGCAAAAGATTAGCAATGGATTTTGTTGGCAATTACAAACAGCAACCAAGCCATTCCATCCACTACAAACCTACACCATCTTCTTGTAAGTTATCCCACAATATTTTTCCTAGGATAGACTCTTCTTCAGCAAATGACTCACCACTGCAATTAAAAATGCTGCTTTGAGATTCCCACATGGTTCGCAGCAAGCTCTACTTGTCAGGAAAGGAAACCATCTGGCATAACATCAACACTCATATAATGACACAAAAGAATTCGATATTACAATGACTAGTGGAAGTCAGAGTATTATATCAGACTAGAACTAAAATGCACATAGAACTTTGTGTATTTTAATTACTATTAAAATATATATATTACCTATGCCAGTTTCCACTAGCCCCAGAAGAGAATCCAAGAATGTTTCCAACAGCCATCCAAGTGCAAAATATGGCATTTGAAGAATTTCTCTGATCAGGACCTAAAATCATCGGCAAATATATTCAAACATTTATATATAATTTTCACAGATGATATATTTACAAGACTGATCATTCTTTTTCATTTTCATGATTCAGCTTCATTGAATGTACAACCAATCAGAATCACAAGGCAAAAGTTATTTAAAATTTAGGTTAAAACAAACAACATGCATAATTCCATTAAACTCATATTTATAGCTAAAGGGTAGTTTTGGCAAAGTAAATATAAAGGTTTGTTGCTATGATAAAATGTACATTCGAAAGCTTTATCGGATATTCAGTTGAGAGACAAGAGAAGAGGTTTAACCTGATAGATCTGCCAGAAGTGCTCGAGCTGGGCCCTAAAAGGTATCATGGATTACATTCATTTCATGTGAACAAAAATGATAAATCCCTACGAATTACTGATAAAAATAAATTTCTAGACATTCACCTGCACAGTGTTGTTTGCAAGATCCAGCATCCAAAACCCAATTACAAAGACAATAGCTGCCCTAGTGCGAGTGCCTTTGAATGTGCTACATTATGCTGAGAGATTTAGCAACATTTTTTTTTTTCTCTCATACGAGAATAAAATAGAAAGAGAAGGGTAAAGATTGAGAAGTTGAAGAAACCTGCAATGTTCTTTTGTATCTCCTAGAATGTACCCGATGTCTGCAGAAAACCCAATTATTATGACCTGTATAAAACCAACTTTGATCGTTAGATTAATAGTACTCAACCACATTAACAGAAAACAAAATCATTTCTTACTGCAACAGAGATCATGAGAGATCCAACTAATATAAACGGTCTGCGTCGCCCATATTTTGAAGTGCATTTATCACTCCATATGCCAACACACGGTTGAACCTGAAACGCATAGCAAGATAACATTATTCAAGTAATTTGATAATTGAAGTCAATTCGATAAGTCTACTTCAGATTCATTGTCACCTAACAATAGACTTGTTTCTCGACTCTTATGCTTTCAGCACTTTTAACACCTACACAGATTATGTATAAGATTACACCATTATTTGACATATAAATATCCCATACAAAGAGACCATCCCTTCATTCTGCAGAACTAGGTAGCCTTACTATTAACCAATCAAATGTTCTCATTGCATCTCAAGACATATCCTAAATACTTTATATCGTATATTAAGAGCCCATCCATTTTTCACATACCAGTGGCAATTGAAAACGGCCCATTAATCTTTGGTGGAGATATTTCATAATTGGACATAAAAAGCATACTATCAAAGATGCAAAAAAATATGCATTGTTAATTGTATGCAATAAAGAAAGAGGGCTAGCAACCAATAGCTCAATCAATCAGACGTTTGGAAACATATCCGTAAAAGAACACTTGCATTAAGTTCAATAGCTAAAATAAGACAAGACTAAAGTTAAAACAAAATGATGTTTTCACATACCACAAGGCCTGTTATGGGACCACATAGCCATATAAACGAAGAGAACTCATGCCCTATACCAAGAGTCTGCACAAGAAAAGATTGCATAGTCAAACAAAGCGAAATCATAATTCACAGCCAGGAAAAAAAGATTACACAATGTATTGAATTATAGACACAATGCAGCTAATTCTTAGCTAAATTCTTCAAGACAGACTCATGAGATTCAAGTAAGGCTTTCCCAAAACAATCATCCTTCTCCAAATTAGTGCATGTTCTTTTCACTTTCCCCGACCACCAACAAAACTTATTTTAGTTCTTCTACTGAATTTGCTTAGTTATTTTAAACTAAATTTGCTACCCGGAAGAAGAATAAACCACTAAGAACTTTCGGAACCAAACCTACCGGCTTTGGCTCTATATACATTTAGATTTGCATTAGTACATGAACTTCCAATTAATCAGCAATTTCGTTAGCAAGGATTATCAAATGCAGAAGATTTATTTATCAGAGTATCATCTTCAAACGTTGTAATCAACCAAAACAACAATAGAAACAACAGAACCATACAAAAACTAAATCAAAACAAAACCCTGGTACTCAATCACGTTCCAGATTCACCGCATCCAGTGGCATTATCTAATCGCAAAATGGAAAAAGAATTATATCTGAAATCAACTCACACCACCTGTATATAAGGAGTGAGCAATGATAATTGAAGAGCCCACCCAAACTGTACCCCGGCGGCCACCATACAGCTGAGCACCAACGTTAGCAAGCTGCAGTGCTTCGGCGGTTCATCGATCCGATCTCCTCCAGAATCCGACGAAGACGATGAGGCGTGGATCTGCGAAGAGCGACGCCGCTCCGACTCATCTGCTCCGACTAATTCCACCTCTTGCCTCAAATTCTTGTACGGCACTCGGATCGACACGGCGTCCATTTTCAAGCCCCGCTGATAATTCCACTCCTTCTACATGCGCGAATCGAATTAAATCGTGTCGATCCGGCGAAGGAAAAAATTGTGTTTTTGCAGATTAAGAAAATGGCGGGGGAGAATGGAGGAAATACTGTTGATTCTTGATCTCCCTGTAATTTGGGTCTGTGGTGAAGACGAGCGACGAGAAACGCGCTTTTGACTATTTTCAGCTAAAGTCGTGGTTCTACTGTGCTTCGATTTTGAAGAAGGCGTCACTTTGGGTGCAAGGAAGCTTAGGGCACCGATCACCGACACAGCGATTCTAACGAGCTCCTGGATCTCAATACCGGGTAAATCCGCACCGTTCATTGTGTAGACCTCATGATGTGGATGGTGTGGATTCATAGAAGAGTCGATTATCCGTTTTACTATTTTATTTTGTTAAAAATAAACCATTCAAACTAGAAATAGCCCGTACGTAGCATTTTTTTAAGTCTACTTTTTTTTTTTTTTCTAATAAATTATATTGCCTCTTTAAAAAAAAAAATCAATTACCTCTAATAAAAATGATAAAAACCATTAATTAATTAATTAATTATCTATAATTTTGAAATTTATCTTTAATTTATTTGTATAAATATAACTTAAATTCATATTTTGATTATTTTTCAACCAATTAATTTATTTTATAATTTTTTTATATTCAATTTCAATATTTAGACTTCTCTATATTTTTATTTTCAATTTCAACTAAGTGACCTATAAAAATGATAATTTCTTTCTAAATAAAAATTCTTTCAACAGTTTATTTCAATAGCTCAAAATTTCAAATGTCACTTATTTAATGTATTCGATTAATTTTTATATATTTCAAAATAATAATAAATATCATTATGACAATTTATCTAAACTAATATCTTGAAATTAAAATACTACATATAAAATATTAATCAACAAAGACGATATATATATATATATATAACTAACACATAACAATAATTCATATAATACACATTATTATTGATTTAAGTATATAAAATGTATTCATAAAGTATATCATAAAATATAAGCCGTCCGTACATAATTTCAATTATCACAATAATATTAATTGAAATTATGTATTACTCTATATCCTAATTATCTCTCTCTCTCTCTCTATATATATATATATATAACACCACTTTAAATCTTAAATTTTATCATAATAACACATTCAAAGACTATTTTTCGATCTATTTTTCGATATATATATATATATATATATAAATGATGCGTGCAATAGTAATAGCAGTAACAATGCTATAAAGCATCCACACATCACTTTTAGACAGACAACCACAAAAAGGCACATACGGCCCCAAGTTTTCTCATTTTTCGCCGCTGCGGCTGCCGAGGTCAGCCGCGGCCTGAGCAGCTCGATTAAGAGCACCCGATACCCAGAGAGCGCCTCTCGAGAAGTAACTGCTGTTAACCACAGCATTAGCTGCGGAGACAGCAGTTCTTCCTGTGGCGGACACAGCAGATTTGGTAGTATCATAGATATGGTACCTTTGATCCACTGACCTCGCCGTTTCGACTCCCACAAATATCTTATCAGTAAGCCCAATTCTGTCGCTCAGTTCCGCAACCTTGGCCATTGCGGTTGCTGACACCTGATGAGATTCGTCCAAGGCTTTTGCCTTGCTGAATGCGTCTTTTCCCAGTACATACCCCTTGGATATCATTGTTTTGACCACGTCTTGAGCTAAAGACACAGCTTCTCCGGCAGTGGGGACTGCCCGAGGAGCTTGAGAGGCCTGGTTGATGCATATATAAGATAATGAGTGTAAATTTTTTGTGGTGAATATTTTTAACTGAATAGGAAAGAGAAAGCTACATTAGGCATGTTTTCGTCGTCAGTATTCCACGAAGAATGGTTCCAGAAGTAATGATCCTCTTCGTTATGCCCCCATCGGGTTATGCACACAGGTTGGTCCACAATGATTGCTCCCTAGAACAAGAATTAAGATTCAATCACAGGATAAATAAGATTCAAATTACCGGGTATGAAAGAAGTTTTGGGATGTGGGAATTAATCCCGGTGATCACAGGTAATATTTGTTATCATTGCCTGAGATTTGATCATTTTCAAGCATATTACACAATACTTCAAAATCCTCAATTTTATAATGTAGATGAGCAATTAATTAAACGAGGATAATAACATTAGAGCATCGAAGATGCCAAATATTAAACTTCATGAGCCCTTTTGACATTTATTAGCATTTTCACCAGAAATAAGCCAGATCTAAGATGGTGTGAATATACTGGAGCCCTAAATTCCCTAGGCATTGCTCACAGGTTTGTCATTCCCATGCACAATTTTACAATGCAAATACATAACTTGAGAGTCTCAAACTCGCCTAAACAGGTCGATTTTCCAGTAAACATTGATGGGTTAAGACTTGCAATGATTATAATTAAATAATAAGCTTGTGATCTTGTCTACTAGCAATGGACATTAACATCAATATAAGAAAATATGGCCTCATTGGATAATGAAATTATGAAACTTGATGTAACGAGAATATTTGCAGAAATCATATGTAACAACTTTGATCATCTTCAGAAGCTATTAATCAAAAGACAACTCGTGTAAATAGACTTACAGAGAGTAGGACAGCAGTTTCCAGAGCATGAGCATTTTTGAATGTCACATAGGCTGTGCATGCATACTCACCCGCTCTAAGATATTTGTTTTGATCGCAACCATAAAAAGAATACAATTAGGCGACAAAGGTGTGAACCAGAAAAGAAAGGCAAAAGATATATAGGGAACACAACCCAAAAGCTTTAGAAATAATATAAATACATCTGTGCATGGAAAGTTAAGTTTATCACATGAGTTGCTACTCTGATAAAGATCGTGCAATGATAAATTCAAGTGTTGGTTTATATGCAATGGGGAAGAAAGATGGATCTTGAAGTCACCATGGTCTACAAGAGAAAACTTTAGTAGCTACTCATGTGAATTTATTGCCAGTTAAATCTTGAGATAGTCATTTATGGCATAGATTGGTAGAGTGAGAATCTCAATTCGAGATGGAATCCCCATTTCCAAGAGAATGTTTTATGTTCCCACCCTCCACACAGGTAATCCATCCAATAATCTTGCAATTACATTAGTAATTACACACATTTTCCTTTACCCTTTTTCAGGTTCTCTCCCATAGAACTTAAAAATTAAAATATCCATGAGGAACGAAAGACTGGAGAACCATATTAATTATGTAAAAAGGAAATTAAAGTAAATTGCTTTAAAATGGCCAAGTCACACAGACAAACAGATTATACATAAAAATTAGAAAAGCATACGAAGTAAAAGGGTCAGAGGGTATGGTGAGCACCTGACAATATCAACATGTTCAATTGCACCACATAAAGCGAAAAAGTCATAGACATCCTTCTCAGTAGCACTGGGAGACAAACATGTAACTTCTGCAGTATAGCCAGTTGGACTCATTTCTGTAAAAAAAAAAAAAAAGAAAGGGTGATTAGAATACGGTAACCCTGATAAAGAAAGTGTTACTTTGTTTCCCCATGGCAACATTCGGAGATACATTGCACTCTGGCTATCATGTAACCAACTATCTCAACCCGAACAAAAGAATAGGCCCTTTGCCCTGAAGTTACACCAACCTATGTAGAATTTCTACAAACTCACAATGAAAAATTATAATATTAGCCTACATGATACAAGCAGCAATTTAGGATTTTGAGGTAAAAGTTATGGACATACAACTAGCGTGCCAATATCTTAACAAGGAAATTCGGCACTCATAGTAAGCCAAATAAGATGATTACCATAACAGGTGCATCTCACAATATACCTTCCACAGCCGTAGAAACACTTCTCTTCAAATGATTGAACAATCAAATCCACAGTATATTAACAAAAGTAGGATCACAATCCGATCATGATTGGGTATGTTCATCTTGATTGATTTATTTACCTTTACATAATTATTGATATACAACATAAATTAATCAAGCAAAATCATCATTTCCTTCCGTGGACAAATCAATACTTATATCTCATCACACAATTACTAGTTTACTAAACATGACTATAAACTATATCTCCAGAAATCCTAGATTTCTCAGCTTGATTAATCGAAAATACAACCAAAAAAAAGTTCAGAAACACCTCGAACTGAAAATTGGAAACTCAAACAAGATGAAAGCTGATAAAAACGTAAGAAAAATGTTTGTCATTAACAATCAATTACAAGCTAGCATAACTTCATTCAAAGAAAAGGAAACTAATTCCAGCGCCATACCTGCTTTCTGAATGCCAGAGCAATCGAGAAATTTGGTCGATTGAAGATGAAAAAGGGTTCGTGAAGAAAACGATACCTCAACTGGAGCTTAGTGTGATTTCTTCCGAACTTTACGAATAGTTTTTTTTTTTTTTTAATTTCTAGAAAAGTCGGAAATTTATCTATCGGTTTGGTAAAATCGCATTTTAAAACTTCCTCATTTGCAAATTTGAAAACACGATTTTACGCACTAAGTCGGCTTCCTTGCATCACTTTTTTAATACTATATATATATATATATGGCCCATGAAATTTAGGCCCAATTTCATGGAATTTCTATTATTGCAATCTAATATAAATATAAAATCATGGGTGTATTATTATTATTTTTTAATATAGATAATAAGTGTATCGTTAATATAAAAAATATTTCATGTTGAACTTTTCCTTTTATTTTTTATGAGTTGATGGATTATATATATTTGTATTTTTTGAATAATACCCATCGAAATGAACACAGTGTATTAAAATTTTTAGATTTTGGATACCTCAAAAGGAAGTCATCCTAAATCTGAAATTTCTGAAATATAATCTACAAAAATTTTCACCTAAATATAAAAAATACGAAATTTGACCAGAATTTCTTTGTTTTAAAAATATATATATATTACTTGATTGAATTTATATATATATACTCTTCATTAGATATTCTTTTTTAATTAAATAATAGCAATTTATTATTTTTTTATATTGCATATCAATTCCTTTCACTTCAAAAGGTCTAAAATAATATTTTTATTTAAAATTTTTAATACATTTAATAATTTTTCTATCCAAAAAATCGACTTCGAAACCTAAATTTGATACCTTGACTATAAAGAAAATTTTAATGAATTTTAATTTTGTTGGTTTATGATATATTATTAATAATATAACTATTTCATGTTGGAAATTAACTTATTTTTAGTAGTGTATGTTTACAAGTTAATTTTTTTCATTAGTCATATATATCATTAATTACATAATTCTTGTGGACATATTAAACTGGAGAAGAATTAATTGAAATCTTTATATATTCGCTATAAATCTATTTATTTTATCATTTTAGATTGTTTATAGTCAAAACATTAATTTTTTAATTTAGTAATTATGATGCTGACACACTAATAAAAAGAAAAAGAAAATGTAATTATATCGCTCTATGTTGTCATACTAAATATATAGATACATACATTTGGAACGGAAGGCGAAAGTAGTTGATAATATATATATATATATATGTGAAAAAAATAAATAATAATATATCATTATAAGGAAGTGTAAATTGTACGTAAAATATTCAAAAAAATAAAATAAATCTCAAAGATAACAAAATCCTGGGTATAATTTATAGAATACGAAAACCATTTTCTTCCTTGCAAAATAGATATGTATAAAAAATATACTCCCTCCGTCCCATAACAAAGTATCCATTTTTCCATTTTAGTCCGTCTTATAACAAAGTATCAATTTCTTTTTTAGTAACTGTACTTTCTACCTAATATTACAAATATCCTTACAACTTACCGTATATTATACAAATGTTATTACCTTTATATCACATGTACTAATAAGGTTATTTTAGTCATTTTTACTGTATTCCTACTATATCCCAATATAATACTAATATTTCTAAAATTACGTGCAAAAAGCAAATGGATATTTAGTTTCGCGACGGAAGGGAGTATTAAATATACATATGATTATTATCCCTTTATATTTTTATCCTATGAGTTTGCATATTTCATTTTTGTCCCCCTAAAACTCATAGTATATCATTAGATTTTTACGTAAGATTTTAGAACGACAACAAATAATTAAATAGATAAATAAATAAAATGCAATAACTTATAAAACTAAATAAACTGTAATAATAATATAAAAAACTATAAAATTACAAATTCAATTTCTCTAATTAATATAATATGCATTCTTGATTATTTATTTGGCAATGTAACCCACTAAATGCATTCATATAAATAAATATGTGTATATACAAATATGAACAAAACTAGGGTTTTTGCTATCCTCATACAATGAGCCAGTTTAAAATACTATTATTTTTCACCAGCAAAATTGTTAAATTAATTTTATTCATTTACATATATATATATATATATATATTTACTTTCAATCCTCATGCAATTTCTTCTAAAATGGCTGCTTCTATATATTCTTGTGATATTATTATTCTAGATTATATTGACATACAATATAAACTATTTTAATTATTTTCCTGTTGCAACACAAGAACAATAAAAAAAATATATAAATAATAAATTAAAAAACACAAACAAAATCCCACTTTCCAATTAGTTACATGATAGAATGCAATTTTTTCAACAAATATGTCTATATATATATTCTCATGTTCCTCCACATGATTAATTATTTAGAATAATATATACATATATATATATATAATACAAAATATAATTGTTGTCCCAATAGTCAATAATGAATATATGGTGTGATGTGCTACATCACTTGTCATTTAATTGTTAGTGTACCAATATTGACTTATGTTATTAAATCTTTATTGATATCCCATTTATTAATTTTACCTATCAATTATATAAATATTTAATTTTTCTTTGTATAATGAATTTTTTTTTGCTTGAACTTCATTTTTTTTTTCTTGATTTGGTTACACAACAACAACAATCATATAAACATAAATTGATACATTAATATATATATATATATATATATATAGAGAGAGAGAGAGATAGGTTGGCCTAATATAGATGACCAAACCCTAGACAACAATGAAATTAAAAAAAAAAAAAAAAAAAACATATATATCGTAATAAAGAAATATTTGGTACTAATATATATTACATTAGCAAACTCCTAAGCAAGGCTGCTTGGTCGCTGTCCGTCGATTCCAAAACCGCGGATAATCGATGGCTCAGATCATCCGCCTCGCGGTGCAAGCTCCTTATATAGTTGCAAGTCTCTTGCAACACTTTTGATGCCGAAACCTGTTCAAAATAATATTCACATTTTAATTATTTTATTACACCATCAAAATAATAATAATTAATTACATATAAATTATTTAAACAACAATTTTACGTGCATAAATATATATATATATATATATAGAATGCATGCATGTTTATACATAGGATAGGTTAATTAGGACTATATAACTGATCCCAAAAAACCAAAGATTAAAAATTATAATAATAAAATCAATAAGCCATTTGACCATGCACACTGTATTTATTTTATTAATATTTACTATATACTGCATATGATAAAAAAATTTAAAAAAAATAAAAAAATCAAGGACCCACAAAAAATACAAAATTGTGACCTGAAATTAGGGCAATGCATGTGGGCATGTTATACTTATACCCATGAAATAATTAAAAAAATAAAATTTATTAATTAATAATTAAAGGAACCTTGATCCATACCAAAGGTCCGTGTTCTTTTAGTATTTAAAATTTTTTGAAAATTAACTTTTTTATTTTTTAAATATTTTTACGAAATAAGATAATATATTTTTATTAGAAAAAGTATTTAGTAATTTGTTGAGACAACATTTTACAATATAGTAAGTTGATTTTTACGCGAACCTTGTCGGAGCGCCGGTGGCGAATCTCGGGAATAATTTGCTGCAATTTTTGGACAAGGTCGGCGATCTGGTCGTCGCTTATTCTTGCAACTCCGGACTGCCTCGAACGCGATCTTCTGCTCGACATTCTTGCTGTAATAGTAGCACAATTATTAAAGACAAGAAATTTATAAATAAATATGAAAACCCTTGTCAGAATACCGAAGAATCAAATATGTATGTGTATATATAGGAGGAGGGTTTTAGGGTTTAACTGGAGGGAACTTGAGGAAAGGGAACTGTAGAGAGACAAGGTATGGACAGAGGGGCATGAAATGCATAAAGCAGTGAAGGGGGAGTGTTGGAGAAGATGAAGACAAGTGCATGGGATGAGTGAGAGAAGAGAGAGAGAGAGAGAAATTAATCACATAATAATAATTTTAATTTTAATTTAATTCATTGTATTTATTTAATTGAATTATTTAGTTTTTATAAGTCATGTGGCTTGCTACATTATATTCACTACTTCATGTATGTTCTTTTTTAAAAAATAAAATAAAAATTGTCATTTTCAAATTTTTTTATGAAAATATGATATTAGTAATTTTCAACAAGATTATATAGATACTAATTAACTTTGCAAGGACCATTGGTGGAATATGAGAGAAAATGATAAGTGTATTTGTTTAGTATTTATAATTATAGATGTTTTTATTGTAAAATGCCGAGAGTTGTAAAAATATTATAGAAAATGATGTTTTGTTTTATTTGTTGACTTTTTTATTGTTATGTATATATATCGGGTTTGTTTGTTCAGTATTTTAATTTGATAAAGATTTTTGGTGTAAAATATGAAAGAAGTGTGTTGATAGTATAAAAATAATATTTTATTTTGAATTATTGACTTTTGTAAATAAAAAAATATAAATATTATATATATATATATATTAAAATTTAGTCATAACAAAATTTTGCCGAGTGCACAAAAACCATTGTATATTTCGTAATATTTTTCAAAAATTGTATAATTGATAAATTAGATACATTCAATATATCTCCACTAATTGTTCTAAACAATGCATGATTTTAGAATTTATAGGTAGATTCACTATTTTTTTAAAAAAAAAAATGTGACTTACATCAAAAAAAAAAAATATTTTTGTGTCATGAAATCTTTATTTGAAACAAAGTATTACCTCAATATATACTAGTTTTATAAATTGTTTTAGAATCTTTATAAATAGTTGTGTTTATATATATATATATATATACATATAGTTTAAAACAATTGGCCAAAACTATACCACAATTTTGGTTAAAAATAGCATGAATTATATGACTTGATGATCACACATTTATCTTAATTTTTCAATTAAATATTCTCTCCGTATGTGAAATTTATGTTATTTTAGTTGAACACGAATGTTAATAAATATAATATTATATTGGATGATTGTGACATGACGTAAAAGTATTTTAGAAAAATGTAAAAGTGAGTTAATATTGTGAAAAAAAATATATATATTTATAAATTGAATGTATAAATAATTTGGCATAATTGTAAATAAATGTAGGGTGTGTTTGTTTGGGGGTTTCGATTTTGAATTGAGATTTGAATAGTAAAATTTTTGAATTAGAATAGTTGTATGATGTGATATAAATAGATGTTGATGTGATATTTTGAATGTAAAATTGATTTTTAGTATAATATAAAAAATAAAAAATAGTTGTTTGATTTGATATTTTTAGAAGAAAATAATTGGATGAATAGTAGAAATTTAGGGAAATCCCCCTAAAAAGAACACACCCATAATGTTAGACAAGTTTAAATTAAAGATTGTGTAAATATTATTCTTTATAAATAGAAATTGCATATATTTTGTGGACAAATAGATAATTAAATTGGTTGCAGATCCTATGAAGATTCGGCAGCATAGCTTAGCAGTGACTAACATATATTTATATATATTTCAACATATATTGTGTTATAAGTTATAAGTTATAATATATCTTATATTATAAATATGCTATACTTGATCACTTTTATAGTATATTTTGATTCAGTTAAATCAGCACATTTTTCTATTACCCATTGATTATAATTTTTGAGAAATTCATCGACAAATGATAACAACATAGTATGGATATTTTTTAAAATTTGATAATTATATTATATTAACAAAATAAATTAGTATTTAAATACAAAATATAAACAAAACCACGATTTTGGCATAGGGAGGGGGGGGGGGGTGTTGGGGGCATAGTTGTCATTGTCAAAGTGTTCCCCAAACAGACAAGCAATGGGTCTAATTAGGGCAAGTTTGGGGGCCTATTATGTGTGGCTGTCACCACACATCTCCATGTTGTCTAATTAATTACTACCATCTTCTTGTCTCTTTAACTATATTATTTTTCAATTTCTATATTCATTTATATTAATTCAACTTGGAATAATATATATATATATATATATAATAAATACATATATTGATATACATATCCATATATTTATACCGTTCTGATTTTATGTTAACACTGACGATTATTGTACTGAATTTTAACACATTATTGACAACACATCGATGGATAACATACAACACACAATATATATATATTGCAATAAAATACACGATTTATATTAACACAATACAAACACTATATAACTAATAATACAAGACAATTGTTCGGACAACACTATTATTATTGATCTCGTCACAAAAAAATATATATATATTTATACAACAAAGCCTATAAATAGAAATAATCAGCACATAACTTCAATAAATATAACTACGTTGATTTGCTTTAGTCAGCACTGTACCATCTTCCTGTGTTAAATTATGATGTTCAATTGTTGTACTTCGTATTTTGTATATACATTATTCAACGCGGTTGTTACTAAAACTAAATTTTATAATTCAGTACAGTGCTAAAAATACACTGTGTACTGACAAATAATATATAATATAACTATAGACAATACATTATTTATATTAATATAATACAAATATAGTATACGTGTAAGTATGAAACAGACGACGTATGTTTTATTTTATTCAAATGAGTATGTATTATTTTCCTATTTTACATGTGTTAATTGGAGCATATCAATACGGTATTGATATTTTCAAATCAGTACCGTAATCATTCTGTGACTCAAAAAATTCTACTAATTTGTACCATAATTTAACAATCTTATTAAGTAGTTTTTGACGGATTTACAAATTGATTTGATCGATAACTTTTACATTATGGCTCAAGAATTTAATATTGTCATAATTTCGTATAGTTTAATGTATTTTATATTTCGATACAATAATATAAATTTAATTAGCATATGATCCGAAACTTGGAATTAATTGGCATAGGGGTCATGTCCATGAATTGAGATACAACATGGATTTAATTGACATGTGGGTGGCTTTAATTTTGCTACTACAAAAATTTTAAAATTAAATGAAATTTTAAAAAATATAATACAACATAGGAAAAATAAATTAACAATATAAAATTTTTGTTAATATAATAGAAATGCAATATATAAATCCACCACCTGTGATATTAATATATAATATTATTGATTTCAGCACAGAAGATACGTTTATATAACACATAAAATATTAATAAAAAATTGTATATTATTTTATATTTATATATACATTTCATTCTTCTCTTAATTGAATGGAAACAAGACATGATGTCAATATAGTAAATATTTAATGTATACTTTTTAGTCATGTAATATGGGTGTATTACTGTAGACACGGAAATTTAAGTAAAGTATAATTAGTAAGTAATTAAGAAGTTTATTAGTAAAATTAATTATTATTTAGTAAAAATAATTATAGATTAAGATTAAGATAAGTAAATAGTTTAATTAAAATTAAGAAAATTATAAAATTTAAAATTTAAAATTTAAAATACGATTAAAGTGCATAATTATATTTTCAAAAATAGAAATGACAAGTTATGTGGGACGGACGAAAATAAAAAATAGGGACAAATTATGTGAGATGGAGGGAGTAATATTTTGTTTTTATTTGCTATCTAATCAAATGTGTCTTTTTATATACTGTATATCATTATTTAAAGTTTAGCCTTAGATAACTTATGTGATAATTTTAATTTTAGTGATTAATTTTAATATTTTATTGACAGATATATTTATTTTAGTAGAAAAAATATAACTATATTTTACTTTATCTGATTGATATACAATTTTATTTTACTGATCATAAATTAATTAATGAAATATTACTATTATTATTATTATTATTATTATTATTATTATATTTGAAAATTAAATATGAATAAGTATAGTTCTTCACAATTCATTTTTATTTTTTTATTATTCAATATTACGATTCCTTTAAAAACAAATATAAGATTTCCTTTCAAAAATATTACATTTAAATTATATTATTTAACCAAAAAAAATAAAACCTATAATTTTGGAAGGAAATATTTTTCTCCCCATATACTTTTATTGTAAACTATTATTTAATGTTTATATCATTCTTATACTCCCTCTGTCTAAAATAATTTGTCCCTATTTTTTATTTTGTCCGTCCCACATAATTTATCCTTTTTATTTTTAGAAATATAATTATACACTTTAATCACATTTTAAATTTTAAATTTTATAATTTTCTCAATTTTAATTAAACTATTGGCTTATATTAATCTTAATCGATAATTATTTTTACTAAATAATAATTATTTTTTCTAATATACTTTTTAATTATCTACTAATTATATTTTATCTAAATTATCGTAGAATAATAAGTCCAAAATCTCTGGAACAGATGAAGTAATCTTTGGCATTTATTAAAAGAATAAAATAAAGCACATTAAATAATATATAGTGCTTCTTTATTCGAACGTGGACTCACATGAAGTTCTCACTGCTCACTTAAATTACCAATTTCGTTGCAAGTGTTTTGATTTGTATTTGATATATTATTGTGGTTATCTTTCTTTAGTACTTAAATTTTTTTCATTTTTATTATTAAAGTTTGTTTTTTTACCATTTCAAATATAAATTACTATTATTTATTTAACATAATTTTTAATAAAAATATATATTATTTTCTTTTATAAAATATCATATTAAAATACTATTTAAATAAAAATGCAAATCAACAATCTATTTTAAATTAATTTTAAATTATAATCAAATAAACTGTTCATTATTAATAATTTTATAAATTAAAATATTTATTATAACAATATAAAAATAATATATATTGAAAGGGAATAAAGCTTGTCTTTTGATTTAAATATATATATATATATATATCATGGGATTAAACAATAAATTTCAAAAAAAAAAAAAAACAGAACCTTTTATGTAAATAAGATTTAAAATAAAAGATAAAAATTGGCCACATACAGCGAAGAACCTGCATGTTGGATTTATTCTATTTTATCTTTAATTTATTTATGGATTTATTCATAAATAAATGTTCTTAAAATTAATCTCAAGCAATTGTTATACCATTTTAACTCCAACTCTAATAAGAATGTTAAAATATATACAAGTTTAATTTCGTTTATAAAGTGTGTTTTGGTTTTCAAATATACCATTCTCCAAATTAAAAAATAATCTTGAAAAAACAAAAAATGTGTGTTTTCCTTTTAAAAAATATATATATATCTTAAATTATGAACAAAAAGGCATAATAAATAAAATTATCATGATTACTAATTGTTAAGCGCAAAAAAATAATAATAATAGTAAGTGGCAGTAGGATTCTGGGTAGGGTCTGAATGAAAGCCAAAAGGTCTGGAGGTCGGGCAGAATAAAGGTCGGGAAAAGGAAGAAAGGTAAGACCTCAAGAATTGATCCAAATCCAGACTCAGGTACTACCAAGAGATGGTTGTCCGTGATCAGCAGTTCGGGCTGTATTCAGGTCGGGCGGAGTCTAAAAAAAAAGGTGTACCCAAGTCGGGTAAACCGTAGATCGGATGAAAGACGAAGTCGGGCAGACGCGGAGGTCTGTCAAGAGGAAGGTCGGGCAAGGAAGAGGTACGGACAGACGCGGAGGTCTGTCAAGAAGAAGCAGGTCAGGGCGAAGGATGAAATCGGGCAAAAGAAATTTGGCAGTGGACAGGCAGGTCAGGTAAGAGGCAGGTCTGAGTTCTGTGACTGGTGGGAACGGTTGAAGGAAGTTGTAATACGTGTCAATAGAGGAGAAATTGGTGGTCGGTTGACAGCGGTTGCTGTAACCGACCAGACGGCGGTTCAAACCGTTTTCTCTGAAAGGCTATTTAAAGGATTCAAATCCGTCAGAAAAGGCATCTTCAATCAACTTCAACAAAGCAAAGTCAGATTTGGGGATCACCACTTTAAATTTCAGTCTTTTATTTTCCAGTTTATTTTCTGTACCGTACAGTGTTTAGAGATTCCTAATCTCAGACACTAATTAATCAAGTTTAAGGATATTTTCTATATCTTTGAATTTTACTTTATTTTTGTTGAAAAATTACATCAATACTAATATAAAAATATAGTAATATATTATATAATATAATATTATTTAAATAAAAAATACCAAAATATTCTAAATAGTTCAAAAATAAGAACAAAACACAATAAATAAAACTTGCGAAAACATCGAAACCAAAAGGCAATGAGTTTGCATCAATAATTGAGACAATTGTTGTGTGAAGGGCGGGTGCAATGGCAATAAAAATGACAAATCCATCAAATTCTTTGATTGTGAAATCTCACATTTAGAGCACATGAAAATGTCCCAAATCAACCCATCCATCAATGCACAAACAAACGAGAATAAGTGTCCTAACCCAAGACAACAACCGATCCATCCATCGACCAATCGAATCCAACACCGTTAAGACTTTCATGATGCCCATTGCATCCTTGTGATACTACGGAATTCAAATGTGTCTAAATTAATCGGTTAAACTATTCATGTCAACAATATACTCATTCATCTTCCAAAGTCTCTTGAAAGAACTAAGATTGTCGTCTAAGAATAATATTGATATAGATAATGAAATCGTAGATATGATAGTAGACAATAAAATTATAGAAAGAGAGAATTCAGTAACGAATGAAAATTAACTCTTTTTGTTCAGTAAAGCATGAAGATGTAATAAGAAAAATACAACAATATGAACAAATCAATAAATAAATAAATAAATAAATAAATAAATAATAATAATAATAAATGGATCGATTAAGAAGAAATAATAAATTGCATAAGAAAAGAAGAAAAAAAAATATTTCAATTTACTTGTAGTATTTTTCCGTATCAAATAGACTCTAGCGTTAAAAGAATATTTTCTACTGAAAAAATTCGTGTTGATCAGTGGGACCAGTCTATAATTCTAGCAACCAGCAGTCGGGGTGTTAAAATCCTAAACATAAATATTCGCAAAAAAAGAACAACACCGGCCTCATTTAAGATTATCCATCCATCTATCATTGTTGTTGTTTTTTCGCGAATCCATAAGCCTAACACATATCCATTCCCAATTTAATTCAAAAGCTCAGTCAGATGTGCCCATACCTTGTTTAGGACATGGAGCCATTTTCTTGCATCCATTTGATGCTGCTTTTTTTCAAGTCCCATACGGTTTTGCGCAAAACTGCAACGGCGCGAAAGCACCCAACAACCCATGTAGCTGCTGCTGCACATTAATTAACTGTAAGCAATGTCAAAACATGGACCACCATATTCGACCTGATCGATGCAGATACATGTATTATTACACCAAAAACACCACACACTGCACAGAACAGAAGCAGTTATAATATCTATCGATCTTTCACCATGTGACGTGTTTTTCTTCTAGATCCATTTTAGTTTCCATTGAGTTTGACTACAAAGACTAGGATGCCATTCTTGGCTGCAACATAGAAGACACAGACAAATAATAACAGATTAGTTTTAATTTTGTTATACAATGGAATTCTCACAATTTCTTATGAAGATACATTATTTCTCCTCACAAAACATTACGTCAAAACAACTATTCAAATCAAATCCTAAGTAAACAAATCTTAAATGCATTTGTTAAGAAAGAACAACTAAGAGACTCTTATTATATACTCTCTCCGTCCCTTAACAAAGTATCCATTCATTTTTTTGGCGTCATTGTATTTAACATTAAAATATTCTTACATTTTAATAATATTTTCTACAAATATTATTGCATTTGTATTATAGAACACTAATAGAGGTATTTTTATTTTTTCTCTTAATTTGTGCTACGTATGAATATAATATTAATATTCAAAGTTTGACACACAAAAAGCAAATGAATACTTGGTTAAGGAACAAAGGTAGTAATTTAGAGAAACTACTATCCTGTAGATTCAAATAAACATCGTACAAGAACAGGCATAACTCGTTAGTTTGCAAGTCAATATCATACTACAAATATCAAAGCAAGGTCACGAATTCGATTCAAATATAAATAGCGCCACATAAGCTCTAGGCAAAGCAATTACACCAAGCTATACTAAAGAGATAACCTCAGCTTTGTGCGTGTTAGCAGAGTCGAATTCGAATTACAGTCCTACTAGGAACCTAGATATGAATATCGACAAAAGGCTCCCAAATATCATAGTTCGATAGCAGTTCAAAATCATAATACACTTTAGATGGCCTTTTCAAGAAAATAAATAAAACTACTAAAATCAGTAAGACTGTTCATCGGTAAACACATTTCTAAATTTTAAAGCCCCAGACTGGATGCAATAAGCAACAATAGAACAAATACGTAGCAAATTATCCTGCAATGATGCAATAAATCTCCACATCTTGACATACCTCTGTCTATAAGAGCGCCACTAAGATTGTAATAGGTTTTGAGTTCCTACGTGTAAGAGATGGCTACAACACAGAGCAAGTTGCGTGACATATTGTTTTAACTTTTGGGAGAAACAGGCTGCGACTTCACAAACAAATAATATGATATCATTAGTAGGCAACAAATAATTATTTGGCATGTTCGTCACTAATCAACCATGTATACCATGTCATGCTTTATCGTATCACTTACATGAAACCATAAGTAATTCGAAGACCTGTCGCGCAAACATATCTGAGATTCTTAGATATTTTTCAGTGTCAAAACAAATCAAACCCTTTTGGTGATGAACCAACGGTCCATCAGTAAACATAAAAACATATAAAGAAATTGACAATAATAGTATATGGCTTACGAGTTTAATATAAAAATCTGATGAAACTAACATAAGAGAGCTAAAGATTACGGCATTAAAGACAAATGTACCCATTAATAAAATACATTCTCAGCAATTTAATTTTTTGAATGGAAACATGAAATTAGTTATTACAGCAATGCACCAATGATACACTCTTTGGAAAGTATTGTGCCGGGAATAAGGAGCAATTCTTGCAGGTGTTCCCGGCATGTGTTGCACACGGGACATTTCAGACAGCTTCAAGCATGAAGTTTGCATGGACAGCAATCTAGAAATTCGGAAATAAGATGTAAGGTGAAGTGCATAACTAAAGATACTAATAAATTCACCAATCACTAAGATTTTACTAATAACTGTTTGCGACATTTATATATACATATAAACATAAAACATATAACAGAACGAAAGTAAGAGATTACCTATTGCACAGCGACCATTTAATCTTGGTCGAACACCTCCAACTAGGCTATGGGAAACATTTCATTCTCTGTAATGTCCATAGAGAAATCCATGTCTATAAGGAAGCATCCAACATAGTCAAGAAGAAAAGTGAATTTTCTGCCAAGTTTTTACCTGTTTCTCGATTTCAACAGCTGAAGCAGAAAGCCTCCTCTTCAGTGTTATCCTATCTTCCTCGCAAGTCTCCCCCTCAGTATCTAAATTAAACCAATATATATATATGTATATAAATTTCTTGAATTTTTAAGCATGAACTATGAAGAGAACAAATCAAAGCAGCAGTAAATTGATGCTAAAACAATGGTGTGTATGCACATCTTGTCTGGCCTAACATTAATTTGTTTAGCAGGAAAAGGATGTGAAATAATTGCCCGTTGGATCTGTGTTGCCATTGCATGAGCATTCACAAAGAAACTTGAGCTTCTAAGTTCGATCATATGTGATGTTAGGAGCAAAAAGCCAGAATCAAGGTAACAAATTCATTCTCGTAAAATAACTGAAATAAATTAGGTTGAACTACCCATATAGAAAACAGCATTCAGGATTTATTCGTGTTGAAGAAGGGCTAAAGAATCGGCCATTCATTTAAGTGCATATATGTATACTTGCGTTTAGAGTGTTGGCAAACCCACCGTAGTAGTAAGAAGACAAAATAGAAATTCGCTCGGTTGGCTGCAAAAATAAAAGAGAAGAATATGAGACATAAGTGTTAGTTGAAAAGAAAAAAACACAAAACAAGTCACGTATCTCGAAGATAAAAATATGGCACGCTATACAATAATAAATCTTCGTTAGGACATGAATCTGAGACACTCATAATCATAATGATAGGAAAAGAACCCAAGGCAACAATGAAGCTATACCATTACAAAGATCCCTTCTGTCCGGGTAGGAACTTGCTCAAGTTTTCTCAACGTTTCATCGCCTTTAGTAACTTTACCAAATATGGCATACTGAAAGATATTCCATGGCAGTCAGTTACCATCGAAGATAACCAAGATCAGTTTTCAACGACATTTAATAAAGGATGTTAGGAATAAAGGTTTTTAGCATTAACATTAACATCCAACATACCTGTCCATCAAGGTGAGGAGCATCTCCGAGGAGAATAGAGAATGAGGACTGCGCACTGTCCGGGTCAGAATATCTGCAACGGAAAAGACTTGAAAGCTATGAATAACACCATAAGATGTGTTTGACAACTAAATATTGTATCATTATAAAGAAAATCCAAACCTGAATCAAACTCGTGCATGAGGATAACTTTAATTCGAACAGTTGTAATGGAAAATAATTGTTTTTTTCAAAAGCGCAAGCTGACATATACGGCTTTAAAATTCCTTGATGAAAAAGGCATTTTACCTTCCCATTGAAAGAATACCTCTCACATGTTTGACATCGCTGAATTCACCGACAATAGTTTTCTCAGCTTCCAATTTCTGCATTGCGTTCATCGGGGCAGTTCTTCCTCCAGCAACATCGGCTACTTGAGCAACAAAGCCCTTGTCTACCTGCACAATCCTTAACAATCTCTTACTGGAATCAATCAAAAAAGAAATCTTTAAGTACATGAAACATACCCGGAAGAAATGGTTTGTGTTATAGCAGCCCAATCGAACGAGCTTGAAAATATGTTCAACAGTTTTTGGTGCCACAGTGGGGTAGAAACCAAATTCAATATCCCCAAAATTTGTCTGCACTTCGAAAAAAGCCAAACCATTAAAATAACACATGGAGCTAACACACATCAGGTTTCAATTTCTGAATGCAACAACGAAAGCTTTCTAACAATGCGAACTAAACAAATCTTAAAAACCATGAAAATCACATTAAAATGAGCACATATACTTTGGTTAACCGTTACCATAAAAAAAGACATACACATCAACCCACTTCATAATCTCTTAGTGAGTGTTTACAGCCAGATACCATTTTTTTGTAAATAAAAAATAACACAACCAATCCTTGTATAGTAAATGGACACAAAAACCATTTACTACTTCCATTATATGCATACTCCATAGTTTCTTTTGGCATATCATTTAAGATATATATTATATGCAAAATTACAATTAAATGCATAGGAATAATTTATAAATTATTTTCATAATTATCATTCCAACTAACACGCAGAGTCTCGTACTGTGCAAAACAAAATATCAAAATATATGATCATAGATAGTTACATAAGTAAAAGTAATCGGGTCCATACTACTCTGATAAATAAATAACCAAAATCAATCAGATCCAAAATCTAAGAAATACTTTTTCTTCATTTTTACTTCTTACTACTACTCTCGATAGATAATAATTATATATCTACTCCAACCCGCATTATTCCACAAACAACAGCTATTGCCACGAGTGCATAAACACACTGCAATGAAACAGCTGTGGTGGCGGACAGAAACTCCATTTTGCAGCAGCACAATAACAACGTTATTGCCCACTATTGACTTTTATGATGCAAATTGCACTAAATAATATATTTATTTTCCTATTATTTGTAATTCATATAGTCTCTCTCTATCGTTGATGCCCAATTGCCAGCTTGGTTGAAAAATGATATCGTTGTACTTCCTGACAACTTATCGGAGACAAATCAAAGCTTGCAGTGCTACACTAAGCTAAGAACCTTACCAGGGTTATCCGGGGTTCTTTAGGATTTAAGAACTGCATTCATTGGATAATGAGAACACAAAACTTAGCAACTGTAAAGGGTGGAAGAACCCGAAGAAGAATCACAAGAGAAGAGGAAAGGCAGAAAGTTGTAAGCAGAAGCTGGGCACTAATGGAGAAATCCATGAATATATTGCAGAAAAGAAATACAATTTCATCCCTTTTAGAAGATTGGATCGGTTATGATCTCTCACTATTTATATATATATATATATATATATATATAGAGAGAGAGAGAGAGAGAGAAGTTCTTTGAGTGGTGTCTTGGATAGAGAGAGAGGTGTAACAAACCAAATCATCTAAAAGGGATGAGGTTTTCACTTTTCCCCAAGATGTTCTTTTGATACTTAATTATCTTAGCCATCACTGATGAGATCAACCTATTAATAGTTCCACATTCTTAACTCAAAATTAGCTTATAAGCTTTCTGCTTTTTTACTTCTGCTCTTCAGAGTTAATATGTTCTATGTTCTTTTCACTCGACTAAAAAATTCAATGTATCTAAAGAGCTTGCGATATTCCCAAAAAGGTTCTTATTGTGGGGAAGCATTGCACACCTCGACCTTATCATCGGATACTAACAATTTTGTTCCTGTGTTCCTTGCTAATTTCCCTTCAGAAATTCAAAATAAAATCTCTGTCTAAGTATATCTTCAAATCACTTTCGAAGTTCCTATTTGTAAAAGACACCCGATGAACTATCTATTTTCATTTAAAATATTACATCGAAACCTTGGATTTGTTTATACAGACACACTTGTGGCACATTCATCTACTAATTTTTCAAAAACATCGCATCATATGCATTTTTGGACAATGTTATATGTTTTTTTTGTATAGTTTATTGCATACTTAAGATTAAAATTATGATATGAAACCATGAGCTGTTTGTGCGTGAGAACAACCAAAAACATTTTATACAAAGTAATTACCCTCCTAGATGCTTATAAATTGTTCTAAGCAAACTATTTGAAACACCGTTGAAGAGATCAATCGAACATGTATCCATAAACAACTTAATTCAAACTAAATTTTCACATGGCAATCGAAAAATTATACAGAAATATCAAACAAATTCAACTCTGCACACAACAAAAGGACAAACAACTCCACGATCATCGATCAACAATCCATACACAGCGCAGACATGAAACAGCGACGACGCACCTGAAAGACCACTCGCGCAGAGCCTAATTCAGGAATTGCAGCAGCTGCTGCGCCGCCGAAAATGGCCATCCACAACACCGCAACGACGATCGAGACCTTCGCCATTGCCGTTTACTACGGCGCCCAAATTTCCACAACTCCGCGAAAAATTCGGAAATTCTGTTTACTACAGCGATTGTACCAACAATTAGCCGAATTGGGGAGCCCAATTAGGGTTTCCCAAAACCCCCAACATACTATTGAATCAAGTCCGAAAGGATTCACAATTAAATCCAACAAAATTAGGGTTTCTGCCCAATCCAATGAAAACTTCAAACTCCTCTGAATTCAGTTCCCTCAAGCCCAAAAAACGATAAAAATGATGATCTTTTTTGACAGAAATTAGCAGGCTTTGGGATTGGATCTGATTACTTCCGCATCAGCTCATAAACAAACCAATTTCTTGCTCCTTTCTCGATAACCATCATGGATTGAGTGAACATTAGTGGAGGTCCATGTGAAAATTGTTTATTCTAAAATTTTTGCATTTCAACACATTTCTCATACCCTAGAGTTTTGATGATTTGTCAAAATAAAAATAATAAAATTATACATGAATATAGTATTTTTATTAAATAATAATGACATAATTTTAACGAATATATATAATACTATATTATATTTTTATTAAAATCGTACTATATAAATAATAAAAAATATATTTGAAATTAAAAAATAAAAACACCCCTTGAGACACAACAAAACAAATTAATTATATTTTGATCCTTTAGTCTATTAAAATTAAATTTAAAAATATTTATCTTTTATTTTGTTGTAATTATATTAATATTATTAATATAAAATATATATGTAAGTGTAGACTATTTTGATTTAGCATAAAAGATATTGTATTTTATTTATTACTAGTAGCCATCACAAATTCATAGTTGGATGCTTCCATTGCAACATATTCCGTCTGTCCATCTTCTAATGTCCTATTTGATATTTTTAAGTAATTAAAGTTTTTACTATAAAATGAATAAATTTTGTGTATAAAAATAGAAAGATGACAATAATTATTGAACATTCCAAATATGAAAGCAGGAAATTAATTTGTAGACGGATGGAGTATTAATTAAATTACTATTAGTAGTAACCTTAATTGGTAGCTTCAATAAATAGGCTAAAAAAGAATCCATAAGTAGCCAACCTTAATTTCACCCAAAATTGATATATGTCCTTATATATTCTAAACATGTAAAATTAATAATAACCTGAACTTCAACCTGAACCTGAACCTGCCAATTAATGTGCATTTTTAATCCATATACTTTTAAGCATTAAATTATATAGAGTTTCTTTGTTTAATTTTTTACTTTTTATTTGAGATATAAGAAATTGTATCGGTAATATGAAATATACTTTCTCCGTCCTATTTACCGTATTCAAATTTTTATTTTTGTATGTCCCACTTATTCAAAAAAAAATATTATACATTTTAATCTATTTTAAAATTTTTAATTTAATTTTTTAAATTTTAATTAAACTAATTATTTATCTTCATTTTAATTTAGAATTATTTTTATTAAATAATTATTATTTTTAATAATACATTCTTAATTATTTATTAATTATATTTATTTTAAATTCTGCGTGTCTATTGTAAAACGGACACAGTACCTAGGATGGGGGGAGTAATATTTTATTTTATATACTAACTTTTGTAAAATGATAAAATATATATTGAAAATTACGTCCAAAAAAAATATTGGGCGAACAAACCCATATTCGCACATTTTTTCCCCAATTAAATATATGTCGATGATATTTTAGGGAGTGAATATATGATTAATTAGTTTTTTATTAGTTGTTATACGAATAAATTTGCTATTGATTAGAATATTAAATTGTGTTATTTCTTGTGTGTTTAGTCTGTAAAATGATATTATAACCCACAATATTATTTTTCAATATATTATATAATTATGACATTAATTAATATAATATTTATTTTATTAAATACACAATAACATAGTACAAATTATTAAATCGAATTGGCCGTGATTTTAAGGTCACTTATTTGACTTTGAATTAAAATAATATTTTATTTATTATAATTAATATTCCCTCCGTTCCATATTGGATGTCTGAGTCATTGTTCACACGAGAATTTAGGATAAGTATAATCAATAAGAATGTATCCTGTAATATAAATAATTATAGATTAAAGTTAAAATAAGTCATTAGTTTAATTAAAATTTAAAATTATATTAAAATATATAATTATTTTCCAAAATAGGAAAGTGACATAGAATATGGGAATGACAAAAACTGTAATATGGACATAATAGGTGGGACGGAGGGAGTAATAATTCCATCCCCTCGATAGATATTTAATATTGGATTAGACTTTTTTGTTTTTTTTTTTTTTACAATATTTAATATTAATTTGTGTAGGTTAAGTAAAAATATTCCAAATTATGAGGATGTAATATAATAATATTCCCACTAATTAATATGTTATATCAAGAGATATATGAATGACATAAAGTGCATTTTTTTATCGAAATTATTTAAATCGAATCAAAATATTCCCCCACTAAATAATTATTATAAAATGATTGCGAAAGCTTAATAATTTTAGACTGCAAAATCCGAATATCAATTACATGAAATGACATAAGTGCATTTCTTGTTATATCTTAATTTAATTTTATTAATTAGGAAACGATGATTAAGATACAAATATTATTATATAAATTTTATATTTGCTCGACTCAATTTTATTCAATATTTTTAACATTATTGAATAAAATCAAATCACATTTATTTAAAACATCTCAAAATAAAAATATGTTGTAACAATTAATACTATTCAATTCATACGCATTCTCACTAAATATATATTATTTCATATCACAAAATATTATATTAAAAAATTTAAATAAAATTAGAAAAAACAAATCTAAACACACCCTAAGCCCTGTATTGTGTAAATGTGTAAGTATATTATATTTTCTTTATAATATTAATTAAGAATCATATCAATAAAAAATTATTTTGCTAAACATTATTACAAAATGTATTTTGTATAAGTATTATTGCAATGAAGTCAATTATATTATGTGCTTTATGAGAGGATTTAAAGTATTGTCAATTTGTATATTTATATTATAATATCATAAAATTAAGTAAGAAAACTTAACTTACTATTATTATTATTATTATTATTATTATTATTATCCATTTATTGCAATATTGTGGGGTACCTATTTTGGCAAACAACTTGTGAAAAAATTAAATATTTCTATAGTTTCTTAGGATGTAAATTTTATTTTATTTTTTGGTACGGCGGGAGGCCTTTAATGGATATTCACGGACACAATTCCCTTTGCTATAATTATAATTTGAATTTAATATTGTGTATATATATTATTCAATCTTTTTTTTTTTTTTTTGAATGAAAAAAAAAATATATATATATATATAGAAAATTAGATAGTCGTGTCAAAGTTTTGAATAAGAATTACTCCCTCCGTTTCAATACAATAGTTTTGTTTACTATTTTTGTTCGTCTCAAAACAATAGTATCATTTTCATAAATAACTATATCACCGTAAAACTATCACTACTTTTTCATTATTATTACACAATTGTCACTACTTTTTATACTAATATACTCACAAGAACAAAAAAATCATTTATCCTTACTTTTTACCAACTACTCATATAATATCAATATTTCTTAAATATCGTGTAATAAAAAATAAAATAAAAATAAAAAGAGCAATAGGAAAATGATAGAAAGAGGGAAAAAGGAGGAATGAAGTATAAAGTTGCAAAGTCAAATCTTATTAGAATACGAATATATTATTATTATTATTATTATTATTATTATTATTATTATTATTATTATTATTAGAGTTCATCTAATCCAATTGCCTATATAAAGCCAATATAGTATAATATTTATTATCATAAAAATATTGTATTATTATATATAGAAATATTTGCCTGATTGTTATTTATAAAATTCCCATATCTTCAAAACATATTACTACTATTTCTATCATAAAAAAATAACAACAATATAACATTTTAATTTTATAAATAGAAGATGTATGTACATATGTTGGAAGTAATATTTTAAAATAAAAAATATAATTTATAAAATATTTCAAATAAAAAATAAAGATATAAAATAATATTTAATAAAACTTGAAAAAAAAAATATACTACTTAAACATATATTATAAATTTTAAAAATTGTAGTATAGACTCAAGCACATTAAATTTAGTAGTTGATTTATTTTTTTTTTTTCTTTTTTCCATGTACATTAATTAGAATATTTACAAAATGATATGTATCTATGTATATATATATATATGTGAATGTACAAATTCAAATTTTATAATTTGAATGTAAATATATACTTCTTTTAGTAGAATTTAAGAAAATATCAGAATTTGTGTAATTGTAAAGCTGACTCAACTCGATATTCGTATCGCGCATAAAGCCAGTTCAGCCTTAACCGTCATAATCTACTTACACTCATTGCAGTCTACCTTCGAAATTGATTGGACAGTCGTTGCGAGATTCCCTCGTCTTTGTCTCCAGTCGGACCTTAATTAAAACTTCATCCGTTCCCAACTTTATTTTTTCTCTCGCCTCATCAATTTCTTCTCCGCCAAGAATTCTTGCAAGAGAGCTCGGAGGCTTGTAAGAAGCGATTCGAGGCTTGTAAGAAGCTATTCGCCGGAAACACCTCGAGGGTAGGTATGTCTTTTTGAACCGGATCTTCATTTCTGATGCTATAATTTTTTATTTTTTATTTGTTTATCGACTACCATTTTAGAGTTTTTTTTTTTTTTTTTTTTTTGCGCGCTTGTATCACAAGATTAATGTTTTTTAGATTCTTAATTTTAAACTATAACGTAATTATAAGTGTAGAACACAAGAAATGAAATGAGTGTAGCTACAAATTTAAAATGAATGTACAAAAATGCCGCATTCAATTTTCATTCGAGATTTATCGACGAAGAATTTTCTCCAAACATATAATTTTCAATGTGTTATTTTTATTTAAGAATTTTCCTTGGTGTGTTTGAAAGGGAGAATTTGAATTCGAGAGACGATTTTAAATTGATAGATTTGAAATTCATAAAAGTTTCAAAGTTTTTGTTTGGATTCATTTAGATTTATAATAATCTACGAAGCAATGTCCGTTAAAATTTTTGTTTGTTTTACGTTGAGTACAATTTTTTAAAATACTATGTTTGTTTGGTTGTAATTTAAAATTGATTTGAAATGAAATATTAATTTAAATTTTTTTTAAAATAATATTTTAATGTGCTATCTATAGAAAAAAAAATTATATTTTTATTGAAAATGATTCCATAGTGAATAGAGTTATTTAGATTTGAAATGATAAAAAAATAAACCCCTAATTTTGATAATGATTTGTATTTTTATATTTACTTTATATGTGATATTAAAAAAAAATGTGTAAAAAAATTATAAAGGCTCCGTCATCGAAATTTTAATTTTTTTTTCAAAAAATAATAAATAAATAAGTATTTAATTTAATATTTTATTAGATAACGGTTAATATGTTATTATTTATAAATAATACCAAAGTGTGTAAAAATATTTACGCAAATAGAGATAAATAAAATTTTGGGCCGTTTCAAAAAATAAATTTATAAATAGATTGTGACGGAGTGAATATTTATTTTATTTTTAAACTGCAGCATTGTTAGTAATTCTGAATATTTTCAGTCTTCCCCTCATAATTAAGCATATTTGTAATTCGGTCCCTATATGAAACGTCGAGAAATTCAAGTCCACGTGTCAAATGCAGGCGTACGTGTCACCACCGACTGTTGCTGGTGTTTGGTGGCCCCACTCTCTCCCCTGTAAGCGGGCCCCACATAAAATATTAAAAAATGTAATATTACCAAAATGATGTAATATTACGAATATATTCAAAAAAAAAATATTATTTTTAAATTTATAATATATATACGTAATATACACATTAAATAAGTAGTAGGCAGTTGTTGCACAGTACATGTATATATATATAAGAAAAATAATAATAATAATAATAATAAATCAATTCCGCAATATAATTAATCGAATAAACCACTACACATTTGTACATAAATATATACTAAATTATAAATTATAAGCAGAGAAATGCATGTATAATATATTCAGGTCAAGAATAGAAAAGAAACATGAATAGAAATTGACAGCTGTGTAATACCTAAATATTTAGAACACATTTTATTAATCTATTTAAAATATAATAAAATCTAATCCTATAAAGTAAAATATTATTACTAGTATATTAAAAAATAGGCAAAATTGGAAAATAAATAATATATATAATATGTATATATATATCTAGAGAGAGAGAGAGAGGGGTAGAGAGAGAAAACGAGTTACTGACACAAATAACGGAGTTAGAGGAAGGCAGGCGGTGATTTTGAATACATGCAAATACAGCTCTATAAAAGGATTGGCGGATTTCAATATCGGGACTAAAGCGTTGGCGGTTTCACTTGGATGTGATGTGAGTGTGCATTTGGCCATATTTTTGTTTTTGTTGTTGTTATTGTTATTTTTTTTTTTTTATTGATTGTATTCACTATTAGAAATTTGGTTTTTGATTCCGAATATTTGTTTTGGAATTTGAAATAATTTTGAGACATTTGTTTTGGAATTTGTATTTGAAAGGCACACTCGGAAATAAAATTTGCTGTTGTTTCAGTGGTCTTGAAAATTTTGAGATTGAATCTGAAATTGAAATGGCAAAATTATAGATGTGTGAGTTCATATTTTTTTATTGTCTTGGAAGTTTTGAGGCCTTTTTTTTTTTAAAAAAAAATAATTTTGAAGCGATTATTAATTTTTACTTGTTAAAGAATATATTAGAAATCAAAGTGTTGCTGAAAAAGAGTTCCGGCGACTCGGGACCTTTTTTGGCCACCGCCGCCACTAGTTGTTGGGGATGGAGTGTCGGAATTTTTTGAGACAAAATAGATTAAAGTCTTTGTTTTACATATTTATATATATTTTTTTGTGGTATTCGAATTGATTCCGAAGCTATTTTCACTTGTGGTAGTGGTTGGTGGCATTTGACGGCGATAGAGTTTTGTTTTATAGATACTTTCAAAACCTTTAAATGGATTCGGAATTTTTCGAACCTTATTAATTAAATATGAAATATATATATATATTGTGGTTTGGTTGTATTTGTGTTTTTTGTTATTGTATATATGTCCTTTTTTTTTTTTTTAGATTTTGGTTCTTAAATACTTGTTAAATTTCACATTTACATGGCTTGATGTAATACAATTCTAAATAATTTTAATTTTTGATTTTGGATTCAAATGCAGTGTTTGAAGATATGTTGGAACATCAATCTCCTATGGTTTCAAGAGACAATTGGAATTCAAAAGAGCATCTAAATGCAGATGACAATAAAAAAGGAAAGAGACCGATCGAAGAATCAAACGAAGAGGAAGAGAATGACGGCGCCAAAAAGATGGCAAAGCAATCAAACGAAGATTATTATTACAATTTGGATTTACTAATTCCCGCCATAGGCCGCGACAACTCAATCAGCAGTCTTATCCGATGCTCCAGGGCGGATTACGGCCGAGTCGCATGTCTGAACAGTAGTTTTCACTCGCTTATCAAAAGCGGCGATATTTACAAATTGCGCCGCCAAAATGGGTTCGTCGAGCATTGGATATACTTTTCTTGCCACCTATTCGAATGGGAAGCCTTCGACCCGGATCGCCGCCGTTGGATGCGCTTACCGACGATGGATCCTAATGATTGCTTCATTTTCGCAGATAAAGAGTCGCTAGCCGTCGGGACAGAGCTTCTAGTTTTCGGAAGAGGTCTGATTTCACACATGATTTACCGATACAGTTTGCTGACAAATGTTTGGACAACAGGAATGGTAATGAATCATCCGAGGTGTTTGTTTGGATCCGCGAGCCTTGGCGAGATCGCGATATTAGCAGGCGGGTGCGACGCCTATGGCAATGTCCTAACCTCCGCGGAAATGTATAATTCCGAGACGGGTTCATGGACGATGCTCCCAAACATGAATAAGCCGAGGAAAATGTGCTCCGGGATTTTCATGGATGGGAAATTTTATGTTATCGGGGGAATTGGAGGGTCTGATTCAAAAGAACTACTAACTTGCGGAGAAGAGTATGATTTGACCACTGGGATTTGGACAGTGATTCCAAACATGTCTCCTGTTTTTATTCGCGCCACGAGGGAAAATGAGGCGCCGCCGCCAACATCGGAGGCGCCGCCGTTACTTGCGGTCGTGGGTAATGAATTGTATGCTGCGGATTATGCTGACATGGTTGTAAGAAAGTATGTTAAGACCAGTCGGGATTGGATAACTGTCGGAGGATTACCGGAGCGAGCCGATTCTATGCTGGGATGGGGTTTAGCTTTTCGGGGATGTGGGGACCGTCTTGTCGTGATCGGTGGGCCCCGCAGTGCGGGCGTGGGATTTATCGAAGTGAATGGGTGGGTCCCAACCAATGATGGCCCCCCACAATGGGAGCTTTTGGGTAGCAAACGTTCGGCGAGTTTCGTCTACAATTGTGCTATTATGGGATGTTGAATGAGATGTAATAGATATTTATTTTTTAATTTCAATCAAAAAAATAAAAATAAAAATTAATGGATATAATTATAATAAACTCGAGTTTGATTAACATTAGATAATAAGTTATTTAGATTTATGTTTTGATTGAGTTTGTAAAATTCTTGATTTAGTTCAAAATTTCAATTAAGTATATACAATAATGAACTTATTATGAACCATGTGTGCCCCATAATTATGTAAATATTTTTGGCTTGTTCAGATTATTGATTAATGTTACGTTATTGTAATTAAATTTATCGCTTGTAGTTGAATTTCGAAATATGGATTGAATTGTATACCGAACAATATGTATGAATTTATGATATATATATATATATATATAAAGATCGTGGTTTCCGGCCCATTTCAATGTGGACACAAAGGCCGGCTTACATTTCTTTTTACGAAAATTATCTACTTCATCCGACTAGTTTTGGGTTCGAAATGACGATAAATGTCGGTTTATAAGACATGACATGTTAGTTTTTGCGATTAGAGTCCACATTGTAAGAAAGAAAATCTCTCTGTCTTTGGATATAGAAAATAGTGATTTTTTTGCCACACATATATATTTTGATGTTCTCCTTTAATGTTGGTAATTATTTGTACGATGGATAATTTTTGTTTATTTGTTTTATTTGATTTGTGGATACAATTTTTTGTACTGAATTTTATAATTCAACATTCGGGAATATAAATTAATAATATATGTGGATACAATACATCTATAAGTATGAATTGTCATTCCAATTAATATAACATGTGTCGTATTAATTAAAATTATTATTATTTGTGTATTTTTTTTTATACATAATTCAACATAGTAACATCTGCTTTTATTTGAGCAGTAATATATATATATATATTAAATTTAATTTATTTAAAGGGGGTTATGCAGAAAATGTTTCGATACTTCATATGTGGAGTGAAACGCTGCGTTTCGATGGTGACGTTATATGATTGTTGCAATTTTGTTTCTTGTGATGTATTCCTTTCACAGTTGAACGATTTTTTTCATTTTCAATGTTGTGTCAGAAATTATAAACAGTTTCAAATTTATTTTATTTTATTTATTTATTTTATTTTTCATTTATAGACAATTAGGGGTAAGTTCTGACACACTGTATTTTCACCCGTTTTGTGTACGTTGAATTCAATGCAGCTGAAAGTGTACCGGACTTTGCACATGTCCCAATGCCAGGTCATCCACGCATGTTTTACACGTGTCTTAATATTCCTGATTTAAGATCCTCTGCTCCCCTGCGCGCTCGTCAGTATTAATATTAGTGCGAATCGGTTAGTAGTTGAATTTAAATTGATACTGCTATTCTTTTATTTTTATTTTTTAAAAATAAAATTTAATTTATAATTTATAAAAATAATTAATTTAAATAATAATTTGAAATTTTTACTATAGATTTTTAAATATATTTTTAATAATTATTATTATTAAAAATATATATTAATATATTACTCCCTCCGTCCCATTGAAAAATTGTTATTTTTTATTTTCGTCCGTCCCAAAACAAGGTTATCATTTCCTAATTTAGTAATTGTACTACCTACCTAACATAATAAATATTTTTTCAATTTACAATATATTACATAAATATCATTACTTTTATATTACATAATACTAGTAGGGCATTTTTATCTTTTTTCACTGTAACTTATTATAATACTAATATTCAAAAATCTACGTGCAAAAAGTAAACTACAACCTTGCACTCGGGACGGAGGGAGTATTATTTTTATACTTTTTGTTTGCAATTATTTTTTTAAAATATTAAAAAATAATTATTTTTTATATTATGAAATAATTGTAAAAAAATATTTTTGTTGAATTATAAATATATATCTTAAATAATTTTAACAAAAAAAATAAAAATAATACTCCCTCGGTCCCAATACAATAGTCTTGTTTACTATTTTTGTCCGTCCCAAAACAATAGTCTTATTTCCATAAATAATCATATCACCATAAAACCGCCCCTACTTTTTCATTTTTATTACACAATTGCCACTATTTTTTACACTAATACACTCACTCATAAGGGCAAAAAATTTTTTTATCCATACTTTTTATCAACTACCAATATAATATCAATATTCATTAATTTCGTGTCCAACCCAATTAAGACTATAGTTTTGGGATAGATAGAGTAATAAATATGACCTACAATATGACTACAATATGGTCATGAACATGGCCTAAAAATGGTTGTGTGTTGAGAACAAGGTGATTAACATGGGTAAGAACATGGCTATGTTCAGAATACGGGCAGAAACACGATAGTGTTCGGAAGTACTGGATAATAAACGAGGCCGTGTTGACGCTCAGTCACCCTTCTGAGTCATGTTAAATCTCAGTCAACTATTTTTGAACTAAAATTAATAAATTTTCATTTGAATGAAACTAAAATTGATAAAAAATTTTGAATTTGACCAAAATTGATAATTGTGATATTGAATGAGACTAAAAATAATTTCTACTAAGAAATAAAAATATTTTTATGGCAACTAAAAAATAAGAATGAATATAGATTTGAAGGGTAAGAGAAGTATAAAACTTTGCTTTCTACAAAATACAGAAACATTTACATTGTATATATTTTATCAAAATATTTAAATATGTATTTTAAATTTTAAAAAAATTCAACCGTTAACCAAAAACCGTAACGCCTATTTGTTTTACTATTTCATATATATATATATATATATATATATTTATATGCATTCATTTCATTTAAGTGGTTGCATCGAATGAATTGAATTGTTTGTTGTATAGACCGTTTTGCTTTTGAATTGTAAGTTCTATTTGACTACATTATTGCATAGGTGGGAAGTTGGAGGTTGAGACAATGTGTGTGTATTTTTATTTATTTATTTATTTATTTATTATTTTTTTTTTTTTTATTTTTTTTTATGTATAAGTAAGTCCTTTTTTTATAAATAAATAAATAAATAAGAAAAGTTACATTGAAATATTTTGTTTAAATGTGTGCTGAAGTTTTCTATGACAAACTTTAATGTGCATGTAAGGATAAGCATTCCAATTTTCAGATCGAATTAATTTATCATTTTCGAAGCGATTAGAAAATTTAAAATTTTTGAAAAAATAATCAGAATCGAACTGAATTGTCTAAAATTTGAAATCCGAAATTCGAGTTATGAAATTTGAACCGAACCGAAAATAAAAAATCTGATACTTCAAAATCCGAATTAAAAAATCCAAACTATAAAATTCCAAATTGCAATGGGTGTGTGTTTTGTGTTTTGGTTTCAAAATTTTTTTATTTGAGGTACAGAGAATTGTGTGATATAAACAGGTGTAGTATATTATTTATTTTTTTTGAAAATGTATTTGAAAAATTTTGTTGGAGAAACAAACCCTAAAATTCAAATTTTTGATAATTTTATTTCTATCTATACTTTTTATTAAATTATCAAATACTAGATAAAACAATGTCAAGATATAATTGAGTTTTACATTTTTATTAAATATCATACTTTTATCAAAATATGAAATATATATATAATAACATATATTAACATATATATTGTATTTTGGACTTTGGATTAGTTGGGATTTTCATTATATCGGTATCTAAAAATTCAACATAAAGAAAAAAATTAATCTGGATCAATCCGAAAATTCGAATCAAATTTTAAATTTCAATTTGATTCTAATAAGATCTTCACATATTTTACTCACACCTATGTGTTTACTTTATCACCTTTTGTCTTTGATAAAAGTCAATATAAATTCTGATAATAAAAATTTGGTGTGGATGAGATGACCCACATCAATCTTACAACAAAAAATAAAACATAATCCAATACCTTAGTTGGCGGAGCCCATACAAATACCATAGAAAGATTAAAATAAAGAATTTTTTTTTAACCGTACACATATAATAAACAATTTAACAATAAAATAAAATAAATAATTAGTCCTGCGTCATAAAAAAAATAAAATAATAATAATAATAAATTATTCCTTGGTAAGCAAAAAGGTACACATTTAATTTCTAAGCCAATAATGGAAAAAAAAAAACATTAATATTGAAATTGAGCTCGTGGCACAACAATATGCAGAAAAGGGGAAAATAAGAGATCCTCAAACCCCTGACGTCTCAAATCATTTGTCACGCATAGTTCGCCTAGTGTGACTTTTTCGTTGGGTCTGATTTGCAGGGTATTAAATTCGATCGGAGTTTACCCGATGTGCACTTTCAAGTAGCGGTTGCGGGTTCCCACATTACTAAAAAAAAAAAAAAAAAATCCTCAACTATTATTATATATATATATATGCTCTAATGTCATATTAAAATTAAAATTTGATTTTGGTATCGAATCCAAAAATTTCTCTATTAACATATACATGTAACTAATCACTTGTTTGATTTGAGTTTGGAAGATCTAATTGTGTAAATTATCTGACTTTATATAAACTATACATTTATGACAAGTGTTGGATTTTATGTTGTTTATTCATTTTTCTTGTATCTTTTAGTATTTATTTGTGCATGTAATAATTGATTTTAATTCTTAAATGTTTATTGTCTTCCATTTTTATATATATCTTGTTCGGATGTAAATTTTTTTGTTTTCGGGTCTACAAAGATGTATAATTTTGAGATGGGAACTTAACCCAAAGAATATGTGCTAAAGGATTTTTATGGATGAGAAGTTTTATGATACTCATATAACAATTTTCATTTTTAATTATTTTGGGTGTTTTCTTTCCATTCTTTTATATATATATATATATATATAATAAAAATACATTCTTTTTCAAATAAAACATTTCAATGAAACAAATATTACACAATTGTTTTAAACATTAACATTATTCCCAAATGAAAAGAAACTTACCCACATTTTCCTAATAAAAATACACTATTTCTCAAAAGACAATTTATATAGAAATAATAATAAAATAAGATAGTAATAATAAAAATACAAAACTATTCATAAAACTCTATCGTCCATAGAAAAGGCTCAAAATTATATAATCCATAAGATCATTTAGCATATAAATTAAAACAGATTGCCTGTAAATAACAAGATCCAAAATTTCAGTTCAATACATAGATGTCCAAAGCCATAAAATAACACCAAAGGTTCGATAAACATGCCAAAGATTTAGGTAAGCTCTAATTCCAAATAGCTTAAACACAAAAAGGACCTTCAAACCAAACATATCACTAGATAGAAGCGTCTCTCTCAACGACTTACCAGGGGCATCGTCTTCTAGTAAATTTTAGATCTACTCTTCATCATCCTCATCGTCACCTCCAGCAGCCTTCTTTGCAGCAGCCTTCTGGTTTCTTCTCTTCACTCTGCCAGGACGACCACCGCCAAATGGGCTTGTGAGAGAGAAGTCAATGTGCTTTTGGGAGTCGACCCGCACCAGGAAGGAGGGCACATTCACAACCTGTCTTCCAACCCTGATTAAGAACACAAATGATTTATGAATACAATTTTGATTCTTGTTCCTTCGAAACAGATCAGATAGTTTTGTTTACACCATTTATCTAAATATATATATAGTGTACATGTGCAGATTTTATATGATAAATTCAGATCTACAGTAAATTTATTCAATTATACACTAAAACACTAGGGAAAACAATAGTAAGCAAGAACAGCATAAGCTGATGGAAACTAACCAACATCTGCATCACATTCTATGGGTGTGTTTGTTTGGAGTATTTTCAATAATTTCTACTATTCGTCAAAATTTTAACTTCCACAAACATCAAATCAACTACCTAATTTTCATTTTATATATTATACGAAAAATTAATTTTGCATTCAAAACATCACATCAACCCTTATTTGTATCACATCATACAACTACTCAAATTCAAAACTTTATACTATTGAAATCCCAATTCAAAATCCAGACCTCCAAACAAACACACCCTATATGTTCTATCAACCTATCTTGGATAAACCTCTAAATTGAAATGGAAAAAATCAATTACAGCTATTTCCCCTAAATTTAACCAACAGAATGATAATTATCAATAGTAATGCATAAAAATAAGTGAAACAAAAGCAAAAAAAAGAACAATGTATATATGCAGTTTTCATGTTGACAATGGCCAATAATGGCATGTTACCTGATATGCCTTTGCCTAATAAGCACTCTAGCATGGTGGATGGACTTGGCCATACCAGCCTTAAACACAAGGGTTTGGAGGCGGCGCTCAAGGAAGTTCTCGACAGTGAGAGCCAACACATAATCCAGCTTGTTCTGGCTCTCATCCAGTAATCCGTACCTATTCATCCTCCTCAGAAGTGCCTCGCCCTCAAAAAGACGTTTGGGGTCTTTCTCATCAAGAGTCAAAAGATTTCTTGCATTGTTCCTAATGCGGCTCAGTACATATTGCACTCTCCACAACTCCCTCTTGCACCTGAGACCGTATTCTCCAACAAGTTTCAGCTCAGCATCCAGTCGTTCCTTCTCATAGGGACGACGTGGCTTCTTAAATGTCTTCCCATCTGTTATCAGCACACAATAATTCTAGTTTAAAATAAAGTATTAATAGGCAGCTTGTTAATCTTGTTTAGCATACTTAGTAGCTCAAATACATAAACCAAATTGGAAAAAAAAAAATTCATTGCTCTTATCCCATGCCCTAATTGATCAAAAATCTTTTGTCACATAATCAATTCCTTGCAAACAGTACTAATTATATTTATAGGAAATATGCTGTTCTGAATCCATATACACAACCACAACTATGATATGACAGCATAATAATAAGTTATTCCATTGCATTCTATTCCTTTGAACAAACTAAATCAAACTAAAAAATCCAAAGAAAAATGTACAATAAAAACAAGACCAGACACTAAACTGTTAACTCTCGATTAGGCATCAATTGGCTGGGCCACAGATTTAATACAAAAGCAGACAATAGATTGTTAATTCTTCCAAATCTATAATCTTCAAATGCAGGTGAACAAAGAAAAAACCTTGACTGGAATTCAAATCTCATTAGGGGAGAAACAACTGTGCTTCTGCGAAGTGCCGACAAAAGATCACTCGGAATTTACAAAGAACAAGACACCATTTTTCAAGAAATAAAACACAATTTCCTTCCGATTCACCGATCAAGCGTTCCAAAAACATAAATGAATCGTAAACAAAAAAATACACAAATTGATCAGGCACAAAAATACCTCAAAGAAATGCATATATCCATTGTAACGCAGCGTATAAGCTACGAATACTTACAGTTACGATAAAACGAGACGTGAACCATGGTTCTTCACTGCCTGCGTCGTCAGCCCCGATCTGCAGCTGATGGTAGCAGAGAGACAATAGCCTAGGGTTTCGAATGCCGATTGATGTAAAGCGCTTTATATACTCCAATTTTCAGGCAAAAACCCTAATGGGCCTGAGATTCATGTTTCGCTGTTGGCCCATTAACCGGCCCAACATTTCAACAAGGGTAATTCAGACAGAAATGTAAAATGTTTAATAAATACTGCTTAATTAGTGTTGGGGTTAAATATGTAAATTAAAATGCTATAAAATTAATTTTAAATAATGTATTACAAAAAAAAGGAAATTAGTTGGGGTGGAAATCATGAAGCTACTGTACAAGCTGAGCTCAGTCGTCGGAAACCCTCGGCGGAACCTAACGCCGGCGGCGGCCGCTATCCGTTGTTTGTCGACTAATCGAAGCGACAGAAACGGAAAAACTGGAGAGGATGAGTGGAACGACGCATGGGAAACGGCGTGGCTCCCGGATGATCTGTCTGGAAAATCTCATCGTGCTCCATGGGAGTCCGATGTCGCCTTCTCACTCCCCTCCACCGACCGGAATCCTAAAGACACACTCTCCTCTGCGTCGGAGGAGTTGGACGCCGAGACTCAGGCTTTTGTAGCGGACATGAATGAGAACTGGGATGAGAGGAGGGGGAAATCGGTGAAAAGGGAGGCTGACAAAAGTGTAGGGGCGTCGACATCTTCAACTTCATCGCTTTACAGCTTGGAGAATATCAAGAGAGATTATAGACTGACGAAGCAGAAAATTCACGCGGGGCTCTGGGCGAAGGAGATCGAGAAAATGGAGGAGGCTAAATTGGGGAACTCTGTTTCAGGTGGTGATGATATTGAGAAATTGCTCGATAGCGCTGCTGAGTATGTGTTTCTTCCTCAATCTACATTTGCCTTTTCAAATTGCTTCATTTCTGCCAGATTTTGAATCGTTTGTTCCATTTCAGTAACCAATTTGTTCAATTGACGTATGATTCCTTCATTTGATGAATAAAATGCTGATTATTGAAGAAATCCCCAAATTTTAACTGCTTCTAGGGTTGGGTTAGGGTTTTGTGCCAGATATGATATTGAGTCGTATACACAGTTTAGAATTTTGCTGAATGCTCATTGTGGAAAAGTTCCTATAATTCTGAACAAAGACATTTTGTGGTTATTAATTTAGGATATTTGATTCTCCAAACGAAGATTTGGGGGAATCCAAGATTACTAACTCTGACTTCAAAAACAAACCTGATGGCTGGGAAACAACATCGAAAACACCAGATGGGAATGTATGGGACATGACAAGGAAAGAAGAAGACATCTTAGTTCAAGAATTCGAACGTCGAATGGCTTTCAACAAATTCCAGGTTTTGTATACTTTGAGCACCATTCTAACCATTCAAATTTATGCTGTTTACGCCTGTGCTAGTGCTGTTTCTTCGGTGTTTTTGCTTTTCCTTTCCATTTGATGTCTACCCTTTTCTTGGATTTCAGATTGCCAGCTTTATAAAAACACACATATTTAGCCGGAGGAGACCAATTGATGGGTGGAAGTATATGATAGAGGAAATTGGCCCGAATTCAAGGAAAGGGAAGGGAAGTGTTTCAAGATTGCCCAGTGTATCAGATGAATCAACTCAACCTTTTAGAGAGGAAAAGCCTCCATTAGGTAGCACTTACTCATCTTCCTTTAAAGGGCAGTGAAATTGCAAGTTTTTCTCTAATTTTGTGCGATTAGTGAACAGCTGAAACAGAAGATGTTTGATATGCCAACTTGCTTTTTAATTCAGATTTTGTATACCTACCCATGTCTACATAACTTTTTATATCTGTCATTATGCAGTTTTATCCTTGTCTAGTTTGAATATTGTCTAGTCGTGACAGTCATATGCTCGTATTAACTCACAGTTGCAAGGGTAGATATACATTTCATAAGGACATCAGCATAATAAGGAAATGCACTACTTCGATGAATTATCATTTCTATTCCCCGAGCGTTAGAGCTATACTAGAAAGTTATCAGTTCTCACTATGCACAGACATTGAAATTGAAATGGAGAAACAGTTATCAGCTGCCCAACATTGAGACAGACACCAAAGTCTAGGATACAAGGCTATACCGTGAAAGAATGTACAGCTACACTAAAAGGGAGAAAAAATCCCCAAGAATAAGTTGCCATCATGAATCACTATCATGCAGCTTGACGTTGTGTCGCTGACATATCTTTGCCCCATTTTCAGTCCACCATTCCTCTGCTTCAGACTCAGTAAAAAGTTTCTTACTGTAACAAAAGATATAAAACGGCACGTTAAATCCAACAATAGCTTATTCACTTATTGCTAAGTTTGTCTATTTCCAGAGTTAAGAGAATTCGTATTTGGCAAATATCCTATAATATATTCATGCCATTCATGTTTTTTTTTTCTTCTGAGATGCAATTGTTTCAACAAAGAATAATGCTATACCTGAAACGAATTCGTTGTAGTTCGTTGACACCATTTGATAATGTGACAATAGTGACATACACTCCAGGCTCGTCCTGTAGAGTCTGTTCTGATTTGTGTGCTTGAGCCCTTGTTCCATTAGATAATGACGAAGTAGTCGAGGAGTCACTAGACACACTGTTGGGAGAGGATGTGCCTGTTGCATTGTACCTATTAGATGGATAGCTATTTGTTATCATTCTCTCGTTCACATCCATATCGCTGCTTGTAAGTTGTTCATATGGCATTCTTTCTGCCATCTCCTTCAGCTGTAGCAGATTAGGATCCTCAGTTCATTAAAATGCTTCTTGAATGCAATAAATTAGATTGCTATTGTATAGAATCATATCATTCATGGATGCCTGATTTGCCAAATGATGATTTCACTATGGTATAGACTAGAATGAGTGCGAAAACTAACCTGAGTACCCAGAGACTTGATCACTTCTTTTGCAGCTTTGTTTTTTTCAGCTTCCTCAGCTGCCTGTGATGTTGCTGCCTTCAGCTGCTCGAACTTTCTTTCCAGTTCAGTCTCAAGATGACGGGATTTGCTTGTAAGTTTTTCTACCTAACAACACGTTGAATTATATTCAGAAAATGAGCAACCATAAGCTTCAGATTGCTGACAATTATGCTCTTTTTTCGTTATTACCAACAAAATTATCATATCAGGATATCCTATTTTAGCTTGACTTTCTGAAATCATTTTTTAGTTACTAACAAAAAGATAGCGAAAATGGCATTCGGTATCCAGTTGAAGCTTAACTTTCCATGATTCTACTGCCAACAGTATGATAGTCTAACGAAAGAAAGGATTTATAATGGTAGGGTATCGTTTCTTGAAATGGTAGCGACCCTCTATGATTGGGATTTTAGATTTGTGTCTATACACCTACAGTAGAACAAATAATGCATCTCTTTATATTTTTAACATAAGAAAAGTATATGATACGAAGTTTGCAAATGTTAACGGTGATGAAAAAAGTTAGATGTATGTACCTGTGCCCTCAAGCTTTTGACTTCGAGGCTTAGGTTGTAGTTGCTGTTCTTCAACTCATCAATGGTTGGTTCTGATGCAAAGAATGGAAGAGAAGATGGAGACAATGTTGCAGACCTCCATGGGCTCTTCCTGGGCACTGGAGATAACGACCGGGATAAGCTTTTAGCATCGGGAAGGACAAGTGGAAGAACATTTTCTGATGAGAAAAGTTGGACTGATGGTGAAGCCGGTGAGGCTGCCGTAGACCTCCAAGGGCTCTTCCCCGGCACCGGAGATGGTGACAGAGAAACGCTCTTGGAGGTGGGATGAGAATTCTGCAAAGATCCCGACGGACTGCCTGGAGACAGTGAAGACGTGCTTCGCCTATGAGTGCATCCATCTTGCAGGGGAAAGATTTGGTGTTCATTCGAATCAAACTTCATGCTGAATATGGAGCTTTTATCCGACTTGAAAGACTCGGCGGATGACAGCCTGGAGATAATCCCGGATATGCTTCCGTTCTCCCTTTCTTCGGGAGACCTCGAAATCAAGCCTTCACTTTTAACAGACGGAATCCGGGGAAGAGAAGCTGCATCTGCCGACCTCTGTAGTTTGGTGAAGCAGTCATCACAGACACGGTACGCTTTACTCCTGCTCGGTGCTAACGATGCTTTTACAGATTTCCTTGAGCTGCATGAATTGCAGAAAACGAGCCCGCAGTTGTAACAATTGTGGCGCTTCCGTAGGAACGTGAAAGGGCTATGACATCCCGAGCAGACAGAGTTGTCTGTGCTGGATATCCCTTTATGAACACATACGGCGGCCATGAAATTCGAGCCGCAGGCAATGCTCTTTACCTGTTTGTCCTTAAAGAAGGCAACGGGTGTGGGCGTGGACCGATCATCATAGTCGCCGTGGCCGAGTTGCCCGTGTGTGCCCTTGCCCCATGTGTAAACTTCGCCTTTCGATGTCAAAATTGCGACATGATGCGAACCACAGGAGATTTCTTCTGCGAACACATCCGCGATGTTACCGTCGATGCACAATGGAACTTGAAACTTTCCATCGGACGACTTCGAGCATGTGCTTCCCATGGTATAGACTTGTCCCGTTGTAGTCACGGCGACAGTGAAGTTGTCGCCGCAGTCTACACGGGAGAAGTCGACATCGATCAACGCGGAAACGCACTCGGGTGATAGTTTGCTTTCATAGCTGCCGTGCCCGAGTCGCCCTTTATCCCCATCGCCCCACGTGAACACTTTCCCGGCTAGCGTCTGCTTCGGATTGCCGGGACTTGATGATCCGTGGGGGATTTCGACCAACGCCGCCGTGTGCCACGTGCCACAGGCGACGCGAGTCGATCTATATCCTTGCAAAGCTTCCACTTCCCGTGGTACGCTCGTGCAACAACGATCTCCATGTCCGAGCACGCCGAACGTTCCATCTCCGAATGTGAACAACCGGCCGGTCGATGTCAAAAACGCCGTGTGCCACGGCCCGCACGCGACAAACGACACATGTAACCCCTCGATCGGGCCACAAACCCGTTGCGGAATCCAATGGCTCGCATCGCTCCGATGCCCGATCAAACCGCAGTTAAGTGACCCTCCGCCGCCCCAAGTGTATGCCTCGCCGGAGGTCGTCACGGCACACGTGTGATACGCGCCGCATGCTACAGCCTCGATAGTCTTCCCGTTGAGAGCTTCGACGAGCTTCGGTTGCGGAGCGTCGGCTACGATCCCGTGCCCGAGTCTCCCGCCGCCCTCGTCGCCCCAGCTAAACAACTCCCCTTGCTTCGATACCAAAACCGCGTGCCTCCAACCGCACACAATCGTTTGTACGTCGAGCACCATGGTCGACTCCATAAGCTTCGGCAATAGCGCGTTGGTAGCTTTTGCGTTCGGCGATCGATCTACCGTAACCGGACCTCCGACCATCGTCCCGTCTCCCATCCGTTCCCCCCATATGTAGACGTCGCCTAAGTTGTCCAAATTCTCGATGCATGAACTTTGGCTTGATGAACTCATCGCGCTAAAATGGCTAACCCTAGACCCCTCGGCTCCGGACGCTTGGATGCTCGAGCTCTCGACAGAGGTAAGAGAAGGAATCAACTCGGAGAGTTGAGCATTCTTTGCGGGTGCCGTAAGCGACACAACCTCGGCGAACACTTTGCCCAATCGGCTCCGGAGACTATTCTCGGATCCTAGGGAGTCCCCGCGATCGGGAGAAAACTGAGTAAACAGATTCAAAACCGAGTCGAGTTTGTCAAAACCAAAGGAATTTCGATAACACAGGAGGTATAAGTTCGGGGGAACTTACAAATGACATTGATGACGGAATCCTTCGAACACCGCCGAGATGGCCACCCGGGGATGATGCTTGTTTGCTCTTCGACTCATTTCTTTGCTTCTTACCGCTATTTCGAGCGATTAGCGCTTTTAAACCCGTGAACCAAACCTCGGCTTCATCCTTGTCCTTGCAAATCTGTAGTGAACGAATATACACCCGAGTTAAAAGTGTATGAGCGATTAGCGTTTTTAAAGTCGATGAAATCTTACCAAGTCCAAGGATCTATTGTCGCATATAAGCGAAAATGATTGGTATTCCTTCTCCGGTCGAGGGTACCTCTTGAACGTCGCCTGAACATAGAATGAACGAGGAAGAAACTTAGGAGACAACAATAGATATATCTTGAGATGGAATGAAATTCGATAGCGAAACTTACAGTCCTCTGCCCGGGGATTAACTTGGAGACGCAAGAAAGTTCTAGTAGCTTCTCTACTCTTCCATCGAACCATATCAATGTCGACTCGTCCTAAATGAATTTCGATCATCAAGAACACTTGAGAACTCTTATGATCTAATCAATCACAGCTATATTTGAGTTCCAAGAACTCAAAAAACACTAAACATTGGGCTCTATTAAAAGATCATCAAGAACACTCGAAAACTTTTATGATCTAATCAATCACAACAATATTGGAGTTCCAAGAACTCAAAAGAACTAAAACATTGGGCTCCATTGAAAAACCATCAAGAACACTTGAAAACTTTTATGATCTAATCAATCACAACTATATTCGAGCTCCGAGAACTAAAAAAAAACTAAAAACATTGGGCTGCATTCAAAAATCATCAAGAACACTTGAAAACTCTTATCATCTAATCAATCACAATTATATTCAAGTTCCAAGGACTCAAAAAAACTAAAACATTGGGCTCCATTCAAAGATCATCAAGAACACTTGAATGATCTAATCAATCAGAGTAACATTTGAGTTCCAAGAACTCAAAAAACTAAGCAATAGGCTCCATTCAATGATCATCAAGAACACTTAATTTTAAACTCTTATGATCTAATCAATCACAACATTATTATTCGAACTCGAAAACTAACTAACTAACCGAAGAAATTCGAAAAGGGCAAAACTTAGGCCTCCCTCTCCTCCCATACTTCAGCAAGTGTGCCCCTCTCTTAAGGGCTGTAATTGCCTAATAAAAATCAAAATCAAAATCAAAATATAATTAGGAGTCAGAGAAGAGAGAGAAAGTGAAGAGTTAATCAGTTTAGTTACCTGTTCAATGTCTCTTTGGAGGAGACTAAGCCTCTGCTGCATAATATCATCAGCCATTTACATTTACATTGCTGGTGCAAATTGAACCACCCAAAAATCAAAGCATCACCCATTTGAATTCACCAAAACCTACTAATGATTTCCTCTTCTGATTTTGCTCCATATAATCAAAAACAAGAAACAAGAAACAAATCCAACTCAACTACAGTCTTGCTCTTCTTCTTGTGTGTACTTAACTACTTTTCCAAGAATGATCGATGATGATGATCAAGAATCCAGTTTCTTGACCTAACCCATTTTATGGTTGTGGAAAACCACAAAATCCAGAATGCCCTTTTCAAGAAGATTGGATTCAAGAACGTCTTTGGTAGCCCCCTCAAAATCAACCAATCAATCAAGAAATCTGTCTCTAGGGTAACCCTAAATTCCCAATTTCATAAGAAATTGGATTGGGAATCGAGAAATTTTGTGGGTGCCAATGTAATGGCATCAAGAACAATGGATGGGCCTTTGTGTATTCGTAATGCTGGGTGAGGGATTTGTGTGTTTCTGGGAATAGAAAACTGATTTTGGGTGTTTGTTGGAATCGAAAAGGGTTTTTTGTTTATCTCAGACGTGCATGCATACATATATATATCCGTGATACCCTGTGTGGTTTCGTTTCCCCTCTCTCTCTATCTCTCTATCTGTATCTCTCTCTAAGAAATTCCTCTATGAATTAAATTGACAAATGTCTCGTTTGTGTTTGAGGGGGATGAATGACATGACAACTTATCAAGCTCTGAAAGAAAGTAGTTTTTATTTTATTATTTCTTGAAATTAATTAAAGTACTCTTATTTATTTAAAAAAAATTAAAAAAATAAAATAATAATAATAAAAGCAATTGCATTTCATTTCATTTCATGTCCCAAAGAGGGATTTTGGATAAACGTAGTAGTTGCCACTTTTGTCCCCCGTTCTGTTTCTTTTTCTTGCCTTTGCTTTAATTTTCTTTTCTTTTCTTTTCTTTCTTTTTTTTTTTTAAAAAAAATTAATTTAGTTGTATTGTTGCCTCATTTTGGTCCTTCACTAATGGTCAAAAGTGCAGATAATATTAATAAATAAATAAAATTTATGTCTTTATAATAATTGCATATAAAAAATTAGTATTATATTTTATGACGTAAAAATTTGCAACACTCCGATTAAACTCTCAGGAAAACAAATCATAGTAAATAACGAGGAGTTGCCATTACCAGATTATCTTTTACCGTACTTAAAATATAATAATGCAAACTTAAGTGTTGATCTCATTATTTATCACAAATTCAAATTGTATTTCCTATGTCATTCATATATATATATGTTAACTTTCTTTTTTTTAATTGTTATAAAAAATATTTTCATTTATTATTCTAATAAAAAATTATATTCCCTCAGTCTCAGAAGAGACGTCTTGTTAGGAGTTGACACGAGAATTAAAGAATAATACTCCGTCCGTCCCAATATGATAGTCTTGTTTACCATTTTTGTCTATCATAAAACAATAGTTTTATTTCCACAAAAAATCATATCACTATAAAATTACCCTTACTTTATCATTATTATTACATAATTGTCACTACTTTTTACACTAATACACTCACAAGGGCAAAAGGGTTTTTTACCCGTACTTTTCACCCACTACTAATATAATATCAATATTCCTTAAATCTCGTGTTAAACACAATTCAGACTATAGTTTTGGGACGGAGGGAGTAGTATTTAATTGAAAATTGATATAAAGTATAATATAAAAGACTAAAATACTCTTACTTTTTGAAGAATTTTTAAAAGTATATTAGAGTAATAATCATGGATAATTTGAAAAAATATGAATAATTTTGTTATAAAGTGGGGACCACAAACAATTGTTTTGGAACTGAAAAAAATGGAAAAATAAGACAACTCTTTTAGGATGGATGGAGTATTAATTTTGGTGCCTCATTTATATATATATATATATGAATGCAATAAGTACATTATATAACTACAATTGACATATTTATTGAAGAATGTTTTGAATAGAAAAAAGTTTATTAAAAATACTAATATACTAGTATATATTAATTCAATATGCCCAACTAAAAAAATAACATATAAATATAGGATAACTATTTTAATTGTGTTACTTAACATCTACTAAGAAGTAGCATAACCTTGTAATTAAAATACTATATATATATATATATATATAGTATAATATTTTAATTTTCTATAGTCAACTAAAAAAAATGTAATTCTATACATTGGACTTCTTTGTTTAGTGTTTATAGTAAAAAATTTTATTGTTAGGTTGCAAAGATATTATAGCAAATAATATTTTGTTTGTTTAAATTGTTGACTTTTATTAAATTATATTTGTGTAAAATACTACTTTCTCCTCTCATTTATAAAAAAATTAATCATATTTTTTTAATGAAAGAAAAAAAATAATATTTTGGGAACAATGTCATTTGTTTTATTTATGGGAAGAACACAATCAATATATATATATAAATAAAAGTATATATTATGCCAGCTAGTGTTACTATTGTATAGTTTAAAATGATTACTATCCTTCATGCCGTCTCAGGATTGGAGAGTTTTATTTAAGTCCACTAACACATATTTTCTTCTTCTAATTCCAATTATTCCATAAAATTAGAATTCTGAGATAAACATAAAAATAAAAATTTAAATTTAAATTTAAATAAAATAAAAGTTAAATACGACAACTATTAAAAATACAATTCAAAATAATGTGTATAGATACACATATATTCTTGTTGATACAAAAGAAACAAAGGAGGACCAGGAGATCCTCTTCCACCTATAGTATTTTTTAATACAAATCTTTTAAATTTTATTATTTAAATTTTATAATTTTTAGTATATATATACTGAAAAAATATATATTTTTCAAAATATTTTATTAAATATTATTTTAATACTAAATTCAAATGACATTTTCTAAAACCAAAACAAAAGAAACAAACTCGGGAGAAAAAATGCCCTATAACTCACCTCTAACCTAAAATTATAAATACTACTCTCTACTAGTTGGCATCTTAATTAGTATACTTTGTTATTATATTATTGACTGTAAGATAAAATAAAAATATTTTAAAATATATATATAAACTATGAAGCGAGGGAATTTTTTTATAAATTAAATATATAAATAGTTGCAGTATATTTTCAAATAAATGTAATATTTAGTGTAAAAATATTTTTTAAATATGTAAATAGTTACAATATATTTATTATAAATAAATATTTTTTTAGACAAACAGAAAAAAAATAAAAATAAATTTTGCGGATGAATAAAATAAATAAATACATACAAATTAAAATGAAAAAAAAAAAACTAGTATATGAAAAAAATGGCTGTAGACTCTTAACAAACACTAAAATAATCGAACAAGATCGCGCACGTTTCATAGCTCCAACCATTAATTGGTTTTCAAACTCGAATCGAAACAAGATTCAAATATTACACATAATTAAGTCGAATCGAAACAAAACAAAGATAATGCATATTAATATTTAATTAGATTGAAATGAAGAAGTAGAAGAAGAAGAAGTTGTTAATAGTGATAGTCATAGTCATGAAGATCATGAAATACTGTGTAGCTGCTTCTCCTTGCTCTTGCTTCTCTGTCCGCCTTAAGAAGATGAAGAAGGAACAATCATATATATTAATCCAATTGAAATTGAGTAAATTGCATAATAATCATATTTATTAAATAAAATCTTTTTGGATTATATTAAAATAGGTACAAAAAATTGGCTCTGTGCATCCAAAATTTTTAGATGAATTAAATTTTAGTGTAGGGTACAACAAATTGTGTAAAAAAAATATAAAATATATTATTTTAAATTGAATATTTAATTTTTGACATTTTATAATGAGAATTTGAATTTTCTTTTTACTTTTGTAAAAAGTATTTTATATTATTTATTATTATATTTGAAGAATTACAATTCAGACTAACAGAGTCACTGTTTCAATTCAAATATCGAGCAACTTAAACTCTTAAATATTATACAAATAAATAAGACAAAATGTTCTAAATATCATGTTTTTTAATAAAATAAATAAATAAATAAATAAGACGAATTATAGCTTAAATTTTATAAACTAGTTTCCGATCAATTTTTTATTTATTTATTTTATTCAAAAATATATATTTACAATATTTTGCCTAATTTATATACATAATACTTCATAATTTGGCACTTATTTACTAACAATCCAATATATGTATTAAAAAAAAAAAATTACATAAATTTTATGCACATTTTAATATAATATATATATATATAAATGCATAATAAATAAAATATAAAGTATTTTAGGTGTTTATAATAAAATACTTATGCAATTTACTCGATTAAACTTAAGTGTGCGCACCTTAGCAATCATCCTCTCGAAAGCTTGGGGACCGTTTTCTTCGATGTACTTCTCGGCGGCAGCGAGGACATCGTCAGGCTTGCTGAAGACGTCGTCTTTCTTCCTCGGGACATACCAAAGCTTCACCTGACGTGGCGGATTCCGGTACAACGGCCGCACGAAATGCTCGTACACGTACGCGGCGCCGTTGAAGTACGGCAGCACCAGCCAGCACACGCCGACCAGCTTTGCGTACGACCATATCGGAAACCTAATTCATTTGTTCCATTCATTCGTCAAAAAATAGTAAAAATTAAAATAATACTCATCCATTAGCAAAAATTAGAACATTTAGATTCAGCACCAAAATTAACAAAAAAATATATATTTTATTGAAAAAATGATAAATTGTAAAAAAATAGTTGAGAATATTTTTGGCAAATAAGTTAGAAATTAAAAAAAAAAAAAAAATGAAGAGAAATGTAATAAAGACAATGATATTGGTGGTAAATAATATTGAATGAAGAATAATAGTTAAATATTGATTTGTTGACTCCAAATTAATAATGTGGTAAATTTAACAGATAGACTAAAAAAAATGTGAGTAAATTTGGCTGACGAAGGGGAGTACTTGCGTTCTGCTCTGCTAGTAAAAAATATTTCGCTTCTCCATCAAGAAAAAGAAATATTTTAATACTTTTTCCGTCTCATGTGTGTGTTCATTTTTTATTTTAGTATATCTCATTTATCTTGTTATTTTTTTTCAAAAAAAATTTAAAATTTATAAGTTTTTAAATACTAATTAGATTAATTAGTTATTTTAATTTTAATCTAAAATTATATTTATTATAGTATAATTATTATTATCAATACATTCATAACTATTTACTAATTATACAATTTTAAATTTTCGTATCTAGAGTAAAAGAGACACCGTAGCCGGAATGGAGAGAGTATCATCTTTATCTCTATTTAAATATTAGGGAGTAAACCAACACTGCCCATGAGACTCGGAAAAGTAAATGAGTATCTCACCTAAAAGTTTAAACCGTTAATATACGGATTATTTATTTATAAATGAAAATCAACCAACAATTTGATTCACTAGAGATGAAGGAAATCAATTATTGATTAATTAGAAGTGCCTACTACATAATGTAAATTACAGCTTCATTTAAAAGCTTATTGAGATAGGGATTATTTATTTATTTACAAACGCAGTCAACCAACGCATAAACCCTAATTGATTGAATTTGGGGGAAATGAAGAAATGGATTGAATTGGTGATTACCAGTCGAGGATTTTGGCGAAGGTGAGCTCGAAGAGAGTTATGAGGGAGTAGAGAACCCAATAGGTCAGCCATTGCTGGTCGTCCGCCAACGACTTCGTCTCTATGGCCTTCACTGAACAGTACCTGTAAGTATATGTAAATATATATATATATATATTATACATATATATATAGCAGATGAAATTTTGATAAATTGGAGACTTACAGAGGGAAGACGAGGGAGACGAGCGGCCTGAAAGAAAATCGATGTAATAATCAATCAACATTTGTATTAAGGAAATGGTAACTAAGAATAATAATAATAATGATTACAGACATGGCAAGAACATCGATGTTCTTGGCGAGCAGAGTGAAGACGTTCTCCCCAGATCCTCCCATAATTGAGTATGTAGTAATTGGTTGATTTCCAGATTCTTCTTTGATCTAATTTTATTGTTGGTTTCTGATTGTAATTGTGAATGTACTTGGTTCTTGCTTATAAATATATATTCTGATCTGCAACAGAAAAATGATATGATGGAGTGCAGTTGAGTTGCGATAATCGATGTGCATCCATCAATCATCATCGTGTTGGTGAAAAGTTTCATCTTTTAGGGTGTGAAAAGCTCAATTTGGAAGAAATTTTGGAGGGAATCTTTACTGAGCACCGAAATGTTGACTACCGCTCCTCCCCAATGGCCCACCTCATTATTTTTACACTTTTTTTTTCCTCTTTAAAAAAGAAAAAATCTCAACAACAAAATTTAAGCTTACATTAAAAAATAATAATATTTTTATTGATTAGGAAAATTATACTCTCTTTGTCTTTAATAAGTTATCTTATTTTTATTTTAGTTCTGTCTCGTAATAAAATATTTTTTTTAGTAGCTGTATTATTTATTTAACATTATAAATATTTCTTTAATTTACAATATGCAAATGTCATTATTACAAAGGTTAGTTTAATCTTTTTATTTCAATATAATATTAATATTTTTAAAATTCAAACAAAATGATGAATAAATATGAGAAGGAGACATTATCTATGGTACTTCCTCTATTCCAGTTAATTTGTCCACTTTAGCTGAGGCACATAGTTTGTTTTAGATATTATATAATACCTAAACAATTAAAAATAATTATAATATAATAAAAATATATAAATTAAGATTAAGATTACTAAATAATTTAATTAAAATATTAAATAATAAATTATAAATTTTAAAATGTGATTAAAATATATAATTATATTTTCAAAAGAAATGACAAATTATATATGATGAATTGAAATAAAAAAAAAAATTGAACAAATTACATAAGTAGGATGAAATATATTTAAAATAAAATAAAAATTAAAAATATTTCGATATTAATATATAATTAACTTTATTAAAATAAAAAAATTAATATTTTTAAATAGAACATACGAAAATAATATAAAAGAAATTATTTTTGAGTTAGAATGAAAGTAATATAGTTTTACTTAGACATATTTATTTGCCCGTAAAATAATTTTTTTTTTCCATACGATTTCTAGTATATATTTGCCTCATGTCTAGATTATTTTCTATAACCATAATTATTTTGTAAAAATATATATTGAACCATTCTGACAAAGTCAAACCAAACAAATTTCTTCAATTAAATAATAACTAATTCATGGTTTGATAAGTCTTGGAATGATTCACATTGTTTGATGTTATTGTTCTTGTGTTGTATAAAGGGCACAACTTTTGTCTCTTTCCAAGTGCCTACTGCCAACTCAACCATTTTGTTGATAAACAATTCTAACTTTGTAACAAGTGATGTAGTTAACTCTACTTTTTCCCCTAAATTTTGCTATCGAAAGTGTACACACACAACATATAAGCTAACAGGGGAATTTATGTCTCACTTTTCCACAGTATGATTAATGCTAAAGCATTGGACTATGAATACAAATTTACAATTTCAATAACCCATAAACAAAAGCAATTTAAGAATACAATAGAACAAGGTATAATTTGAAATTTGAAATTTTAATTTTAATTTTAATATAGTATTGTGAGAAAAAAAAAATAATATGTAGAGTACATAATGCTTAAATATGTTTGAAATCAAAACCAAACAAAATTGCACATCTTTAACAAAAATATATGCTTTCAAAAGTTTACCACCAAAACAAGAAAATTGCAAATTATTGTTTACCACCAAAACAAGAAAATTGCAAATTATTTAACACATTTTTTTCTAATGATAAGCTTAAAACAACATAAATTTTGTTATACATAATTTCTAAACCGACATGTAAAATACGGAAGTGTTACGGCAGTACTGACAGCACACAAAATATATACGGCCAACATACGAAGTATGAACAAAACATATTAACACAACACATATAAGATATACAACATGTACTGTCGATTATATTTTCACATGCTATTTGTTCTATATTGATTAGGGCTTAATCAACACAGTGCCAATTTAACCCGCTCAACACCATAACAATTCCCGTAAAAAGGATAAGAGGGAGTACTTCAATCAAGTTAACCGATTAGTCGGGCCAAACAATTTAGTCTTATTCAATATTCACACATCTTGTTTCTAAGATATATTATGCAATACTATAGTTTTAATTCAAGAATACACATTATAACTCAAGTAAGGTTGCATCCATCCCTGAAACAAAAACTTTACCTAACATTAAGATTCCGACTGCTAATAATCACAACCAATCATCGAATAAACTAATTTATGGCAAGAAAAAATTCAGAAGCTGGTTAAGAATACACCTGATTTGATTCAAATTTCAAGCAACGCCACCAAAGAGGCTCCAATCGTTGACATTGAAACTGGATACGGCACATTTGAAAACCTCCGCCATGGGCATACATCCAGATTCTGCAGCAGGTATTGCTAAACCGGCTCCAACACTAGCAGCACTTTCACTCAAGGAGCTGCAACAATAAAGGATGATTAAAAAAGACACACGAGCGAGCACACAACTATTCACTTTTTCAATGAACGTACTTTATAAGCAGAGGCTCATAGGCTGTGATAAGAACATCTGTTGCGACATTTTTTAGCCGCAAATTTGCTAAATAAACCTGGAGGGGTGAAAAAAAATTCGATTAAGAGCCAATTGGAGTTCGACTACTGACTTGTGGAGGAGAATTTGATGGGCTTACCTTAACTATGTTCTGGGCTTCTCTTCCCTGCCTTCCCTTGGATACGGCCTATCAATAAAATTAGGACCGTTGAGCGTAAGTATACGATAACTTTTGGTATCAAATTCACAAGCAATTGGAGAAGTGAGAGGAGAAAGTATGGATGTGAATTGATTTCTCAAAAGGGCTAATGATTTTTCAGTTCCTCAGAATACGTTTTCTTTTTTTTTAACCAACTGAAAAATCAAACGAGAACAGAAAGGTAAGCAATCTCATTTTTTCTTTTAAAATGAGGTGGTCCCTTATATTTAAAATCAGAGAAGAGATTTTTTACGCACCATTTGTCCAACTGCAGTTGTTATGATAGGTCGATTGTTTCTAAATTGTTCTCCATCGGCCTGCACTATGCCAGACTGCTCAAGAACCTTAATTCAAAAAAGTATATAAATGTCAGCATTATCCACGAAACTCAGCAATAGCAAGTTCCCCAATTTAATAGTTCCAAGCTACTGAACAACAAGAGAAAATAACATAATAACTTTATTAAAAAAATTATTTCTCTTCTCTTATTCAGAAGTTTCTAATCCCATTTCATAGCAGAAGCCAAGAAGCTCTGTATCAAAGGTATTATAGTAAAGGTTCATGAGCCTACAGCGACAAGAACCTTACTGTTAAAAACAGTAATTTTCCGTAATAAAGAAGAGTCTCCTTGCTTCATTCATCTCTAGTAACAACAAACAAATCAGATTTTTAATTCTAAATTCCAAAAACATATCTTCACCAAAAGATATTACTCTCACAATCCGCCAAATACTGTCTGTATTCATTTTTTCGCATCTCCGGTAACAACAAACAAATCAGATCACTAATTCTAATTTCCAAAAACCCATCTTAACCAAAGATATTACTCCTTCCATCCACCCACAATTTTATCACCTACTTTAACAAGTAACAACAATTTCTTCACTATTTTTTTACTTACTATGCAACTCTTTTATTAACTATTGAATAAATATCTCGTAGTATTTTCACTTCACGTCTTACCTACTACACTTCAACATTAAAACATCATTATTTCTTAATTTACGTATCCAACCAAACCCACATAAATTTCCCGGACGGTGGAAGTATAATTTAAATAAGAAAAGTGAACAATCGGTAATGGCTGCTGGCAGAAGATAGTCTTTTGGAGTGCACAATTTTATATAGTGATGAATACACACTACAGGTTTGTTCAACCAATCAAAATTTTTCGACACAGTTTCCTATTAATAAAACACTTCAAATTCAAAACACAAAACAAACACACCCAACATTTTAGCAGGAATGTAATTTTGTAGATTTCTCTGGGCTCTATTTATTTAGATTCTGAAACACAATCGCGAATCAAATTCATTCTAGAAGATGAAATACGTACACGTGTTCCAAATAAGAAGAATCAATCATAAAAACAATCAAATCCAACAAAAACTGAAGGCAAATAAGAACAAAAATGGTACCACAGTTCCCTCGGCATCCTGCTCATTGGCAAGGTCTTGAAGAAACCATGTCGCACTTCCATTATCAGGCACATCAGTCTTCAACTCCAGCAACTCAAATATCAAGCTCTCATCGCGCGTCGGATCCACAAAAACCTCCTACAACACACACGTACTTTCATCCATCTATCAAGAAGCAACAAAAATCAATAAATTCTGAAATTAAACGAATTGACCTACCTGATTATCAGGAACTTCGCGAATATCACTTACATCCTACACACAGAATCGAACGTTTAGTTACACAGTAATTAAGCCATTGACAACACCCAAATCCACAAAAAACTCGAAAACAACACAAATCACAGTTAAAAACACACAATCACCCAAACACAGCGACAAAATCAAGACCTATTTGCAACATCGAAGCGTACACAGAAATTAGCCTTCAACAACGTACCAAAAACTCGAAAATAATAATAACAACAACAAAAATCAAAACCAACAACTCGAAAAAAAAAAAAAAAAAAAACACACAACAACACATATCCTAGTAATCGAACATTTAGTTACACAGAAAGTAAGCCTCAACAACAAAAAAATCAATCCGCAAACCTGGAAGCGCAGTGGAAAGGAGGCGACAATAGCGCCACCAAAAAGAGGACGTTGAGCGCGCAAATCCTCGGGCATTTTTCCCATCGCCTCGCAAAAACGCAACTGCTGTAATGGAAGAATCTCGAACTGCACATCGATTTAGACTTGCTGAAATGGGTAAGTATTAATTCGAGAAAACAAAAAATTTTCAGAGATGGAAGCCTGCATCCGATATCAGAGCCAGGTTTCGATCCTGGGACCTGTGGGTTATGGGCCCACCACGCTTCCGCTGCGCCACTCTGATTTTGTTGAAATATATTACAAAACAATATTATTTAATCTATAAATAAGGGCAAAATGGTTAATTTCTTACCTTTTGACTCAGACGTTAAGTCAGACGGGCTGGCCCAATAAGCCTGTTTGAATTGGATTATTATCCATAAAAAAAGACTACACAATTATTCAGCTTAGCCTAGTGTTTTTTTTTTTTTTAAATAATATTTTTATTAAATGTTTGTAATAAGGAATCATGTAAAAATATTAAAAATAAGTAAATAAATCCAAATTTTGATTCAGTTTTATTTTAAAACATTAATTTTATTATATTCAATTTACAATAAAAAAATATGTACTTTCATGGTCTAGCTACATTCTATACGAAATTTTATACACCATATAAAGAGTTTGTGTTTTAGTGTTTTAATTTGAATAATTCTTTTAGATGAGATATAAAAAATTATGTCGGCAATATATAAAATAATATTTTACCTTGAATGTTATTTTTTAAATGATAAATATATATATATTGAAAATTATGTCTGAAAAAAAATTATATAGTCAATATTTTATGTTAAATATTGATATTTTGAAATATTAAAATTGAAAGCAATATATCAAAATATGTATATAAGATTGTGTTTAGTTCACATTTTGTTCACCTAAATAACTTTTGACTAATCCAATGTTCAATATATATATATATATATACATATATATAATATTTTATTTTATTCCAAAAATTAACAATTTAATAGAAAATATTTATTGTTATATAACAAAAATAATTTTCTATACCTTAAAGCAAATAAAATAACTTAAACTAAGGCTTTGTTCTCCCAACAAATTTTTTAATTGCAATTCCCAAAAATAATAATAAATAAATTTCTATTTTTTTTATAAAAGTTAAAAAGTCAAAATAAACTTCAAATAATCATCACCAAAAATTAAATATTCAACTTAAAATAATATATTTTATAATTTTAATATAATTCTTTGTACTACACATAAAAAAATCAATTTATTTTAAAAAAATTGTGTGAACAGAGCTTAAAATACTAACCAAACACATCCTATATCTTTGTTAGTTTTGACTTTTTAGATATTTTTAAGATAAAATAATAATTAGATATCATATTTTGTATAAAATATTTTTTTATTTATAACATCAAATTTGCGTAACTTTTTTTTTCTTTAAGAAAAGTAAAATATATATATACACTATCTTCGTCTGGATCTAAATGTTTCATTTATTTTTTTACATATTGATTTTTGGATATTAATTACTATATTAAAACATAGTATAAATTAAAAAAAAATGCAAAATACTTCAATTAGTGTCTTGTAATACTAATACAAAAATATTTATAAAAAAATTATACAAATATAAATATTTTTAATATTAAATATAATGATATAAAAAAATAAACGTAACCCTTAGACGCGAATATAGCGAATATAATTTAGCTACACCGTTAAATATATATATATGAAAATTATGGTGAGGTGGTTTAAAGCTGGGGAAGCTTTTCAGATTGACCCAACTAACAATCTGTACAATTTCAAGCTATATCTGACATATTGCTATCCACACTCAAATATGACTACACATTTAAAATTGACAAATAATTTACCATTTTAGGGTTTGTTTAGATAGAGGGGTTTCTAGAGGTTTTTCAAAATTTGAAAGTTTGAAAAAAAATAAAAATAAAAATAAAAATTAAAAAAAAAATTAAATTAGTATTTAATCTGATATTTTGTCAAAGAAAAAATGTATTTGATGTAATAATTTTTGAAAAATAAATAGTAACAAATGAATAAAAGTATGCTATGTAAACATAATTTTAAAGTTTTGTAATAATACAAGTGTATAAAGCCTAAAATATATTGATCCATTTATTGAAATATATTTCAGAACTTTACTTGAAATAATATAATAGTAATACTTTACTAACACTACTTTATTTAGCATATATTATTATTATTATTATTATTATTATTATTATTATTATCAAAACATTACATGCATCATATATCAATTTTTAATTATTACAAAAATTTCCAAAATTTCAAAAACTTTCCCCGTGTGTTTGTTTGGGGTTTGGATTTTGAGTTGGGATTTGAATAAGAAAATTTTTGAATTTGAATAGTTGTATGATGTGATATAAATAAGTGTTAGATGTGATATTTTGAATGTAAAATTGATTTTTAGTATAATTTAAAAAATAAAAAATAGGTATTTGATTTGATATTTTTTTAAAAAAAATAAAATAAATAGTGAATTTAAAATCCAATACCCGAACAAACACACTAGTTAGTTCCATTGTTGTAAATGTCATCATCATCATCTCTTCATGTATCAAGCATGACTTTCTCTTTTCTTCTACAATAACCATCATACAATTTATTATTATTATTATTATTATTATTATTATTATTATTATTATTATTATTATTATTATTATTATTTAATAATAATAATAATAATAATAATAATTTTATTTGGTTTCATAAACTATCCAAATTACACACCATTTTAGCTAGTGTCTCGATTTGCAAATTGGCATAATTAAATTTAATTTTGTGAAGCTATAATTGATAAATATTACTATATCAAAAAGCTACTTTTGATACAAATACAACATGGTTGAATTATTAGGTTACTTTGAAAACAAAAATATATAGAGAGTGTAACATGATACAAAATAAATGTTGAATGTAATTTTTATTAATAGAAAGTATCTTTTTAATATAATATTTTAAAATATATATATATATTTGTTTCTTTTTAGAAATAGAATTTCATGCAAACAATGAAAAACAAGTGTGAGAACATAAGTAAATACAATATATATTTGACAACAATTTCCCATCACAAATTTTTAATGAAATTTGATAAAATAAAATAGAAAGGGACTTTTAATTTGTCGATTTCGATCTCTAAATAATTCAACAATATATACACTATATTCACACGCAAGATCGGGATATGAAATCTACTATGGTATGTCGCAAATTTATCGGTGCGACGCAACCCATTTAATCTTATTATTGTAGCTATAATTTTGGATCATATATTAATTAACTATCACTCTAACAAATAAAAAATGCTACATTTTTTTTTTCTCTAGATTTCATGAAGGAATTATTTCATAAGCCATCAATACTTACCATAATAATCATAGTATATAAAAAATATTGAGCAATGGCAAATTAAAATATAAATTTAAAAAAAATAAATAAAAATAGAGTGCATTAATAATTAAATAGGTTTAAAAAATGGCGAAATAAATATCATAGGGCTCCTACACCAAGAAAGTCTATAAATTGTGGTGCAGAAATTCTTTCATCATCATCATTAATGGCTGCCACTGCTTCTCCTTGGGGAACTTCTGCCCGCGACAAACTCTCTGGCCGTTGGATTGACAGAGATGGACGGTCAAGATTCATCCAACAGTTACTGTTGTAACTGCTCCCCATCGTCATCAGCATCTTCATCTTCCCTCCAATGCAACTACTTTGTTCTAATCCTATCCAAAATCAATTTCTATTTTTCAATAATAATAATAATAATAATAAATCCACCAATCCTTATAATTTAATATATGTAATTAAAAAAATTAAACCCTGTATTTAAATATTTTAAAAATTATATTTTAATAAAATACTTTTTTTTATATAATAAATTAAACTCTATATAATTGTTCTTATTTTTTTCCCATACATTTTTTTTAAAAAAATTATATGCTAGACATTCTCATCATCATCATTATTATTATTATTATTATTATTATTATTATTATTATTATAATACGTACAGAATTATCTATATTTCATATAAAAATATTTTTTTTCAATAATTTCACAAAACAAACACATCTATTTCAAAATATAACATCATATGCATTATGTAAGACTCATTCAAAAAAAATTTATTTTTAAATATATTTTTTATAAACAAATTTTTTTATTTATATTTAAAACTTAATATATTTTACAAAAATAATTTATATTATCATAAATAAATATATTTTTTTCTTTATAAAATAATACTCCTATCTTGTATTTATTTTAATTGAAACATAATTTTTAAATATTTCAATACATATTAATTTTTATTTTAAAATTATTAACGATACCACTTACATAAAAAAATAATAAATCTAATATCATAATTTACTATTATTAATTTGCCACTTTAAATATAATATCCCATAAAGTATATATAATATAAATATTATCAATACAAATAAAAAATAATTATAAAATATTTATTTATAATCAATATATATTATTTTATAAAAGTAAATAAAAAATATGAATATTTGTTTTATTTTTATTATTAATAAATTGTTTTTCGTATTTAAAAATTACCACAATACTAAATATTTAATTTTACTTTTTATACCATAATATATTATTATAATTATATATTTAAAATATAATATTATATTACATGATTATTTAAATTTAAACTAGGACTTAAATTCCAAACAAACACACTTATAATAATTTTAAAAAAAAAAAAGTAAAAAAATAGAAAAATTAAAACGGTAACCAAATATACCCTAAATTATTCAATTCAGTTGAAAAACCTGGAAAGAACGACGGCGGCGCCGCCGCCGGCTGCCAGAAAGAAGCGGCTGTAGCTGCAGCGGTAGTAGATGTTCTCAACAACGGCGGATCTGGAATAATCTGTTTAATAATCTCGTCGTCGTTGCTGTCGGATGGTTTATTAAAGAGGAATTGAGTCATCATCGCCGCGGCGGCGGTGGTCGCCGCCGCGGCCGCCGGCGTCGTCGTCGTCGTCTTCCTCCTCGACCTGTAATTGGAGGAGTGTTCTCTGTACTTTCTAGCCATGATCACATGCCAATGGTTCTTAACGGCGTTGTCGGTCCTGCCGGGAAATAGCCTCGCTATCATCGCCCATTTGTTACCGTACAGCCTGTGTGCCGCCATCAACCTCTCTTCTTCTTCCTCGCTGAAAGCTCTCCTGTTAATCCTCGGATCCAGCTGGTTGAACCATCTCAGCCTGCAACTTTTCCCTAATTCCCAAATTCAATCAATTTACAGATCAATCATCTCTATACAGATAGATAGATACATAAATATATATGTATATATATGTATGTATATGTGTATATACCCGATCTTCCATGGAGTTTTTCTGCAATGAGGTTCCAATTCTGGGGGCCATAGAGGGCGACGAGTTCTTTAAGCTTAGCATCTTCTGCAGGTCGCCAATGGCCGCGAGCACAGACTTTTGATGAGGAATTTGATTGAGGATTAATTGGTTTAGAATTTTTGTGATTGGGGATCATATTCATCGCCATGGCCGTAGCTTGAAGGTCTTCTTCATCTTCTTCGTCTTCGTCTTCGTCTTCGTCGTCTTCTTCGTCTTCATGATCTTCAATTTGTTCAGTAGCGTTGAGATCAATTAGGGGTCCTCCATTTCTAATAGCAGGCAATTTACCCCCAAATTCTAGGGTTTCTTCAAAACCCCAATTTCCCGCATCCATTGAAGAACAATTCAAAAAATTCAGATTAGGATTGATTGACAGGAAGCTCAAATCATCGTAAACCATTCCCACCATTGAAGAAGAAGAAGAAGAAGAAGAGTGATGAATTGGGTTTCCTATTGGGGAATTATATATACTTCTTCTACCACTACCCATGCTTAATTTCTTATTCTCTCTGTCTCTCTCTTCTTTTTATCTCACTCTACTGTCTAAAATTTTTATTTTTGCTGACAAATGCTGCTGCGACAACACTGTTACAATGTCATGTTTTCATCATCTCAAAATTAATGAACAGAAATTGAAATCTGGGAGAAAGAGAAGGGTTTTATGCAGGAAAATGTAAGAGTGAGAAAACCCTAAAAAATGGTTTTTTTAAAAATATAGAACACCCAGAAAATATGAATAAAAGGGCTGTCTTTAATTCTTCAATGTTAGTATAATGAATCTAATAAGGGAAAAGTTAGAGTGAGAGAACCGTAAAAATTATTTTTTTAAAAGAAAAACCAGAAAAATTAACTAGAAGGGCTTTCTTTAATTCTTCAATATTAGTATAATGAATCTAAGGGAAATCTTAGAGTGAGAAAACCCTAAAAATTATTTTTAGAAAAATCCAGAAAAATTAACTAAAAGGGTTGTCATTCTTCAAATTAATGTATGTAAGGGAAATCTAGAGTGAGAAAACCCTGAATTTTTATTTTTTTTTAGAAAAAATAGAACAAATAAATAAAAGGGATGTCTTTAATTCTTCAATACTAATGTATGTAACTATGTAAGGGAAATCTAGAGTAAGAAAAACCTGAATTTTATTTTATTTTTAATAAAAAAAATACTAGAACAAATAAATAAAAGATATGTCTTTAATTCTTCAATACTAATGTATGTAACTATGTGAGGGAAATCATAGAGTGAGAAAACCCTAAAAGAAAATTTAAAAATAAATGAAAGGGGTATTTTTAATTCTTTAGTACTATTAATGTATGTAATAACAGTAAATCAAATAATCAAATTAGTTGGTGGTGTTGTTTATGGAGTGTATGAACAGTGAAATAAAAATCCTGACTGAACACTTTCTGGTTCTGGTTCTGAATTTTTCTGTATTTTTACCCCACTTGTAATAATTAATTCCTGTTTTTCACTACACGTATATATTACAAAATTACAATCATTTCGTCCATGCAATGAAGCAATGTGTGTAAATATTTGAGAGTTATTGCAGGTTGCAGTAGGGTTTTTAATTTGGGGGCTCCCGGACCTTGGATGCTGTGTTTTAATGGCGGGGATGTGTTCGGGAGCCGGAGTCCCGGGAGCTGGGACAATATAGGCGGAAGAAGAGAGGTGTCTGTGTGTCTGTCTCAACCAAGACAAGAATGAGTGATGTAGAATTGAAACAGTGCGTGTTTTTTTAATTAATTAAATTCTTTTTTTTTTTCTTTACTAAATAAATTAAATGAACAAGAAAAATGAATTTCAATTTATTTATCTATCAATCTTTCATATCATGAGTTACTTCCTTCTAAGCTATCAAAGATATTTAAGATTGATGTTGACCTCTTTTCTTGGATTCTGTATATGTTTTTTTTTTTTTTTTTTAAATTTTTTATTTATTTGTTTAAGCAAAGTTGTTATTGGTCTTCTATAGATACAATTAATATCTCTTTTTCAAATTAATTAATTTTGTTAGGGTGTGTTTGTTTGGGGATTTGATTGGATTTATACTATTTATTCAATTTTTTTTTCTCAAAAATATCAAATCAAACACCTATTTTTTATTGTTTATATTATACTAAAAATCAATTTTACATTCAAAATATCACATCAACACCTATTTATATTAGGTCATACAATTATTTTAATTCAAAATTTTTACTATTCAAATCCCAACTCAAAATCCAAACCTCCAAACCAACAAACCCTTAGAGTATTAAAAAAAATTATGAATTGTATATCAGAATGTATATATATATGAGTGTACTTGAGCTTAAACTAAAGTAAATAATAGAAATAATATTTATATAGCTAACACTTTTCAAACTCAAGGTGGTGCAGTAAAGGTCAATTTGAGTTTGTTTTGGAAAAGATCAGAACAAGATGAACAATTTCACCAACTACACTATTGTCAAATTGTCAAATGAAGTGACAATCAAATTCAATATGTTTGATATGATTATCACGGTGTAGTAGACAACTAAGGAACACAAAAATTAGTGACTAATCGAAGAAGTCATAAAAATTCTGATATAGAATCATCAAGAGCATGATATTCTAACTCTAGAATAATAAATATTGATTATCATATCATTTACCCTTATTTATTAGTGGTAACATTTTTAAAGAATATAAAAAGAAAGATAATTATTATAACAATAAAAAAAAATTAAAAATAGCATGGCCTCACTTGCCAACATCTTCATTAACACAAACATAAATGTATATATGCATATAAATCAATATAGAAACAGGTGTTCAGATTTGAGTTTAAGATTAGGAAATGATATAAAAATTTGATCGAAAGTATAAAGTATTATCATAATTAATGTGATCTTTTAAATATTTTTAAAAAATTAAAATATATATATACATATGTGTGTGGAACCAAAGCAAAATCCATCTGCAACGTCTCCATTAATAAATACTACTATACTACAAATGTACGTATATGTATATATACTGGTGCAGATTTGCATTAGTGCAGCTGATCCCATATATATATATATATATATATATATTTCGCCTAGCATGATTTTTTCGTTAGACATTCATAGATTTATTTAGGAGTAAGGGTGGGCTGCAGCTCTCTTGCCCCACTATTCTATACAAGTGATATTTAAAATAAATAAATAATAGTAATAATAATATTCAGTGTTAAATTATTTTTTTAATAAAAAATTATATTATTTTTTATTTAAAAATATAAAAAAATATATATTTACAATATATACATAGTCATAATATATAATTATTAATGTTTTTTTAATTTGTTGTTTTGTAATAAAATAAATTATTTTTAAAATTTAAAAAAATTTCCCCCCCTCCTCAAAATGTATTTTAGTTCCGCCGCTGCCATCGGACGTGATTTGCAGGATATTAGATTCGGCCAAAGATTTACTCAGTGCACATTTTCGGATAGCGGTTGCGGATTCCCACATTATAAAAAAAAAAAAAAATGTACCCTTCTTGTTTATATTCATATTTTTTAAAAGAAAATAAAAATAGTAATACCATTTTAAAAAAATAATAAACATTAAAAATATCTGTTATATATATATGGATCACTATATACTATTTGTATGGAGTATTTATTTAAGCTCTAAATGATGTACAAAAAAATAAATAAATAAACGAGTAGTTGTTCATCAAATAAAGTGTAAATATACATGAGCTAAGTATAAAACAGCAACATGAATTTCTTGACTGTTTTTTAAAAGTAAATACGTGATCCGTCCCTACGAGAAAATGTGTGTTATTATTTTTGTCGATTCAAATATAAAATATACAAAAAAAAATTTAGTTCATTCATGTGACAAATACATGTTATAAATACATTCCCATTTACACTTATTTGCGTCAAAAAAAATATACACACATTATCATTTCAATATAATATTGAGTTAGTAAATGTTATGTTCTTCAATATTTTTTAATATTTATTCGTTCCATTTTTCTTAGAAAAATTACACACTTTAATTATATATAAATTTATAATTTTTTTAATTTAATTTAATAATTAATTATTTTAATTTTAATTTAGAATTATTTTTAACTTATAGTACATTTTTAATTATTTACATCTCCTAAATTTATATGTAAAATAACACATTATATCTGATACGAAGAGAGCATTTCAAATCAAACTATTGACACTAAAAATAAATACTCTCTTCATCTCATAACAAGATATTTATTTACTATTTATGTAAAAAAGTAAATGGATACTTAATTACGAGATGGAGACGGAGGGAGAGGGTCTGTGTTATTAGGTATTTACCCCTCTTAAATTATGTGTTCAATAACACATTGGGTTTGTTTTTTTAACAAAAATTTTCAATATCTTTTTTACTTTTATATTACTTATACAATTCTCCATTAGGGATGTCAGATGTCAAATGGGGCGAGTTAGCCCTCGATCCGATTCGGTGTTAATGGGGGCGGGTACATATCTAAAAAATTTGGTTCAGGACGGGTTGTAAGTTGTGTGGATTTTGAGTTTTAGATGTGGCCGGATTCAAGACGGGTTATGGATTTTACTAAAAATTTGTCTCTCTACGGAACGTAACTCAGATATTGTTAATAATTATTATAATTTATTTATATTTTCATACAATATAAATTATACTCCCTCCGTCCACCTCTAAGGGTCACATTTATTTTTTATTTCATTGTATTAACATTAAAAATATCTCTTATATTTGTATAATTTTTTTTCTTCGATTAGTATTGTAAGACACTAATAGAAATATTTTTACAATTTTTTCTTAATTTGACTACGTTTTAATATAATAGTTAATATTCAAATATCACGCAAAAAGTAAATGAGATCTTTAGAGCCGAACGGAGATAGTATTATTTATTTATTTTAAAAAAATTAAACATAAAATAGAACCTTAATTCTAAATCAAATTAGCCTTCGCATTTATTTCTCCTACAATTTTCTTTATAATCGAGATTATTGCTGACCGTCATCACTGCGAATTATTATCAATATTTGATTATTTTTATTTGATTGGATCCTAATATTTTCTAGTGACGTGAATTTGACATCCCCATTCTCTATACCTCTCGTAAAAAAAAAATATCAAACACACCCATTATATTTTATAGGAAGAGGAGAGAGTATTTCAAAAGATGGCAAACTATTGACATTAAAAATAAATAAATAAAAAAAATAGAGTAATAAAAGGAGGGTAAAGCATCATACATGATTTTGGTAGTATGGGCATGCGTGTGTGTTGCGGTTTGCAGTCTCAGGACAACTTCGGGACACACAAATACAAACACATATATATACATACATATATGTGTACAGATATACATATATATGTATTGGAGCATCTTGTCCGATCATGGATCAGAGTTTTTTTTTTTTTTTTTTTTTTTCTGATCAGACACACACACACGCACGTGTGAACCAACCACCTCCCCCCACTTGTGTGCTCGTGTCTACCTTTAGCTTTAGGTTTTGAATGATTGATTGGTAGGAGAGGATATATATACATACATACATACATACATATATAGTATATGACTATATGTCAATTCTATACACATATAGTATAAAGTTTAAGGTGTGTTTCTTTATATCTTGATTTGATTTCAAAAATTTTGATTTGAATTTGATAAAAAAATAATATATAATAAGCTATTTTGTGATAATTTTTTTTTTTTTTTGTAAAATTATGGTCTTATTTGAGTTAGATACTGGATTTAAGGAATATAAATATTATAGTGAGAGTTGATAAAAATTATGAGTAAAGAATCTTTTTGACCCGTAAGTGTATTAGAGGAAAAAATAGTAACATTTATTTAATAATGATGAAAATATAAGAATAATTTTATAGTGATATGAGTATTTATAAAAATAAGACTATTGTTTTCGGACAAAAATAATAACTATTGTATTGAAACTGAGAAATTTTTTTTAAAAAAAAAAAAAAAAACCAAGAATTCAAACAGTAAAATTTGATAAATTTAGAAGTAAAAAGAAACACACCTTAATCTCCTTAAGGGTGTGTTTGTTTGAAGGATTTTGGAGGATTTCCACTATTCATCCAATTTTTTTCCCCCAAAAACATCAAATCAAACACCTATTTTTCATTTTTTATATTATACTAAAAAATCAATTTTACATTCAAAACATCACATCAAACCCTATTTATATCACATTATACAACTATTCAAATTCAAAATTTTTACTATTCAAATCCCAATCCAAAATCCAAACCCCCAAACAAACACACCCTTAAGTAAAGTTAAAATTATGTAAATAAATAAACTACAGCCATAATCGTACTAAATTATTTACGGTATTGAATTATAAAATTGAGCGTGTAGATAAGAGAACAAATAATACAATATATATATCAACATTGACAAGTAATATAATCTTATTCAACGTATAGTATAATTGATTTATGACAAATATATATATATATATATTTATACTATCATACCTACAAATATGATTTGACAAGCATATGTTTTTATTGTACTGTCTGCTTGTTTCTATAGAAATACTTCGTCAAATTTATTCATAATCAAATCAAGAGCTTAAAAACATAATATACCATTTACATTTTTATTTTTAATCCAGTTTCAAAAAGCTAACAAATTAGAATGCTTCAACTTTCACTTAAATAACCCCAATCAACAAATAACTCATGCACAAAAATATGAGAACACAAAATTTGTAAGTTACATTTTTATGTCAAGAAAATTCAAAAAAATTAAACTGATCATCACAGAATGGTATTGCTAGCCACTAACAAAAAAATGATAGAAAGTAATGCCCCTAAACTGCAATTATATATCTCGTCATTCAAATTGCATTTTTATTTTGTATTTAAAAAATTAATAATAAAGATAGAAAAGAAAAACCAAGGAAAGGAAGCAAAACAGTGATTGGGACTTGGGCAACAAATAATTACTGTGGATGAAAGAAAAGGGTGAGGGAGAGAATGAATGAAAGGACCCACAATATAAAAGTAGGACTACTGCCATTAGATTCTGTTGGAGTTTGCCTGCCTCCCTCAATGCACATTATTTAAAAAAATTTAAAAATACACACATATATATATATACACACATAAAATACCTGTGTATAAAAAAATAATAAATAAATAAATACATATATATATGTACATACTTGCTAAGAATCATGCTCCTCATCTTCATCATCATCATCATGATCAAGTCTTTTTAGGGTTTCATTGCTGGTTCCAACCCCACCACCAAAACTACATGACAAATTAATATATATAATCACTAAACATTATGGGATTCCGCACATGCAATTATTATACAAACATGTGTGTGTGTGTGAAAGAGAGAATTCTAGTACAAAACCCAAACAGCAAATGTGAAGTTTTAGCATGCATGTCAAAGCAGTGAAAAAAATCTGTGTTAAATTTGTCCCAAGTGAATACAGGGCTAGTGGGGGTAAGTTTTGTTGTTACTTGGAAAGTTTACTGTTTTTCATTATCAAACAGAAATAGGGTTTTTTTTTTAAATTTATCCTTTTTGCTAAAATCTATATTCAAGAATGATTTCATCTTCTATTTAGGTTACAATAACTCTGATTATTCATATCATATCTAATAGTAACTTTTTACTATTCAGAAAACTGTCAAAACTTAAAACTATTTGTCTATAGGGAGATTTTTGGAATATAATTAGTCAGTCATCATCATCAGTATCTATGCATAAAAGTCCAAAAACACAAACAGAAAAACACACTTAACAATTAGTCATGGATGGATGATCTAAGCAGAGGAGTGAGTGTTGTAACTCATCCAATGATATGATCTTTCATGAACAAAGTAATGAATGTGTAGATTCATGACATGGTTGGGAGAAGAAATTTAACACCAAAAGTAGTGGTGACTAAAAGGTTGTTTCAACACAAATTCCCAAGATATGTGTTGATAGAGGGGGAGAGAGAGAGAGAGAGAGATGTTAACAACTCAGAAAAGAAAAAGAGGGGGGGGGGGGGGGGGGGGGGGGTATGGGTGGGATGGCAAAGGAAGCAGCTATATTTGTTGCAGGCAATGTTGCATACAGAAAGTGAGAAGACTGGAATGAGATTGTACTGTTGACCCCACTACTCTCTTCCCTATTTACTAATTATCAATGATCATATCTCATTCTGTTTTGGATAGTTGACATCAACAGTACTCTTCTACTTGGGAACAAACAACCCCAATTATGCAGAGACTGATACACTGCATGTTAGTAGGTTGAGGGATAGGGGTAGTTTTGGGAATTCACACATCACTGGTACAATGATGTAAAAGGAGATAGATAGATAGATAGATAGATGGATAGACAGATGTGTGGTGGGGTGACAACTGTGAAGTGAATGAATGAATACTTATGAAGAATAATTACTTGATAGATGGAACCATCAAGAAGCAGCTCATATTCATGTCCCCCCCCCCCCCATTCATAAAGCAGCAAAAACCCCTAAGTCATTTTTAAATTCTAATTTCAACATACATGGATATGTACAGGTAATAAAGTGATGATTCTCAAGAGCTATAAATGGAAGAAAGTAAGAGGGGCTTTAATTAAATTGAAATACTACATACAAATATACAATACCCCATATATCAACACCACAAAGATGTCAGATTGATCAAGTAAGCATTGCATCAGAGAGTCAGTAGAGTAAATCAGATCTTAAGCCCTCCTAACTGAATTAAGGGTTTGTCCTTTGTTATAATTGGAGGGGCAGATTTTAGGCTCCTTATCAGCACCAGTACAATTCATGCACTGCACAGAAAGTCTACTAATAGCTACCTTACCCTAATCTAGTGTAGCCAATCCCTGAGAGGCTGCTGCAGTGCAGTGCAGTGCAGTGCAACCCCCATGGCCATTCCTCAGTAGATTTTAAAATCATCTTTGACTGCACTTCCCATCGATACCAGTTGTGCAACAGCCAGAAATACATTATTATATTAGTGAAAGTCAGATTTTTCTTCTTTGGAACTACTTCTCATGTGGCCATTGGTGTCCTCAGGTTTTGTCAGCTATTCCTTGAATGACTAATAATGCATGCTCTTTTCCAGGTCTCTGATGGAGTACCAAGTTATGCATGTGTATTAACTTCTTGTTTGTTAGTTCCCTGTTGAGTTAGCTAACTACACAGCCATCATCCCCCATTTTGGAATACTAACTTAAATGTATCACTATTATTATTATTAAGTAATAAGGGGGCTCATGATTTCAGTGGATATTTAGCTATTTATCTTCCTATTGTCTTCATGTAAGATGTACCAAACTGTCTTAAATAAACCATTAATAGTATCTGTGCTGAGGCAGCAGCAGTGACTTTAATGAAGGAATCAGCTGTTAGTCAGTGGTTAGTAAATTAAGTGGATAATCTTAAAATAGAGTTTCAAGGCAAAATCATCTATTTTTTTACACAAGGGCTCAACATTCTTAAAAATCTAACAGATGAGAATATTATCATTCTTGCTCTATTATACAGGAGTAAATGCATAAACTAAAATTAATCGACGGGTTCAAAGCCACTGGCAATTCATTTTCTTCAGGCACTCCCAACAAATGTTTTCTTTTTTTTTTTTTTTTGTATCTGGTTCTCTTTTATCTTGGTTCAATTTATTGCATGCTTATCTTATTAAGCATGGGATGATCATCCTGCTGCTTTGTTCAGCTTCAAAATCAATTGAAACAGAAATTCTAACTACAGCAGTCTTGAATAGCAGGGAGAACCAAATTGTATATATAACTAAAAAGTGAGCAAAGAAATATTCACACAAGTGAAAGGCATATATCAATTTATGAATGTAGCCCTCTGTTCAAGATTCTGAAATGTATGTTGCATCAACTATCACATATAAGTAAAAATTGAAAAACACAACATAACATACAAAATATCTCACATATAAGTATAATATAGCATGGTTCCGACTGAACTTTATTGCATTCATTCTCAAACTAAATATCTACATCAAACAGTTTAATTAACCTCAAGGGAGAGAATTGGAGAGGTAGTGATCAATAATTATCACATTGTCTTTAATATTAAAATCTTCCAAACTCTTGCAACATCAGAGCTAACTAATTGGTATAGAATAGGCTGAGAAAGAAATAATGGCCGAATTACAACACAGCTCAAGGCATGAATGGGAAGTGTGTACGGTTAAGCAATGTAGAAAATTCGTCTATATCACAAATCGGAATCCAATAGTAACACGAGCTTCAGGACACAATAACCATGTCAAAAAATAAGAAGCTAATACCATATCATCTACCATCCGCAAGAATTGCATTTTCATCCAGTTTTGACTCACCTATATACCAAACGATTGCTGAGCCAATGATTAAACTTATACAAAAGTAAAAACGTGCATAAAATGGTCTGTTTGAGAATGGCCGGCTTCCCGCCAAGTCAATAAGCGCATGCAACTCAATGAAAACAATACTGTCGATTCACAAAGGGAAGTGCATTGTGTCAATAGATTGGTATAACTAATCATTCAAATAAGTGCACGGTAGCATTTCAAGAAAAGATACATATACACATGTGTGCAGCCGAGCAAAAACTGGACTAATGTCACTATAATAGCATGCTAGAAGCAGTGAAAGGCAAGAGTCACAGCAAGCCATTTTTTTTACTAATCCTACAAAACCCATATTTCTCACAGATTAAAAAGAGAATCTTACGGGTATCATGAGCGAACAGAACATACGAACACATAATTACCATAATTTATTGGACATCCTAGGCTCCTGTGACTGCTCTCTTGGAGATGGATGCCATGATCTTTTTCACTTCTGCTTTCAGAGTGTTCACAAAATCTGCTCTATGTTCTCACAGTATGGAAGGAGTGTAGCCTTCACACTTTGGGGAACACTCCAATCCTCAACATGGAATCCAGGAAGTTAGGTAAAGTTGAAAACTTGAATTTCCAGAAACACTCTGATATACTAAATGAACACACATCAATGATCAATCTATGCTTGATAAAGAATATCGACATCAAAGCATCCAATAACCTTTTGACTTCATATACCTTCTGCTTCTTTGCTCTGCCATACCAAAGGTTGAGCTGTCGCCATGCTGAACACAGAAACGTAATAGTTAAGATAGACATAGAGAGCACGTGGAGGGCCTTAATGTGAAACAACCTTTTTCCATGAGCTGATTGGAAGTTCTTGTTGAAGCCATAGTTGTGAATCGGTGTATGGCAGGGCATGCAGCATACTGAAGCATAGCACACATTCACAAACTTACATATATATAATGAAAACATTAACGAAGTTAATACACTTTGTCAATAATGTTAAACAAATATTCATAAATTTAATACACTTTCAAGCTATTTCTTACTAAACTAATTCACAAGTAAATAAATAGATAAAGAAAATGTCTCTTTGAAGCGAAAACCTCTCTTCAAAAGGGCTCTATACAACGGTGAGGCTGCACCTTGCGATGACATTTTCAGCCATCAAATGCTCCTAAAATACAAAAGCCACTCATCAACTCATCTAACAGAATGTTAAAGGTGAGAGGTTTTGCAAGGTGACAAGTAAACTGATTCTTGTATATTCATGGAAATATTAGTGACATGGCCTACATTGATATTTCAAAAATTTCAAGTTTAAATAAAGAAAGAAAGAAGAATAAACTTATGGCACCAAGAAGATACAAAGAGTACATGTACAAAAGAACTTCACTTTTAGAACAAAGATGTTGAATCCCTATAATTTGGTTCCTTCAAAGAGGCTAGATACTGGGCAAGACATAATAATAAAGAAACCCTTGAATGGTATATGATTTCTGTAGATATGGCTAACAAAGCACTCCATGGGTGAAACTTGATGTCTGATATATATATATATTCCAAAGCAACTGAAAATAAGCCCTCTAGGACTAGGAATAGTAATGTTGATTCAAATCTAAATCATCAACAATATAACAAATCTTAATCAGGCATCTCAGCAAGATATCTGATTCAAACTAAAACCAACTGCACTTCAAGCAGTCAATTATGATGGATATCCAAGAATACCAACTGTTGAACAAAAACACAAAGAAGCCAAAGCAGAATGACAAACAAGTTAAATGAAGGACCCCGGTATTTTGGATATATGTAGGACAAAATACCAGGGAGAGTTGGACGATCCCAAATGATGAAAGGGTGAAGATGAGAAAATGCACTAGTCAAATCCAGGCATGTGTGGAATTGGGCACCTTCTGGTTTTCACCATCTCAACAAAAAGGTCCTCTTTTCATAGACAAATTTCTCCCAATAACATCTGTGCTTTCCATAGCCAATATCCAAGATCCCATACTTAGCCAAAATGCATAACTCCACAAGTTCCACTCCTATGAGTTGCCAACATCCCAAGTTCTTTTCTTCGCCCTCCGGCTGCATGTCTGTTGGATTACACACAGTCGAACAGACCTTGCCTAATCATTTCCCCAACAATCTGTTTACCAAATAGATTGAGTTGCATTCTTTTTTTTATTGCAACTCCATAGCGCTGTTAGATTGAAACCAACGGACCAGATCCCAAAACTACAGAAGCCATGAACAAAAGCTCATTTCCAATATCTACCCCCCCAACCATATTTCCTCTCCTTCAACTTATAATCTGCCAAGTTCTGTTTATAAATAGCATAGTAAGTACACTATGAATATGAATAAATGCAATTTAAAAAGGAGTTTCTCCCGTCTTCTTCCACAAATATATGAAGTCCCATTCTGTGGAAACCCAAAATCAGCTTGTTGTGGCAGCATTCCACAGAAGTTTGTGGCTTCTTAATCTCTGGTTACTGAGACTATAGACTTCTTCAACAGCCATGCTTAAATCAATGGTAATAACTTCAATTGATTCTTCATCAATCATCAATTGATCGGGAAAAGCTCTCTATCTCTCCCTTCGTTCTCAATATCTTCATTCCGGTGTACAAGGATAATTCTGTCCGAGAAATCTCATTTTGTGGTCAAGTCAGTTTTCCATATCACAGAGTTCTAGTAGTTGCTGAGTTACTTAGGTTAATTCATTTTACAGTGTCACTTTTTTCATTGTGTAGATTGTAATTGAAATAGATCTCTCTCGAAAGAATGCACTTACCTTGATGCATTTGTATATTATATTTTTAAACTGAATTCTTTGTTTTACCAAGCAAAAGAATCAATTTTCATTCTTGTTGATTATTCCTTCTCTGCCAATTATATTTTCTATGATTATTTCTTTACGATTCTATTCCGAGAATACCAAATGCACCCTTAGTGCTTCTACATTGCTACCCCTACCAGCAACTCCAATGAAAGCAGCCCCACATCATAGTTTCAAACTCCCACCAAGTCAAATGCATTAACTTTAAACATAAACACAATCAAACAGCAGATACATAACAAAAGACTTATTGCATTTCCATATTAAAACATATACAATTTTAAACAAAATTCAACAATTTACATCTCCATGTATACATGCTCAAGTCACCAAGTCGACACTAATATATATATATATATATATATCCAAGTAGGGGAAACTTACAGAGAGTGCTACAACTACACCTCAGGTGCCATTTCCAATCTCTTCTCAATCAGCTGTGCATTGAATTCTCCATCACTAACCTTCAGCATCTCCCACAATGGCATCGAAAATCGATGCTTCATCAAAAGCCTGTGGCGTGGCTTAATCTTCCTCTCCAAACTATAGGAGAAATACTGAGGAAAATCCTTGATTTCCTCAATATTCCCATTCATTTCATTCAGGAAATAATCCACCTTCGGCATGAAATTATTCTCCACACTGAATGTCAGCAACCCTGGCGACCTCAACACCATGTTCTTCACCTCGCCGTGTTTCAATCCTAACCCTAACAGATACTCAATCTTCGGAATCAGTGTAAATTCGATGCTCGACACCAACAACAACGACGTTCGCGAGGTTATTCTGTTCCGTCCGGAGAACCCGAATCGAGTCAGGAACTCAAACGTCGGCTTCAATTGAGCCTCCAGGTCGGAGACGAGAAGCCTAGGGCACCGAATAATCGATTTCCGAATTTCGTGGAAAGGGATTCTCACGGTGTTGAGTAAAAAATCAAAAATTGGATATATTTCAGTGTAAGGGTCGGAGGTCAGGAGCTCGGGGTGCATGTCCAAGATCCGGCCGACGTCGACAGGGTCGAGGCCCATTGATGCTAGGCATTGGGCGATGGATTGGACGGCGGAGAGTGGAGCCGAGCGGAGATTGGGATTCTTGTGGAGAGCTTTGGAAGAGTCGACGTTGAGAGATTGCAGGTAGAGAATTTTCCGGCGGAACCTCAGGCCGGAGTCGGCGGCGGTGGAGACGTGGGTTTTGAGGGTATTTTGGGTAATTAGGAGGTCGGGAGAGTTGGGTGTACGGACGCAGAGGATCATGTCTTTTTTGGCATCAGAGGCACTGTAGGTTTGATTGGAGGAATAGCATATGCTTATTGACCCGAATTTGGATTCGAGCCCGGGTCGGTTCAAAGTTAGGTTCGGGTTCGGATCTGGATCTTGATTAGTAGAAAAAATCCAAACGGACCCTGAATTATATATATGGTGTAAATTTGCTAAATAATTATATGCTTTGGCCCAAAATAAAATAAAATCCAGCCCAAAGTCTGAAGTTGGTCTTCATCGCCGGCGCCATCGCCAGCTCCAGCTCCAGCTCTGCAAATGTTCGATGAGATTGTAGGTACGTACACTCCTTCCCTTTTAATATGGCTACACTGTGACAGTCATTTGCAGCAATTTTCGCATGGATCTTGTTTTGTTATTTCAATTTCATCTGATTTATAAGATATCGCCAAATTAGGTTTCACCGATTCACACACAAAATAGCCATTGTTAACTTGATTCGGTTGGTCGGTGAACCAAGGTAGAAGAAACATCTTTAATTCGAAGTAGTGGTATGTGTATATACATATTTTTTCTGTAGGGTTTGATTCGTAGAAAATTCCAGAAGCCATGGGGAGTTAGGCTTTCTCGTTATCCTCAATTGTGTGACAACTGCGTGATTTTTTGGGGAAATTTTTGTATTATTTCTTAAGAAGATTGATTATGATCCTGTAATTCTCGTTTTGATTAATGAAAACTTGTGTTATCTATTCACGATTTCTTGGGTGGAGTTGTCGATTGCAAGCACATCACTAGGTTACCTTCTGTGCGAAGGATACATTTGTGTAATTTCTATCCAGCAGCTGTACTCGATAAAATGCCTCAATGAAACATTCAAATAATGTATACAATGAGCAATTGCTACCTGAATTAATTCCAAGCTTCTTGCCTTGCTTTCAGATAAGTGATCTCGAGTATTATTCATGATGATCGGTTCTTGCATCACTGCATTGAAGCTCCAGGCCAGTGGGATCTTCGGAACTCCTCTAAATAATTCGAGCATTGTTTCAATAATCCCTCCAAGTAAGCAAAATCGCGACTTATTTCAACACATTTCCACAACTTCTCAACATATTTATTCGTAATAGTTTTTTTTCCAGGCGTTGCTACTAGACCATCGGTGATCGAAGCAAGAGCCAACACCCGAACCGACAATGCCAAAATCCGGAACAGAAAGTTAAGAAAAAAGGTAACAACAACTAACAACTTAGCTTGAATGCCAATTTTTAGTAAGACAATATAAGTGATTCTTGTGAGGTCTGTAACGGAATCAGTTCAACGGGACAGCTGTGAAACCGAGACTTTCGGTCTTCTGCTCGGGCAAGCAGCTTTATGCGATGCTGGTGGATGATCAGAACAAGAAGTGTTTGTTCTACGGAAGCACCCTCCAGAAATCTATCCGAAACGATCCATTTTGTACTACGGCTGTAAGTATTAATTCCCTGCTTAGTAGTTATGAACCCACAAGTGGTTATGGGGCAATTTTAAATTTGGTTGCGTTTGATGTGGGTTACAGTTTGGATCGAAACCGTCATGAACCCAATCTTGTCCCGAATCCGTTTAAATTAACCATTTTAAAAATTAATATTATATATTTTTATGATTATTTATATTATCAAGATTTCTAATTTTATACTTCTACCGTTCATATTGTCAATTGTCTTCATTAATTTTTAGATGTAACTGAAAACGTATCACTAGTTATGTGGTTGATGTTTTTGAGCTTTAAAATATCTGATACTTAAATATTTGATTTTTTATACTATATTATAATCCCTTGGTCTCAATTCAAAGTATTTTGTTTTTATTATTTTCGTATGTTCTATTTCAAAGTTTTTCTTTTTTATTTTAGAAAAAATAATTATACACTAATACTAAAATACTCTTCAATTTTATTTAAATTACAAACATATTATTACATATACAATTATTTTATACATGCAAAAAATGTCAATGTAAAAAATTCTTGCACACTTCTATTGAGTAATAAAATATGATTATTTTTTAATCTAATACAAAATTCAAATAGTTTCTTTGATTTAGGACGGAGGGAGTATGACTTATAAAAAATGATGCAGAGGGGATGGGTTCCCGGGGTTTGCAAAACTCATCCCAAGTCTGTTCTGTTGCCATTTGAGTTGAGTTAAACTATTATTGTTCAAACACAAAATTGGCATTCGGTGCAATGCATTTTGTTATGTTTTGGTTACCGATGAATAAAAATGAGTTGATTGTGGATGATAGGAGGCGGCTGAGCGAGTCGGGGAAGAGGTGATCAAGGCTTGTGTAGAACTCAAGATAAACGAGATATCTTGCTACGATCGCAATGGGTTGAGTCGAGGGGAGCGACTAGAGGCCTTTGAAATCGCGATTGGTCGCCATGGATTCTTGGCAAGGTAGATCAGATCATCTATGTGAATTATATTATACTCCCTCCGACTCAAACATTATGCCACATTTGTGTTTGACACGAGATTTTAGGTGGGGAGTATTAAGTATGGTAATTTGAGATAATTTGGATATTAAGTGATGTGATTGGAGAGAAAATTGATTATTTGTTTTTTTTTTTATTTGAGTAATGTGATGGGATGAAGTGAAGTGTATATTAATATATGTATAAAAATATTATTAATTATTTCTAAATTTGAAAATATTGCAGTGAGTTTGGAATAAATAAAAAAAAATATTGCACGATGTTTAAGAGAGGGAGTATGATAGATAGATATATATAGTTAGTGACGAAATCAGCCTTTTGTTACAATAGTAACAAACCAAAAGAAATATATAATATATATGAAAAGATAGTAACTTTTTGGAAAAGAACATGAACATAATTATATATTAAAAATATTGATTTTATACTTAAAAAAACAAACTCTTAATTTTATGACTTTACATTTAGATAAGGCCACAACTAAAATTCTAAATTCAGCACCGTGTTGAACAATACATCATGTACTATTAAATAATACATTATATACGTTAATATAATACAAATATATTACATAAACAAAATATACATATTATAATTTCAACATTATAAAATATTACTACAAACAATACAAAGAGTATTATTATTACTACATTGTATATATTGATATAATATAAATACAACACATGTCTCCTACAGTACACAACAGTTGATTTAACATATTTGTATAAATCATATTTGTTATTATTAAAAAAATGAAACCGTTCCTTTACATAAAAGATATAGATAATGTTTTAAATAATAATAATAATAACAAAAAAACCTATCAATGCACACCATTATTACTTACCCTTAATTTTAAAATTAATCAAATATTTTAAATACACGTGACAAAGGCAACCGTGCACGTGACAAAGGTAACCGCCAGCAACCGCCGTCGGCGTTATCCCGACGGTTGCAATTTCGAATTCTCCCAAACAAAACCGCCCCCCACAACCCCCCAAAAAACCCATCATTAAATTAACTAACTAATAAGTAATTAATTAATTTCCCCAAACCCCAAAAATCCAAATAACCAAAATGGAGATTCCATCGGCAGACACCGGAATCAAAATCTACACGACAACCCCACCATTCCATCTCCCGCCGCTCTACCCATCTCCGCCTCCGCCGCCGGAAAACGCTCCTCCGGCGCCGGCGCCGGCGTGCGGGATGCGGAGAAGCCTAATGGCGAAAGGCGTGCAGAAGACGCTATCAAAGACGTCAATGCTGGCGAACTTCCTGCCGACGGGGACTCTCATAAGCTTCGAGATGGTCCTGCCGTCGGTGTACGGAAAGGGTCAGTGCTCGCACGTGACGACGCACATGACCTACGCCCTGTTGGCGCTCTGCACCGCCTCCTGCTTCTTCTTCCACTTCACCGACTCCTTCCGCGGCCCCGACGGGAAAGTCTATTACGGCTTCGTCACGCCGCGCGGCCTCGCCGTCTTCAAGACCGGCCTCGCCGTCCAGGTACTAGGATTGTATATTTGATTCCATGTTCATTAAATTATTTGAATTATAATTATATTTTGTGGTTGATTGGAAATAATTTTTAAATTTTTATAATTCGATTTGATTAAGATATTCAATTCGAAATTTGATTTCATCAAAATTTCAAATTAGCATAAACTAGGGATGACAATGGATAAGAGTGAGCCAAAGCGATCCCGACCTTACTCATTTAGTTGGAATCGAGTTCAATTATTTGGGTATTGAATCGAGTATAATTCGATCTTTAATAAAATTCTTAGGGTTAGAATTTAATAGCAGATCCTACTCAATTCGGACCTGAACAATTTTTTAAATTATTTGGGTATTGAGTCGAGCATAATTCGATCCCTAATAAATTTTCAAGAGTTATGATGTAATAGTAGATCCTATCTAATTCGGACCTGGATAATTTTTTTTAATTTGGCAAATATGACAGATACATCATAAGCATAAGTAGGATCCAGGGACATACAGATCCGGATACATTTGGATCTTGGGTCTAGTAATATATATATATAGGTATAGTCTTAGGTCCATATATGCCGGATCCAATGCCTACCCAAGTGTCATCCTTAACACAAACATTTTTTTTTTTGTGTGTTTGTTTGAGATAATGGATTTTGAGTTGAGATTTGAATAGTAAAAACTTTGAATTTGAATAGTTGTATTATGTGATATAAATAGGTGTTGATGTGATGTTTTGAATGTAAAATTGATTTTTAGTATAATATAAAAAATGAAAAATAGGTTTTTGATTTGATATTTTTGGGGGGAAAAAATAGGATGAATAGTAAAAATCCAAACAAACACACCATTTCTTTAATGAAAAAAAAAATATCATATTTATTTATATAATTTGTCCAACTAAATTTATTTCAATTATTTTTTTACATTGGTTAAATTTATCTTAGTAAAAAAAATCACATTTAATTATTATTCTCTCTCTCTCTGTATATTTGTATGTGATATCAAAATTATTTGACAAGTCTGTACAGGTCCCCGACGACAAGAGGTTCCGCATGGGGCTGAGCGACTTCGTGCATGCCCTCATGTCGGTGCTGGTGTTTGTGGCCATAGCGCTCTCCGACCAGCGGGTGACTGGGTGCCTCTTCCCCGGCCACACCGCGGAGGTCAGTGAGGTCATGGAGAGCTTCCCATTAATGGTGGGGATCATTTGCAGCACCCTTTTTCTGCTCTTTCCCAACACCCGATTCGGCATCGGCTGTGGTTCGCCGTAGCTACCCATACCCATACACACTTTTATTTATATATAATTATTAATCCTACTGAATCTATCAATGGCTGTCTGTATTCCTGCAAATAAAAGACAACAAATACAGTTAGTAGTAAATCAATCAAACTAGTGTATTGTACTATTTTTCACCCTTTTAGTGAGCAATACATTATAATACATATGGTGTACAAATTCTCTCCATCGCCATGTAAGCCAAAAATTTACATATACAATGAACATTGTGTGCCTTTCTACAAACTATATTAGTCATCGCCTTTTCGATTTTCCTCATCAAAATCCGCAGCAAATGGCGCCTTTTTTGTCTCGAATGTTTTGCCATAAACATAGGAGTTCTCGGGGGCCTTGGTAGTGGGCAATAACATACCCGTCCTTGCAGCCGTCGATAATAATCCTTTCGTCATTTTTGTACTTTGCTCGCAATCCCTTCTTTTGCATATCTGCAATCCACATTCCCATGGCAACATCTTCAAGCTTGAATACCTGTAATTATATATAGCTAAAATATATCATTAATTACGTATTACTTTTATTTTCTACGTACCACATTATAAAATCTAAAAAAAGAATGCCCGAGAGGAGACATATCCGAGCATTATCTTTCTCGGGGACACAAGGAATCAATATTTACCTTTAGTCGTCCAGCTCGGTGCTCTCTAGAAACTGTCGTCGCTATGTCTTTTGACACGACGTAGCCAGGACCGTGCGCCCAAGGCGGGTATTTATCATCCGGCCATTCCTATAATCAAATCATACATATATATATATGAAGTTAGAAATATACCATCAATACAATCTTCTTACAACAATCTTTTACCTTAGTACTAATGTACCACTTTCCGTCTGGATCGCGATCAGGCTGCGAATCTGAGCTAACAGAGCCATAAAGCAAGCCGCGAGTCGCATTTGAGCTTCTTAATGTATTCAAGATTTCATCGATACGAACAAACGAGTCATCATCCGTCTTCATAATAAAATTAGCCGGGACAATCTCACTCTGTCGATCCACGATGTAAGACAATGAGACACTGAGAGAATTATCCGTAAACAAAAGAAGGATCGGTGAGATGACTTTACCCCAAACATACATATCGCTATCGTCTTCCATGTAATGAGACTGTAGTAATCGACAAATGGCATCAGCTGAATGTCTTCATACGTCGTTGCCTCATTCCAAAGTTCCTCGTTCACCATTTGGTTTTTGTGCTACAAGTTGAGATCGACAAATCAATCACAATTAATAATCGAGCAACTGTCGAAACAAAATTTAAACTTTTGCTTACCAGACCAACGAAGAACCGGACAGCGACCTGTCCTGATCGAACCTCGGGGTACTGCATCCATGATCTTCGGACAGACATTCGACGCTTGAAGTTGTTTGCAGTGGAGAAAACACCGATGAAGAAATTCAGCTCCCCTCGAGGAGGTAATGGAACAGCTTTAAGAGATTCTAAGTCGATTACATGGTTTGAATCCTCGGATGTCGGCAAACCACTAGCAACAACAGAGAGTAAATTTATGTCCCCAGAAATCGTAACTTCACTAACTAGCCATGGCTCCAATGCCTGCATCCAAAGCCAATAAAAATCAAAATGGTTTCGGTGAAAGTTCGATTCATTCGAACAAATTACGTAGTCAATCGACATAATTTAAGCACCTCGCGGAAAGCAAATGAAGTAACATGCTTCCCATCTACAGTCATTTGAATTCCTTCCACACCAACTCGGAGAGTCGATACAAACAGATCGTTTTGCTTGAAAGGAAAGTACTTTCTCGAATCATAAGCCGTGGAATTCTTCGATGATCTAATTGTCTGATTGTTCTCTCTACCCACCAGCTCATTGCATTGCTCCATTTCATCCACTGATGTTAAGCCAATATATGCAGAAAGACAGAAAAAGATTGATCGCTCAAGCAAGAACTAGCAATTAGCTCCAAGCATTTATCATGAACTAATTTAGCCACAATTTGAAATATTTGTTAAGGGCTAAATAAGAAAGTTGATAAGGGCTTTACCTTTCTTAATTTTTTCCGGATTCGGAGACGGACAGCGCTCCTCTTCACCCCAATCATGTGCAACAGTCCAAGTGTTTTGAACAATTATAGGATCCTCAGTAGTTTTATCACCATGAAGCCTAACATTATAGTGCAAAATAATTGAAGGGTCCGGTTCCCCCGGAAGCGGTTCGCCAGTCAGATCAACACGGAAATCGCCAAGAAGACCATTAGGAATGCCTATGAATGTGATCGACGAGCCCTGAGTCAAGCCACACGGCACCGGAAACTTAAAGCCATTGCCATCATGTTTAGAGGTGTTCATCTTACTGATAAAATGAGGACACTGTTTCTTGTTCCCTTTCTTCGGCAAACTTCCGTTACTTTTCATTTTTTCCTCTTCCACAGAGGTGATCAGGCTTTTCCAGGCAATGCCGGCTTCTTTAATGGCTTCAGCCGCATTGGGTAAGCCCTGAGGATTTGCAACCAAGTAGTGCATATGGTTCCATGTTTGTAAAGCTCTTTCTTCTTTCTTCGATAGGTTTCTTTTTGTAAAGAAATCGGCAACAACAACTTCGGCAGAGATCACTTGAGGACTGTTATTCGGATTTGATCGAGCAGGGGGAGCACTCATGTTAACCCGCCCCAGAGGATCTGTCCTGTTGAGGTTTAGGGGATTGAAGGAGCTTCCATTGATTGGATTTCTGATCATATATAATCCTAGAAATAGTAACATCAACGAAGATGTGGCTATAACTCCACGGTACCATTTCTTCATTTCTCCTCACTAATTGCAGACTTTTGATTTCTCATATGTCACTGTTCATCATCCAAACTCTAAGGAAACAATTCGAAATTAATAAGAAATTCTGTATCCACAACAGCAATCACTGTGAATTGAATCTGAATATCAGAGCAATACAACAGAATAATCAATTTTCAACTCACAAATATCAAAGGAAGTAAGAAGAAAGAAAACAATTCGAAACTGTATCCACAACAGCAATCACTGTAAAGTGAATCTGAATATAAAACAACAATATAATCAATTCTAAACTCACAAATATCAAAGAAGGTAAGAAGAAAGAAATGATTAAAATATCTTTCACCCCCTTCGTTCAGCTCATATCATCCAAATTTGGAAGGTCGACAAAATTCATTGATTGAACTCCAGGAAACAGCAGATTTGGTAACGTAAATTGCATTTAATTTAAAGGTAGCCTAATCTCTCAACAATTAATTCAAAACACACAAACAAAATAGAAAAATTCTTCACAGAAACAGTAGAGCGGAAAGAGAGCACAGCTTCAAATTCAGTCATTCAAACTTAAATTCACCACATAATTCAAAATTTCCGACTCAAAATTCAATTCAGCAGCAGTTAATTCCCGGTGCACGCTTCCTCTAAACATGGAGAAGAACGCATACAACAGAATCAAGGAGACCGGTTCGAATGCAACAACAAACGGAGACTAATCAAACAGGAAACAATGAACTGCAAACCTGATTATAATCGAAGCGCAACGTTAATGCATGCGTGCGGAGTAAACGTGAGTATGGAGAGGGCTTACCTCGTGATTCCAACCATACATACATCTTCTGTTGCGTTGATTTGAACCCACGACTGAAAGCAACAGCGCCAAAATTAAGAGGAATGAAAAAACGCCAACCGCGTCAGGTGGCCTCCAACTCCACTTATAGTCCACGCCAAAAATCCAGTTCGGTGGCTTCCCATATATATATACAAATATATATATATATATATATTGATATGACCTTAAAATATATTTCAAATATATTTTTTTTAAAAAAACATTTAACTTATATTCCACTAAATGAAAGAATATATTTATATAAATTTAAATTTTATTTATTTTAAATATATTAATTATATATATATATATATAATTTTTTATTTTCTCTCTATCCATTCAAAAAATATGCTGTATATTTATTTCAATAAGTGTCATCTAACGAACTTATTTATATTAATACTATTAAATAAAATTAAAATATGAGTGTAAAAATTTATTAGACATAAAAATATTCGTCCACTACAGTTTAAATACAATATTTTTTAATTTCATGACCAAATGTAAATATAAATGCTTTAGATGAACAAGGCAGTATGATTTGAAAAGTATTACTCCCTTAGTCCCAGATACAGGTATTTAAGAGTGTAATTAGTAGATAATTAAGAACGTATTATTGAAAATAATTATTTATAATATAAATAATTATAAATTAAGATTAAAATAACTAATTAGTTTAATTAAAATTAAAAAAGTAAAATTTAAAAATTTAAAATGAGATTAAAGTGTGTAATCATTTTCAAAAAAATGAAAGTGACATGGTATATGGGACGGACATAAACGACAACGTGGACATGGTATTTGGAACGGAGGGAGTAATATATATATATATATCAATGTGTCATTTATATATAATACAATTCAATAAACAAAAAAAATTATAAATCAACGGGTTAAATATGAGTTAAGATTTTTATTATTATTATTTTATCTTTTAAATTTTCAAGGCTTCAGCAAGTAACTTTATATTATAATATGATAATAAATAAATACATAATCTAAATGATATCTTTGTCATTCTATTTAATTATTATCAATAATATAAGAAACTAATTAACATTTTAAAGAAATGAATTTCTAAATTACCTCTATTCTAAACTTTATATTGTTATTTTAATTTTAAATATCATAAAACATTTGCATTTTTTTGTTTATATGAATGCATATTTAAATAAATCATAAAATTATTTTAAATAAAAGTGAAATGATTGAAAATTATCAAAACTATAGTATCATTTTTAAATTTAGGTCAAAATATTTAACTTCATATTTAGCAACAGAGCAGGCCACAGCCTGCATTATATAATACTATCTTTTATTTATTTATTTATTTATTTAGATTTTTGTTTGAAAGAATGATTTTTGTAGTTTGATTATGTTTTAATATACTTCCTCCGACCGTTACGGATGACCTTTTTTTCCTTTTTGTCTGTCTCATTAAAGATAATCCTAAATTTAATCAATTTAATTAAATTTCTAACCTCTTACACATAGACCATTTAAAACTCATTTATTTATATCTCTTTTCTCAACAAATAAATATTTTTATATATATTTAAAACTTTTTATTTTTAATAAAATTAGTTTTAAGTTAATTATAAATAAATAAATTTTTATTTTTATTTATTTATATTATATAAAATTTTATTCTCTACAAAAATAATATCCCTATTGTATATATTTTATTGATATATAATACTAAAAATATTTAAAATGTCAACGATACTATTCATATAAAAATAATAAAATAATATCATAATTTATTATTAATAACTTACTAATCTACTATACCTAAAATACCGTGTCCTTAAGCAAAATGGGTCATCTTGACATGGACGGGGGAGTAAATTAGTACTATAACATAGAAAAAGAAAGCAAACACGATTAAAATAATTGACTTTGGGTATTACGACGTGACACTTTAACGGATTCGATTAATTTAAATTTGGGCGATTTAACCAAATTCATTTATTTATTTATTTATTTATTTAATATTGAATAAGAGAGGTCTTTGCAATGTAATTATTGATATTATAGTAATACTACCATTGTTGATAAGGTCGTGTTTGGTTGGCAACCATCCTGATCCGTAAAGGAGCTTCCATTTATAGTGTACTACTAAGGTCTAAAGGTTATGGAGTCAATTGTAACATTTAAAACAAACAGTCTTCTGTTGACAAACATTTAATGTATGCCCAACCCTATGCTGATAGATTCGTAAGTGGGTGTGTTTTTCTTTGTGAATTTTTGTGTTTTAATTTTTTATTTAAATAATATTTTGATATAATATTTTATAAAAGAATAATATATGTTCGGTTTAATTTCAAACATATATTTTTATTATTCAATCGATGTAATTTTTAATAAAAATATATTTTTTTAAAAAAAAGAATATCATGATTTAAATCATTTAAATAAAAATTCAAGTTAAAAAAAAATCAAATTCTAACCAAAAACCCAACAAACCAATATATTTTATTAAAAACTATACACAACAATGTAGTATATATATATATATATACATATTTGTTTTAAATGCAAACTAAATCCATTTAAAAAATTAATGTCTTTTTCTTAATGGTTATTGAATATCATATTTTTCAAGAAAATTTGAAATATTGAATTCCCTCTGTCCCACGTAATTTATTCCTATTTTTTATTTTCATCCGTGTCATTTTTATTTTTAAAAATATAATTATGCACTTTAATCACATTTTAAATTTTAAATTTTATAATTTTTTAAATTTTAATTAAATTATTTATTTATCTTCATATTAATCTATAATTATTTTTACTAATACACTTCTTAATTACCTATTAATTATACTATGCCTAAATTCTCGTATCTACGGTAATAAGCCCAAAATATCTGAATCAGAAAGAGTATAATAAAACTATGAAAAACACACAAATAAACCCCATCTTTTTAAACGTAAAAATATATAAATACATATATATATATATATATTATATTCTCACTATCCACCAAAAATATTCTCATATTTTTCGTAAATACAAATACAATGAGAACACTATTTACAAAGGAAATGGGAACACTTAAGGAGTGTCTTTGAAGGTGCTATTTGGTTCAAAGAACTTTTCTGATAGGATTGAAATTTTGCAATAGGATTTATATGGGATAGGATTTACTGTTAAATTTGGAATCCTATCTTGTGTTTGGTTCAAGGATTTTGATTTTTGATATTTTAAATGACGTAATTATCCTTTCACGAATTTTATTTATTGTGATAAATTAAACTTTAAATCCATTATTTTTTTTCCGTAAACTTTAATCTTTTACTAAATTTAGTGTATTCTAATAAAAAAAAATTTAATACGATTTTCGATTAATAATAAAAGATATAATATATATAGTCATACAAAATATATGTTTGTAATATATAATTTATACACTAAAAAATACGACAATATAATTATTTTTTATACTATCGACATTCTTTCTCATATTTAATATAAAAAAAACAATTTAAACTAAAAATACAAAATTAATACATTATTAAAATAGATTTAAATTATTAATTGATATTTTAAATTATTAATTTATTTAAATTATCATTAGTAAAAGAATTAAATATATATAACATTTTTATAAAACCAATAAAATACTATAATTTAAATGTAAATATATATTTTTATGCATTTAATATTAAAAAGGAAAAGAAATATGATTTTTTTATGGGAAGGTATAATAGTAAAATGAAAAATACAATGACTAAGAGGGGTACATTATTATTGAAAAATTCTACATTTGCAGGATTTTAAAATCTCATACACTTAAAATTTCATTATCAATTTTATAACAAAACATGGATTCATTAGGACTTTAAAATTCAAATTCATGGAATCCACGAACCAAACAGCCCCTAAGAATATTTTATTTTTTACAAAATTACTTTCTAAATAAATTTTAAATAAAATTTAATATTGAATAATAAAAATATTATCAATAGTACCAAAATATTTTTTGAAATATAGATAAACAAATTTATAATTTATCACTAACTGTCAATTTATCTTATATTAACATATAACTTGTATAGTCAATTTATATTTTATATACTATCGGTATATATGTTATGTGCTATTAACACAATCCTGACTAATTATCGTCAATGCAATAACAATAGCTATATATATATGTTGGCTAACATCATGACAAAAGCAATATAAAATTTCATATAATATTCAATTAATTTACGTTGAAAAAAGTGCCCAAATGAAAATTATCTTGTAGAAATATATATCCAACAATATCTAATACTCTCCAGTCCCATACGCCGTGTCTGCTATATTGTAGATACAGTATTTTAGGAGAAGTGTAATTAGTAGATAATTAAGAATGTATCAGTAAAAATAATTATTCTATAATATAAATAATTATAGATTAAGATTAACTAATTAATTTAATTAAAATTAAAAAAAAATAAATTAAAAAGTTTAAAATGAGATTAAAATGTGTAATTATTTTTCAAAAAAATGACATGAACAGAAACGGTAACGTGATCATGATATGTGGGACAGAGGGAGTATTATGTTTACTAAAATTACTGTTTTATTGTCATTACTTTAAAAATAATAATTTTTTTCTATTTAAATATATCACAATAGTCAATGTACTATATTTGAATTATTCAAATGTGACAATGGGTACACAAATATAAATGTCTTATATTGAAATACTTTTCAAGTAGAAGCTTCGTTGTCATGACTAATGGTGTGATTTTTGCATGTATTATTCAAAGGTAAAAATAAATTCTTCAAACAAATAAAAAGGCAACAACTCAAGCATTTAATAATAATAAAAAAAAATAACAAAAAAAGAAAAGAAAATGTCAACAAAAGGAATTATGGGTCAATTAATTGTGATATGAAAATGTATAAAAGGCTACCAGTATAGAACTCCTAACTATTATGGTTCAATATTTCAAGCTAGCAAATTTTCGAAAGGTCAAATTATGTTCTTAACATCTATACAATAACATAATTATTATTGCATAATTTATCAATAAAATTCTGGTAAAATAAAGTATACAATCAAATGTGTATAAAAGATATAAATATAAATATTATTCAATGGAAAAATATTGATATAATTAAAATTTATTAATTTTGGTCCAAATATAAAAAGTTCATCAATTTTAGTCTATTATAAACTATTTCAATCAATTTTGGTCTCACCCTTTAAAAACTAACTGAAATTGCTTACGTAGACATAACGGAGACAGTTGACCTGGAAAGTACACGGTCATGTACAATTATACATTGCCATGTTGTTACACGGCCGTGTACATTTCTGTTTTAGTCTTAAATTTTTAAAAAATTATTTTTTTGTTATATATATATATTTTAAAAAAAATTATTTTGAATTTAAAATAGTTGATATAGTTAAAATGGACAAAATCAATAGTAATTATAATATAATTAAAATTTATCAATTTTAATTCAAATATAAAAATTTATAAGATATATTCTTTTGAAATGTTTTGTCTAAAATTTATTATTCATAAAAAAAAAAAAAAAATCTTTTACAAACATCCAATTACACAACTATTTTTTAATTTTGCATATTATAGTAGTATTAAAAGTTAATTTATTATTTCAATATAGTAATTGAATGTTTGTAAGAGAATTTTTTTTTAATAAATAATAAAATTTTAGACAAAATCTTCCAAAAGAACATAATCACTAAATATTTATATTTCAACTAAAATTGATACATTTTAATTGTATTATAATTATTATTGATTTTTTTTCATTTTAACTATATCAACTATTCTAAATTAAAAATAAAATAAAATAAAATATATAACAAAAAAAATAAAATTTTAAACCAAAACAGAAAGGTACACAGCAGTGTAGAAATTATACATGATCGTGTAACAAAATGACCATGTATAGCCGTGTAATTATATGACCATGTATAATTATACACTAAAATATATATGATCATGTGACAACATGGTCATATATAATTATATACTGAAATATACATAGTTATGTAACAACATAGCCGTGTAGAATTATACACGTCAGCAATTTTCTTTAATTTTTTAACAATGAAATCAAAATTGATTGAAATTGTTTATAATGAGACCAAAATTAATTGAAATTATTTATAAAGAGACTAAAATTAATGAGTTTTTATATTGGGACCAAAATTAATTTTTTTCCTATTATTCAACCTATACTATTCCAATAAAAATAATAATAAAAAATATACTAATTTTCTCTTAAAATATTATTTAAATAAAAATTCAAATAAAAAAATCTAATCTAAAATAAACACCAAAACAAACCCTCTATATTTCACCTAGATATAACTATTAAAGCTATAAATATAAGTTCTATTTTGGGCTCAACCTAAACTCAATTTTACTATCTAGTTTATCTTACAACTTGCATCACATAAAATACTCCATTTTTTAAATAAAAATCACAATAAATTTAGCAATTCAAAAGTCATCACAATAAATTCCTAATGTAAAATTCCGGTCGATATGAATTTGTTCTTTAATATATTACACAATTTGCAATGGAAAATTTTTCTCTATATTTTTCAATGAAATATTACTATTTACTCTCACATAAAAACATTTTAAAAATAATTAGAACATTACAATTTCAAATAACTAAGAAAAAAAAAAAACATTATTCATATATCACAGGAAAACAAATAATTATAGAACAAAACTTAACAAACAAATGTTTCAAAGCCAAACATACATTTGTGTTTGTTTGGAGGTTTGAATTTTAAATATAGATATAAATAGTAAAAAAATTGAATTGAAATATTTTGAACTTAAAATTAATTTTTAGTATAATATAAAAAATAAAAATATGTGTTAATTAATATTTTTTGGAAAAAAAATTTGTATGAACAATAAAAATTTATCAAAATCTTTCAAACAAGGCCTAAAAGAACACTAATAGCCAGCAAATATTGTGTTGATTAAAAAAATTCAGCAAAATGCTAAGAGCACATAGCAAATGGACAATTAGCACACAGTAAAAATACAAACAACACATATTGTGTTGAATAAAATCACATAGTGACGTAGTCTTTTACTATAGATTGTGTTGAAATGCACTATAAATTATATTGTATTTGATTATAATATGTGCTGTTTGTTCTACGTTAATATAATACAAAATATAACCCATGAACAAGCAACACGATCAATAGCCAAAGACAACACAAGTACGTGCTTTAATTTAACCATATATATGATGTGATAAAAAGTAGGTTGTGTTGATTTCATTTTACATGTATGCTTATTAGCAAATGGAAAAATCAGCGTAATACCGATTTTTTCCGTTCAGCACAATAACCCGATCCAATCTATATTTGTTTCAAAACTTTTATTCAATATTTATTTTTTTATTAAAGAATATTCTTATAATTTATCCCTATTTCAAATCTCTACCCACCCATCACCAAGCAATTGAAGACACAGCTTAATTATTATGTTTCCAGAAAGATAAAAACAAAAATAGCCAGTCTCTAAAACCACCTCCAATTTCACCACAACTTGAATTTGATAATAAAGAAAAGTAAATAAATAAAGAAACAAATAAAGGAATTGACCTAAAAAATGGGAAGAGTCCCAAGAATTGCTGACTTGATTTAGCTAGAAGAAGCCTTTCTTGCAGCATATGTTCTGTAAGCAGCCAACCCCACAGCGACCACTCCAGCTCCCACTGTAAATTACATCCATATTAAGACACCATTGTTGCAGCAGAAAGCTATGGGTTCTTAGTAAAGGGAATAATACAGCAGGATATATTGACCTGATACGCAGACGAGGGAACGGTTGATGAGCCGGTAATAATGCTTGCGGGTTTTGGCAGCTGAAGTCTCGGGAATGCTTAAATGAGGTTGTTCTGCTGCCCTTACGATCCTATGGAATATATTGCTTAAATCTCCGAGCATTGTGCTTAGAGGGATAGGAGGCTCTATCCCCATGTCCTGGCTTACCTGTTCGATTTTCATGGCACCAGTTTCTGTATAGATTAGTGGAATGCAAGAGAATAGCTCGGCATACATAATTTTTGTTAAGTATATCATTGTGTCATGTTTCACACTAGACTCACAACAGAATGAAAGGAAGAGTCGGAGAATGAACTGTGAAGTAAAAACCTAGAGGTTAAGTGATAGGAAAATAAGTTTTTTTGGTGGTAAACTGTTTTTTAATCCCTCACATGCCTCCTTTATCATTTTTAGAACCATAAGTGAACACTGTATAGAAATAATCCTACAACTTAAAAATTTTGGAAGAACTAGTTCTGCAGTATTGAAACTTCATGCGTGGCAGCCTTGTGGTTTGCCGGAGCTGATTTTTTCACAGGGCTCACAGTACTGTCAATGCTACGTGTATAATATTTATGGATAAAATATTTTTTTCAATTTTTCATGTGACTCCTCTAACAACATAACCTCATGTGTGAATGCATCAAGTACGACTGTCTCTGCCAAAATTTTTAAGTTGTGGAATTATTTCTATAAATAGTTTACTTATAGTCCTAAAATGATAAAAAAAAGTCACATAATGATGTGCTTTGAAGGAATAAGTTGAAGCAATTGGACACTTTTGGGTGTAGGAAAGTAACAATTGGCAAACAAAAATAAGAAAGAAGTGATGAAGATAGAGTTCTCAAGGTTAAGGACTTTTACCCTGGTTGAATCTTGAATTTGCGTCAGATAGTGATCGAGGTCGTCTTTTGCAGCAACAATGAGACAAGGCACCTCATAACCAGTAGCTTCGCCATGGCTGGCAACATCCACAAGCATCTCTGTTGCTTTCTCCCACGAAGGTAGACGAGAACTGGAATGGCAAGAACCATAGCTCATATACAGTAGAAATCAAGATAAGTTGACTGACACAAACAAGAAAAAGAAGAAAGTGGATGTGTCTTTGTAAAGAAGATTGACAATTGAAATAAACCTATAAAAGGATTTCAAACAAATACAGGAAACTGATAATGTACAAGTGAAACTAAAAGAACAACTTAACCATTTTGTAGGTCATCTTTACACCAGAATTGAATACAAACCGACTTCACTAGCAAGGTTAGTAGTGAACAAACAGGATAAATGATCATGTACATTTCAATATAACCTAATATTTGTACTGATTTACAATTTATTTTACTAAAATGTACAAAAGAATCATCACTATTCGACATCCATGCAATTAAAGAATCATCATCCACAGCGTTTAAACTCAAGGCAGTTCAAATGGTAGGAGACTAAGATAATAGCCTAAACTTTTGAAGAGATTGTTTATCCTATATACCAGATTGGAATCCATTATTTTAGCCATATTAAGAAATAATTATTATATAACATTTATCAAACATAAATAACATAGATAATTTATGTAACCCACTATTTTAAGTGAGCGTAGCCAACGATGTGCATAAACTACCTATCATGAACAAATAGTGCCACATCACATGCAGCTAAAGCCTCCTTCTTAGATAGTAATTCTTTCACTCCTTCCTCAGGAATTTCTCGCAACACAAGAAATTTCTTTGGTCCCTGAAAATATTCCACACAAATATGTTCAGAACTCATATATTTCATACAACAGAAAGTGAACAGATCCTACAATGTATTTGGGGTATCAAGCTGACATTCATGAGCATGTACTATAAGTTTTTATGTCAGCTATAAATCCAATGCTAGAGCTTTTGAGGTTTCTGTTATTATACTTATATTGCATTCGTCAATGTGGATTCATAGACAAATAAGACAATAGCCATGGCATCTATTATAATAAAAGTTGCACATGATTGATCTATTAATCCTAAGAAAAGGAAAATTTCCAGACTAGGATTTGGATATACAGTTTACTGCATGGTACATCACACAAACTATAAGGAACAGGTCACTTTTTTTTTTCGCCCCACAAGTTTTTTCCATCTAGCTAATTTCCTCACAAAATGCCTCAACTAATAAATCCAACTTTGCAAATTACAGGTTACGCGTCAGTTATTTCTCCTTCCTGTCACTTTTGCATGATTGATAAATGCTAGAAAGCCAGCATGGCCATAGCAGCAATAATTGAGTACAAAAGAAACTATGGGATAATTCATGTAATGCCTATAACTAGTTTCAGAAAGTGACCTAATTCACAATTCAAAAACAACATGGCTTATATATATATGTGCAAACACGCACACATTTATAAGGTATTCCCTTAAAACAAAGGATAAGAAGCACTTACTGTTGGTTGATCAATGATGTTAACAGCATATCTATCTGCGGTAGTGGAAACATATTCTTCTGAGAATGGCCTGTGATTATAATGCACTTTACTAAGAATACAATATACATCTAGATGATGAAATTTGAGGTCAAATTTCATTTGAAAAATACTTCTTGGAGCAGAAAAAACTTATACCATCCAACAAAAGCATTCAATAAAGCAGATTTTCCAGCTTCTTTTGGCCCAAAAACAAAACATTGATAAACACTTCTCTCTGTTTGGTTCTTCTTACGATCTGTGCGTCTTCTTCGCGTTACAGATACAGCAGATAAGGGATCATGGCCATAACCTATGTATATAAGAGTCTCCACACTACGAATCGGATCCAGAAGTGTCATTAATGCCCACTGCAATACATTTGCTTGTCATAGGTAGGCATGATGAATAAGACATTGCTGTTGGCACACTTTATAGGTAGTACAAAAATGTCAAGTGCTTCAAGAATGAATAAAGGGTGATGAAAAAGAATTCCACATAAAACAGCTGTTCGCCCGAAGTACATAAAATTAAATATACTCATCTATGGTGAAAATATAAGTCATATCCATAATTTTATTTACTAATTATTTTGTGGAGTAAGACAACAATAGGCTTATTAAATAATTTTATTGTCATATAATAAAATCCAATTCTCATTATTTTGGTGGAGTGGTGTGCATTTGTTGATTTGGATAAATGACACCATTATGCGCAATTGAAGAAAATCTGATCAATAAAAGTTTTAGAAACATCAGGTAGAGGGAAAAGAAGAAACGGAGATTGTTTTACAAAGTTACCTATCATTTGTACTTAACTCCAATGCACATATAGGGAAATGGATATTATGGCACCAATGAGCAAGTCATAACTCATAAGCAGTTCATAAACAGTCATACATAGTGGTAGTACAAAAAAGTACATACCAGTGATAAAAATCCATCAAGTGATAGTCCTCCAAGAGCAGTCTTTTCAACCGTGTCCACATATGGAGCTTCATTCCAAGGACTAAACCAAAAACAAGTTTAATTTAATAAAAAAGGAAAAGTAAAACCAGAAATAAAGGGGAGAAGCATTAAACACATAATAGACTCAAATTAAGCAGCTAAACACCAACGAGACAATAAACTTAATAGATCATCTACTATATGCTTTTAAACCAGCAAAAATATTTATACCATGCTTGTTACATCCATAATAAATCATAATCTATTTACGAAACATATCTGTTTAGATGCACATAAAGTCGAAATTAAAAGCACCATTTGAGGTACACCATAATCTGAATTTCAAATAGTATTTCCAACATAATAATTTCTACATCTTAAAATTGCATGATATTTGGTGTATGCAAAAGAACAAATAAAAAGTAAGTTATATTCTTATGAATATTAGAACTGGTAATGAAATGTTATTGAATCAGTTCAAATTTACGATGACACGTTTCAAGGGTAAGTGAGTCTTTGTATCTTTGAGACCAGGAGAGGCATTTTTTTTTTAATCACTCACACACTATATTTAACATGACCCCCTGTAGGAAAGCACAATATTTCACATTGAAAATGGATCAAAACAGGTACTCTAAAGCCCAGATTTGATTAAATAGCAGGCTGAACAGATTACAACTGCAAAGCTTATTATGATATCAAGAGGGTCGACAAAAACAGGTTATAGATGCCAAAAATGTATTACTTTTCTGGTGCTGTGGAAAACAGATCTTCAAGCTCGGCATATCGAAGGGCTCCATCCTGAAAAGAAACTTGCAGGAGTGAAAGAGGAAACTACTGAAATAGCAACAGATGTCAAGTTTACAATTACAAGTAAGCAGATATATAAATATATCATTTGTGTGTATAGAGAAACTTTAAAAGAACTGGTATGGCATACACAGTCAACATCATAGGTGAAGAAAATTTTCTTGAGAAACTCAAGAGCATCAGTAGTCAGCTCCACACTCTGCAGAATGAGATCAGAAAGCTAAAAGTCAGAAGAAAGTCGATATTCAACAGGAAAGCATCATGGATTTGATATGTGTTCTCCTGATCTACAAAATACAATACATGAATTAATACAATAGGGAATTATTCACCAAATACCTGGTCAGGATATCTCTTTATTGGAGGTGGCAATTGATCATCGTGAAGTCTTATTTCATTGTTATATCCAAATTTCCTAAGGACTGTCCACGTTGTCTCCAAACGCCCCTTCTCAATGAAAAGGGCATGGAGAAACAAAAATCCCCTTAAGGTAAGACCACGCTCATCTACGCCTTCCTGCAATTTCTCTTCCACGACTCTCTTAACACCCACTATTTCAGATGGTTGTAGTGGGGCATTGAAACACTTGACCTAGATATTCATTGCTGTAATCAGGCTTCCATTATAGAAAAAATATGCATATATATACATATAAAAAAAAGAAAAAAAGAAAAGAAAAAATCCAATACAGAACTGTTTTAAGTAGTTGTACAAATTGCCAAAATAAAGCTAAACAGAATCACAAAAGTTGACCTGAAAGTCATTCAACTCGCCATCGCTGAGGGCACCATCCCTGTCATGATCGCAAAGAATAAATATCCTTTTTAAAGCTCTAACACAGCGCGGTTTAAGTACTTGTTGCTCTTGATCAAATAGCGGCGCAGTCGGATATAGCACAGCTTTTTGGGCATAGAAGAAAACCTCAGGGATCTGGAAAAAAAAAAGGAAACAGAAACTACTTAAATAACTCACGTTTTATCCATAAAGCATGGAAACAAAGCAACAAAAAAAAAGAGTTGCGTAAACAAAAAATATTCGCAAAATATATAGTTAGCACACATGATCATAAAACTTAACAGGTGGCAACTGATATAAAGAAAATAAATAACAACTTTACAACGGCAACATTTCCTTGTATGGCAAAACACATATATGTACATAAGTTTGAAATACATAAGTAAAATTTGGGGATCAATTTTCGAAAAAGTAGACATATGTCACCTGAATATGATTCAGAGCAGAACATTCAATACAAGTTTCAATCTCTCGAAACTCCTGCATTATTGGGGTCATAACCTCCTCCAGACTGTTAGGCTCTTCATTACCTCTCTTATCTAGCATGCAACCCACCACAATGACGGGCACTCTGGCCTGGAAATTACATATTTATCTAAAATTTCAGGATGACTAAAATAAATTATCACTTTATTTAAATCAATTCAGAAACATAAACGATAATCTCAGTATTCAGCTAATTTTGCTGGTGAAGGAGCAGGAGAATTTCAACCCAGTCAACAGTTAGTGTTTTCAGTGAATACCTCCAATCTTCGAAGTTCAGGAAGCCAATAATCACTTAATCTCTGACATGTTTCAGGCCTATTGCATGCATAAGTTAGAACAATCGCATCGGCCTTCTTTAGCTCCTCAACAAGTCTGCTTCTATTCTCGGGACTGCATACAAAATCGATTGGAAGTAAATAACCACACACACATTACAACCACAGAAAAGGGGGAAAAGATATACATCAAAATTAAACAATTGCATTGCTAACAAGTGTATATTTTATTTCTTGCACTGAATGAGAACCTGAGGCAGAGTTAAATCAACAAAATAAGCAGATTCAGCTACATATCATCCAAAGGAATTTGATCATATATATATATATATATGTGTGTGTGTAAAAATTGTGAACAAATGGAACAGTTACATACAAAAATAATACGTAGTATTAAACAGTCTCTAAGAACAAGTACGAATACCAAAAATATATTCTACAACCAATTTTCACTCAAAACCTACAAAAGGAACAGTTCAACTACCTCGAAGAAGTATCAATAATGGTAACAGCCACGCGGTCTGGGTACAAGTCCTCGGGGAGCCTCGTCGGCGGCAGTACCGGAGGAACATTGGTCGGGAAGTTCTCCATAGCGGCTGAAACTATCAAGCTCGACTTCCCTGTCTGGTCATCTCCGGCAACCACAATTCTCACCGCATTCCCCGCCGGACCAGAGGCAGAAGAATCTCTCGCCATTCTGTCCGCCAATTAATCAATCAAATACGTTCAATTCGGTCGATTTTAACACCTCCAAAAAGTGCAAATCCTTCACAAGCAAAACAAAATACGATCAAACAGATAATCAATGAAGCAAGAATCAATCAAAACAAGATGCAAAAACACCCCAAATTCATACGTACAATCAGACCTTGGTTGAAACGGAAAAACAGAAGAACGTAAGTCTTTCTCTGCACTATTCTGTTTTTCGCACGTTTGTTGTTGCCTTTTATTTTTATCACATTTAAATAGTTGGGCCTATTTAAGTGAATGCCCAATAAATAAATACTATAGTGATTAGAGTAATGATATTTTGGGCCTTTAAACTGGCCCAAATACCTTTTGGGCCTTTATTAATAAAAGAAGTATCGGTGTGTGTTTGTGGATTTTGGGTTGTTTTATCAAAATATTTTTTTTCAAAAATATCAAATTAAATATTTATTTTTTTATTATTTTATAATAAAATTAAATTGTACTCTCTCCGTCCCAAACATCATGCAACATTTACTTTTTTGTTTGTCCCAAACTCACTGCAATATTTCGAAATTTAGAAATAATTAATAATATTTTTATACATATATTAATATACACTTCACTTTATCCCATCACATCACTCAAATAAAAAAAAATCATTTCTCTCTCCAATCACATTACTTAATATCCAAATTATATCAAATTATCATACTTAATACTCCCCACCTAAATTCTCGTGCCAAACATAAGCGTTGCACGATATTTAGGACGGAGGGAGTATCATTCAAATATCACCTCAATACATGTCTTTCATATCAAATTTCAATTCAAAATTTATTTTTATAACTTAAACTCAAAATCAAAACCTATTAACAACACTGACATCATAATTATGTGTTTTTTTTTTATTAGTTCTTGTAATACTCCTTTCGTCCTCGTAAAATGTCTATTTTTTAAAAAAAATTTGTATGTTTTATGTTCTTTTTTTTAAAAAAATATAATTATACACATTAATCATATTTTCTCCATTCCATAACAAGGTATTCATTTACTTTTTGCGTGTTGATATTTGAATAATAATTATTATATCAAAATATATTAAAGATTAAAATCACAAAAATACTTCTGTAATGAAATTTGCACAAAAATTATGCAAATATAATAGATATATTTAATGTTAAGTACAATGAAGCAAAATGCAAATGAATACCTTGTTATGAGACGGATGGAGTATTAAATTTCATAATTTATCATTTTTAAATTTTAATTAAATTATTTAGTTACTTTAATTCATAATCATTTTTATTAATATAACAATTACTTTTACTTATGCAATTTTTAATTAATTATTTATTATACTTTATTTAAAATGTTTACTTTTCCTATTTTGCTTTATCTACAAACTGTCATTTTTTTTTATGGAAATGTATACGCATTAAACATTTTAAATTTTATAATTTATAATTCTTTAATCTTAATTAAATTATTTTTTATCTTAATTTTAATATATAATTATTTTTACTAATGTACATTTTGATTACTTACTAATTATATTTTACCCAATATAATTTTACAACATAATTATTAAAATAAAATAAAAAATAAATAAATAAATAACCATTCTAGTACTATAAATTAATTAAGTTAATAAATTTTGAATTAAAAGTAAAATCAATAAATAAATGAGGGTAATTAATAATTAGAGAATTATGCAGATGAAGAACGAAACATATCTATGATCAAACACACCATTCTCGATCGAACAATTCCCAGCTCAAGCTCAAAGTTCACCCCTCCAATTCAAACTCAAATTTGAATCCAAATCAGAAGAAAACAACGGGAACTCGATCCTCGATCCGCATCCTCTACCGTGCGGAAAAACAGGACAATCAACAATGTTCGAGCCTGAAGTGTCGACGCACAAATAAACTTGATAAAGTTGGTGATTGCCTTCTGGATCGACATTGCATTCGATGTACGGCTCGTGCCCTACGCCCTCTTGCATCGCATGTTTTAACTCCTTGAGGGTGTAAAACTTTCCGGGGCGAATTCCTGTGAAAAATTTAAGGGTAAATTGTTTTTTTAGTCTTATAATTAGACCCCTTATCATTTTAGTCTCGTAAGTAGAGCCTATCGCAAACTAGTCCCATAAGTGGAGAATTTTCGTTGTTTAATCCTCCGGCGCCGAAGTCGTCTGCGTGGCTCGCCGAAATCCAGGTGTCCTGCCAGGTCAACGCCACCTGGCGGACACATGGATTTTATTTATATTTTTATTTATTTTTAAATTTTTTTTTAATTGGACCAAATAAAATCGACAAATAAAATTAAAAATAAATTTTAAAAAAAAATCAAAAAAATGAAAATAATAAAATAAAATCCACGTGTCCGCCGGGTGTCGCTGACCTGGCGGATACGTGGATTCCGGTGAGCCACGCGGGCGTCTTCGGCGCCGAAGGACTAAAACAACGAAAATTTTTCACTTATAGGACTAGTTTGCGACAAGATCCACTTACGGGACTAAAATGATAGGGAATCCAGTTACATAACTAAAAAAACAGTTTACTCAAAATTTAATTATTAATGACAATATTCTATTGATATTCTAAAGATCTAATCAGTATATATGAGCAATTATTTTTCAACGTATAATTTCAATTAAATTAGCATGTACGTACTATTTTAATAGTTTATACTTTTTTCGTCCGACTCTAAAGATATCATTTACCTTTTGCGTTATTGTATTTAATATTAAAAATATTCTTATATTTGTATAATTTTTTTTGCACAAATGTCATTATAACAGTATTATAAGACACTAATAAAAATATTTTTGCTATTTTTTCTTAATTTGTACTACGTTTTTATATAATAATTAATATTCAAATATTAACAGACAAAAAGTGAATGAGACCCTTGGAAGCGACTAAGGTACTACTATATGTATAAATTGAATTAACATGTATATTTTGTATTTTTGTTATATTGACATATTTTATATGTTGATTAACTCTAATCGCCACTTTTTAAGTATAGTTTTATTTTATATTTTGCAAAAGAATATTTTATTTTTCATTTTAAAAAAAATGAATTCAAATTTAAAAACATCAAAAAAAAATTATTTCCGTCTGTCTATGAGTTTTTGTTAAAATATATATTATTTCATTTTTATAATTTTCTATGAAAATATAATATTTATTTGTAAAGGAATATTACATCTAATCACGATAAAATACAAAACTAAACATTAAATACATTCATATATTCTCAAAATATGTACACTCACACGATCGAATTGTATATATGTTTGGGTTGAGCTTGTATAATAATAGTTTGACGTTATTTTTTGAGAAAATAATAATAATAATAATAATAATAATAATAATAATAATAATAATTTTGTTCTAATATATTTTTTTATTTTAAATTTATGGAGTCCCAAAATATTTGTAAGTTTTTTTAATTTATACTCATTTTTTTTCTCTTTTACCCGTATAAATACAAATTTATAAAATCATTTTTTAAAAAATAATAAGGATAAAGTAGTAAAAAAAATTTATCAAAATTATGTCTATCTTAAAAATTAATTATACCCAATCTAAAATTAGCATTTCTAATGGAATTAATAGAGTATATTTTATTAGAAATTATTCGCAAAAATGATTACTAGACATTTTTGAACATTTAAAGCAAAATAATACTCCATTCGCCATATATTTATCTATCAATTTGTTTTTTGCACAAAATTTTAAAAATATTAATATTATATTGAAATATAGCAGAAATAAATATAAAAAGACTAAAATAACCCTATTATTGTGGTATGATATAAAGGTAATGGTATTTATGTAATATATTGTAAAGTGGAATGAGACGGACCAAAATGAAAAAAATAGATAGATTGCTAAGGAACGGAGAAAATACAATAAAAAATAATTGAAAAAATATTTTTTAAAAAAAAGAACTCTAATTACCGGCATCGGCGAGGCGTTGTAGCAAATTGGCTTTGTGCTTGAGGTTGAGGGCAGCTTCGAAATAAGCATGTTGCCGAAGAGACGAGCAAGTTCCATGTTTGCTCCATTCATGTCCCCAAAATTTCATCCCGTCGGCCGATGGGCACGCTAGCGTTGGCCAATCCTTCTCCATTTTGCTTTTCAAATCTGATATCTGTATAATTTTTGTGATTATTCATTACTAATAATTTTTCAAAAAAAATATATTAAAAAAAAATTACAAAACATAATATTAAATACTTAAATATTTTGCTAATTCTAAAATTTTACAATACTTCAAAAAAAAATTTTAGCCGGAATCTAAATTAATTTATTATAAATTTAGATTATGTTTGTTTAATATTTTACTTGAAATGGCTTGAAGAGCCGTATCAATAATAGAAAATTAGTAATATTTTGCATTGAATTATTGTATATTTATAAAAAATATATATATAATATTATATATATTGTAAATATGCGTATGAATTATAAAATAAAATTTATTAATAATACTTGTGATTCCTCCAAAGAAGCCTCGCGGTCGCAGTCGTGCGGCCACTGGCCGGAATTATAATTCGGCCACAATCCATGAATGCTGAAATCCTCCGCCGGCTTCCCCGTCGTCGGATAGCAGCAGCTCCGGCGGGAGTCGCAGTAGGACGCCGGCCACTGCGCATCATGCACGTATATATTTTTAAAAGCGCAATTCCAAAAGCACGACTTCAGCTACACAATATTAAAAGCGTGTTTCTAGAAATATATATATATGTGTGTTACCTGCTGAACAAAATAGAAGAAATCGAAATCCTGAGAAGAACACAGAAGGAAGAGACACTGCGCCACGAGAAGCTTGAAGGCACAATTAATTCTTACCATTGTTAGATAAAAAATTTTAAATTGTGACTTATAAATTATAATGTCATATATTTGGTCATATATATATATCTATATATATATATAGAAAAAAATAAATTAAATTGCGTGTTATTGAAGAGAATATATATATATATATATTTAGGTATTATTAATTATTAATTGTTGATGTGGCGTGGAAGCATGTTTTGAGGATATGCTTTTGGGATTGGTAGGCTTTTATTATTATTATTATTGTGACTTTATGTATAAATATATAATTGATAGACTTGTAAATACTAGTGGGTGAATACGTGGATGTAATTTTGTTTTGATTTTTATATTCTTTAATTAAAATATTTATTTTATTTTATATAATATGAAATTAAATTAAAATTCAATGGTTCGTAACCAAGAAAACGTCCAAGGAAACGCACCGTAAATGTTGGCTTTAATTGTTAAAAATATATTGCTTACACGTCTCATTTCTTTACAAACCAAAAAAGTTGTGACATGTTTTGTTTGGGGCTCTATACTTTTGTTTATCGCAAAAATCGTGAATTCCATCTAAATCTACTTTTATAAATAAAATATTAGATATATATATATAAAATATATTAATTATTGTTTTATTGGTAAAATTGGATTTTGTTTACGTAAAAGTTCTGAAAATTTTAAAGAAGATTGAAAATAGTAAAAGATTTTAATTAATTTGAATTGCTATTTAATTAAATATAAATAGATATTTATAGAAAAAATAATTTTTAATATTATAAAAATAATAGTTAGAATTTTTTAGAAAAAAAAATATGAATAATAATCTTGGGAAAAACCCAAATAAACACAACTTGAGTATTTATCATGATTTTTGTGACAGAAAATAAAATTATTTACCTATATAAGTTTTAAAACTTAGAGAATTATTTATCAAGAATATATTTTTTTCTCCTTAATTCAGCGGTACCATGGGAGAAATTAAAAAGAAGATAACATTAAATACATATAAATAAATTAGGTTGTGTTTTTTTTGTGGATTTTAATACAAGTCTTTACTATTCGAATTCTTCTTTCTATCAAAAAATATCAAATCAAACAATTATTTTTATTTTTTATATTATACTACAAATTTATTTTACATTCAAAACATTACATCACATCTATTTATATCACATCAAACAACTATTCAAATTCAATTTTTTAATGTCCCGTAAGGGATAAATGACTTGGTAGTGTAAGGGTTGGACTTGTGACAGTGAAAATCAGTTTTTTAATATTCATGAATCCAAATCCAATTTTTTATAATTTTTTTAGTGTTAAAAATATTAATTTTATGTATTTATATACAGTTTGCCCCTCGAAACTATCTAAATTCATATATAATTCTAAATATTAAAGAAATTATAACATTTTCTCCCTCAAAGATTTAAATGGTAGTTTCGTCAATGATACTATTGCCATGTCATATACTATCACTTTATATATTGTATTTATATTATATTAGCCTATATATTGTGTTATCACTTGTACTTTATATTTATATCTATATCTATATATATCCGTATATAATAAAAAAAAAAAAAAAAAAAAAAAGAAAAGAAAAAGGGAAGACCAGAAACACAACCCAAAAAAGAATAGAAAGTGACGAGGGATTGGTTGGTTGCAAGAAAATGACATTAACAAATTGTGTTAAGTCAAAGGAAAAGGTGATATGTTAAATATTATATATATATAGGCTGTAGAATGAAACGGTGTCGTATAAGGGGTGATGCGATTTCCGTGGAAGTTAAGGATTTGTTGTAGTCGTCGACATGTGATCATTATTTTGGATCATCCTAACTATGTCCATTCATTGATAAATCTGCAATTGTTTTCTTATATTAGATATAAAATATTATATTAATAATATAATAATATTTTGTATTGAATTATTGATTTTGTATGAATTAATAATATATATATGTATATTGTATTGTTTCAATAATATTTATAAAGGATTATATGTCTTTTGAATATAAATTGATCACATCCTATGTTGATTTATTAAATTAATCAGTATAAGTTAATTAAATTAAAATTATTAATTTGAGATTTAAGATTTAAGATTTATTTTACTCATTACTTTAATTTATTTGTTATTATATTATTTTGCCGATTAGAATTTGAAATTGAGCCATCTATTTAAGTTTTGATTTAAATAATATTTTTATTTAATATAAATAATACTATATGTTTTTTTTTTATTATTATTGAAACTTATACATGTTAAATAATAAAATTTTAATTTGAAATAAAAACAAATATATCATTTGTTCTGTTCAAAATTAAACCATTATTATAAAATTAGAACAATTCAGTGTGTTCACTTTGTGTTTTGTGCTATTGTGAAATTTTTTTATATTAGATATAGAAACAGCGACTTAAATAAAAATATAATATTTTATATTATTATATATATATATTATATATTTTTAATAATATTTATTAAAAATTATGTTGCAAAATAAATGTTAGATTAACACATAAATATAATGAGAAAATCAAATTAAATTGTGGATTTGTATTTTTTGACATGATAACATTTTGATCATAACATCTTAAACAAGATCAAATCAAATTAACAATAATCTAGCTTTCGCAAATCAGATTCAATCGAATATTCAAATAATTGATGCTTAGAATTTAGGGAACTGAATGGAAGAGCCACAACTGCCGGATTTCGGGAAGACAGGGCATTCGATAATGTTAGAAGCCGATGAGTCGACACAAAGATAAACTTGGTAGAGTTGACTATTGCCTTCTGTGTCTTTATTACATTCGATCCATGGCTCGAAGCCTACGGCACTTTGAATGCCCTCTTTTATCGCCTTTAGACTGTAAGATCCGTCATCTGGATTAATTCCTGTATATATACGATATATGTTAATATAATACATCGTGTTTATTTGAATTAATTATGTAAATTTGGAGAAATTTGAAACTTTTAATAGCATTGTTTTGTTATATTTTAGACATATTTTAATAATATTCAATTTATAATAAAAATATAGTAATTTTTATTCATTACATCACATAAAAAATGGTTTTGTTCACATTACAATTTTCATCCACATAATTTCCTATAAATATTTTTAAAAAAAATACAATATACACATATATTAACCCATTATATAATATATATATATATATTATTCACTCATAAAAGTCAACTTTTCAATATAAAATATTATTTTTATATTATCGACACAATTTTTCATATATTAAAACTAAATTCATAAAAAACACTAAGTGAACAAAGTGATTATTTATATCAAAATTCAAATAAAAAAAATGAATTTCAAATCAAAATCAAACAAAATGTAACGGTGCGTTTCTTTTGGTTGAGTTTAGAAAAATTTGATTTGAATTTGATATTAAAATAATGTTTGATGAATATTTTGCAAGAGAAAATAATATATTTTTTTCGGAAACATACACTCCAAATAATAAATTTTGGGAAATTTTGTCTAAAGAAACATACCCACTTTCTTGATGATATGCTTGAATAAGTTTTGAAATATAAATTTTATTACTATTTTTTAAAAAAAAAAAAAAAAAGAAAAGAAATAGGAATAGATTTCATATATATATATATAATAAATTTGTTTAAATTTTGAAATATTATATATATTATAAAAATCTAAGCAAATTCAATAAAATTTAAATATTAATTAAAAAATTTACCTGCACTCTGAAGAGCTTCTAGAAGATTAAGTTTAGATTTGAGCCCAAGAGCAGTTGCAAAATAACTATGTTGGTCTAGAATTTTTTCCGAGCATGTGCCGTGCTTTTCCCACTCGTGCTCCCAAAATGTCGTCCCGGTGCCACTCGGGCAAGCAAGGGTCGCCCAATCATGTTGCATCTTGCTTATTAAATCGGATATCTAAAAACAATATTCAACATTTTATACATATATTGTCTTAAATGAACACAAGTTACAATTAGGACAACATATGCAATGCTTACAAACATACCTTTGATTGATCGAACGGATTGTTAGGATCACAATTTGAAGGGTAAGTACCGTCATTATAGTTCGGCCAAAGCCCGTGAATGCCGAAGTCTGACGGCGGCTTCCCCGTTGTCGGGAAGCAACAGCTTTTTGCGGTGTCACAATACGATCCCGGCCACTGTATTTGTAATAAAATATTATACAGGATAAACGATAATCTTTTTACATTAAAATTTTTGAAATTTGAACCTTTGTAAAAATTTAGAAAATATTAAATATTTGATATTTGATTTAACTTCTTTATATATATAATTATCATTAATAAATAATATAAAACTTCGAAAAATATGTAATTTGAGCCTTTTAAATAATAAATAAGACTCTACTTAGATAGCCGTTTTCGAAAATTTACTATTCATCCACAAAAATTCTTTCGGAAAATATAATATCAATAACTATTATTTCTAACAAAAAATTAAATAAAATACATAATATTTTTGAAATATTTCAAAACTCAAAAAATACAAATAGATCTAAAGTTATATAAACCTAAAACAAAACCTTATAAGTATTTAAATAGGTTCAATGTATAAGTATATATAATGTAAAATATATATATATATATATGAATCGAATCCGAACTCGTATTTTCAAATTCAAAATAACAGTATTACACTCAGATTAGTTTAAACAATTATTGAATTCGACATATCCGAATAATGACCAAATTGAAAAATTCGAATTTTCAATTTAATTCAAAACGGTTATGTAAATAAATTTAAAAAAAATGATAATTTTGCACACCCCTGAAAAGTGACGGCAAAAAAAAGCATAGAAGATACCTGTTGAACAAAGTAGAAGAAATCGAAATCTTGATCAGCTGCATTGGAGAGGGCAAGAAAACATTGCAAGAAGAAGAAGATTTTGAATTTAGACAACATAGAAGAATCGAATTTGGTGTCCATTTCTTACTTACTTACAGAGTGTTTCATGATATGATATTTATAGATAATGAAGAAGAAGAAGAAGAAAAATAAATAAATAAATAATAATATAAATGGGAACAGTGTGAAAATGGCGTGTGCAATTATTGCATTGTCATATATATATATGAATACATTAATTGCTTACTCTGTGTGAAATGGATCGATTTGATTTGATGCACCTAAATAATTAATATTATTGACCATATAATAAATAAATTCAATTTAATTAATAACTTAAATAAATATTGCGTGGGGGGAGTATCCGTGTCCGTATCCGACTTCAAATTTGTTCATACACTGTAATTAGATGTAGAAAATTAATATAAAATAGTATAATAATAAATATACTACAGCATATTCCATACTAAAGGATTTCTATTTTTTTAGTTTAGTTTTTTTTACTATATAATTATTATCACTTTCAATAAAATATTATTGTTTCTTCTCATTAAACATTATATAAAAAAATTTATTTGGTTTGAAATTGATGATGATTTAAATTTTATTTAAATAATATTTTATTAGAAGCTGTGTAAAATAAATAATATTAATATTTATTTAAAATATTAGCAAATTTAAAAAATACGTGGCAGCATCTCATTGGATATTATTGAAGGGGTAAGCAGTAACAAAAAAGGAGTGAATTGGGTTGGGCTGGCCCAAATAATTTCAAACATTTAAATGAATGTATCAAACTGGGCTGGCCCAAATAATTTAAAACCATTTTAATGAATGTGTTTTGGGTAGACCTGTAAAACAAACGACCTGATCGCGAGCTCGGCTCGGTTCGGCTCGTTTGAACTCGTTAAAAGTTCGTTTGTTAAGCTAAACAAGCTGAACACAAACATAAATTTTGGCTCGTTATGTTCACGAACGAGCTCGAGCTTGTTCGCGATCGTTCGATAGTATTTATTAAAAAATTAAATTAATAATTTTATATTTAATAAATATATATATCTTTATAAATATTATATTTCATTCTATTTTTTATTCAAATTTATTAATAAAAATTATAATAATTATTAAATAAATTTACTTTTTTTAAAAAAAATTAATTAAATAAAATAGAATTTCTCTTAACTACCCGAGTCGAGCCAAATACGAACAAAAAAATTGTTAAACAAGCCGAACTCAAACAAAAATTTCAACTCGTATATCTTAACGAACGAATACAAGTCGAACTCGAATCCTTAACGAGCCGAGCTCAAATATGACAAACTCGATTCTGTTTGGCTTGTTTACCGCTCTAATTTTGGGTGGAATTAATTCTTTTGAATTAAAAATTATTAATTGTTATGATTTTATAAATCTATCATACAACAAAAATATGAATAGACGAATAAATCCAGATTAAAGAGTTTGTGTTGCAAGTTGGACTTAGGTCACAGCTTGGGTCGGATCAAAATATCAAAGGATGTGTTTCCTTGTGCAATTTTGTTTTTATTTTATTATTTTAATAATTTTTTTTTTAAAAAAAAAATATCAAATCAAACACTTAATTTTTATTTATTATATTAACTAAAATTTAATTTTACATTCAAAATATCACATCAATAAATATTTAAATTAAAATTAAAATTAAAATACAAGCAATAAAGTATATTAATATTCTCTATATCCCGCCACCACATATTCACATTTTCTTATTTTGGTCGGTTCCAAAAATTATAATTCATTTCAGTAATAAATTTATTCATTTTAAATTTACTTAATAAATATATAATCAAATTTATAATCAATTCATTCAAAATCTCATTATTTTATCTCGTTAATAAATAAATATTAAAATTCTTTATCTTTTATAAAATTAATTATAAATATATATATTTTATTTATTTATATTATATAAAATAATAAGCAAATATATATATATATATCTTATACTCATATTATTATTATTATTATTATTTTCTCTATCAAAACTAATGTTCATACATATCTAACAAAAATATATATACAATTATTATTAAAATTTTTACTCATCATTTCTTATTATCTGTGTATACCATTATCATGAATGAATCACTCCACATATTTATTATACTCACTTTAATTTAATTTTAGATTATATTATTACTTCTGTAAAATTCTAATTCTATTGTTATAGTAAAAAAAATAAAATAAATAAATAAATAAAAAATTGCTCTATAGTACTAATAAAGAAGGAATTAATAATAGAGTAATAATAATAATAGAAGAGTGCCCTGAATTCCCAGACAGAAGAAACGAAGGAAACCATCGTTCTCCCCAACGTTGCAGAAATCACAAATCAAATCAAATCAAGAAAGAAGAGAAAGGAAGGGTAAAGAAGAAGAAGGAAAGCGCCGTGGCGCCGCCGACCGCCGGAGAGGGCCGCCATTTTCGTCCAAGAGCCCTCTCGAATTCCATTCCCAATTTCAGAACACACCAATTTCTCAATCCATCCTATGGTTCACAAAATCCCCAATTTTGATGCGCCGATCGAATGCCCGCAAACCAAACCCTAATTCGGAGCCTCACCGCCCCATGGATCCCGCCAAATTCTCCTTCCGATCTCCCCGCCCTGGATTCCGATCGCCCAAGACCAAGCAGTCAAACCCTAGATTGAGATATTACTTGTACGTCTCCTTCTCCATAGCCTTCCTCTTATTCTGCTACGTTCTCTTCTCCGGCGGCCGCCACAGGGAGAGCTCTCGGTACCGCGTCGTCATCGACGGCGGGAGCACCGGAACGAGGATCCACGTGTTTAGGTACCAGGTTAGGGACGGCAAGCTAGTGCTCGATTTCACCGAGAAAGGATTGGCGTCGATGAAGGTGAATCCAGGGTTGTCGGCGTACGCGGAGGAGCCGCAGAAAGCCGCCGCCGCGGTGGCGGAGCTGCTGGAGTTTGCTAAGGGGAATGTGCCGAGGGAGCACTGGCCGGAGGTCGAGGTCCGGCTGATGGCCACAGCGGGGATGAGGTTGCTGAAGAATGAGGATCAGGAACGGATTTTAGATGAGTGTAGGAAGATTCTCAAGGCTTCCGGATTCCGGTTTCGCCATGATTGGGCAGCTGTTATCTCTGGTAAGAACAAAATGGCAGAGCATATGTGTTTGTGCTATGATCATTTCTTTGGAATTTCTTGGAAATGTATTGTGATCATTTCTTTGGGATTTCTTGGAAATGTATTGATGTTATTAACCCTTTTGTTAGAAATTTACCTGCAATGTGATTCTTGATGTCTAGAATTAGTAATAATTCCAGGAGTCCTCGATTCAATTGGAATTAGCCATTGATTCTCGATGTTATGTTGAATTATGTAATAATTTGAGGAGTTCAATTCAATTGGAAATTCTTGATGTTATGTAGAATTATGTAATAATTTGAGGAGTTCGATTCAATTGGAATTTAGCCTGCAATGTGATTCTTGATGTCGTACAGTATTCAAGGTGTTAGATTGAATTGGAAATTCTCCTGCAATGTGATTCTTGATGTCAGTCTAGAATTATATAATGATTCGAGGAGTCTGTATCAATTGGCTTCCGGATGTAATTTACTTTGTTCGAAATTTGCCTGCAATGTGATTCTTTATGTTGTGTAGAATTATATAATAATTTTAGGAGCTTGTTTCAATTGGCTGCCGGATGTAATTATACCTTTTGTTCGAAATTTGTTTGCAATGTGATTCTTGATGTTGTCTAGAATTAGTAATAACCCGAGGAGTTCGATTCAACTGGAATGTCATTCTTGATGTCGTGTAGAATTATGTAATATTTTGAGGAATTTGTTTCAATTGGCTACCAGATGTAATTAAACCCTTTTGTTCAAAATTCATCTGCAACGTGATTCTTGGTGTCGTGTAGAATTATGTAATAATTTGAGGAGTTCGTTTCAATTGGCTGCCGACTAACTTTTGACCATGATCAGGTTCAGACGAAGGCTTGTATGCTTGGGTTGTGGCTAATTATGCTTTGGGAACACTCGGAGCTGATCCATCTCAAACAACCGGGATTATCGAACTCGGCGGCGCTTCAGCTCAGGTGTTATTTTGCTTTATGTCTGTCTGTTTAACAAGCTTTTTTTGGTAAGAAATGTTTGAAATTTGGTTTTTATATTCTAATTAATGTGTAAATCGGATTTCTGATAATCATAGGTTACATTTGTCTCAAATGATTCCACGCACCCTGAATTCTCTCGGCAAGTTAAATTCGGGAACTATACATACAATCTATACAGTCACAGTTTACTTCACTTTGGCCAGGTAGTTTATGCACAAATAATCTTATTCATACATTTATGCTTCTGTTTTTATTGTTTTTCGATTTGTTGTTTTTTATATTGATTGTGTGCAATTTTTTCGGCAGAATGTTGCATTCGATTTATTGAAAGAATCTCTTGCTTCGGGAGACCAAGAATTAGGTGTGGCATTCTCTCCGTCTTTCATATCTGCACGATAGAATCGATTTATTTTTTTTAAAATATAATTTATGTCGGAGCATGGGGACAATAGAATATGGTAGTGTTCAGATTTTATAGATATTTGTTAATGCAGCTGGTGAATCTCTCCAGAGAGGTAAAACGACGGATCCTTGTACGCCTCGAGGATACACCCCTCGTAAAGACGAATCAAAAGCCTCTCCCTCTACATTGGTTGAAAACAGTCGATATCCTTCCACTTTGCTTCCCAGTGGTAATTTCACTGAATGCAGATCGGAATCTTTGAAATTTTTGAAGAAAGACCATGGTATGCTCGATAAAATTTCAATTCTTGTATTTTATGATGAATACGGGTTGTTTTTCTAAATGTGTTCTTGTATAATACAGATAGATGCGCTTATGAAACGTGCTACGTGGGTTCTACATTTATTCCAAAGCTCCAAGGGAAGTTTTTGGCGACTGAAAATTTCTTCCACACGTCAAAGGTACCATTTTGACTGCAGGCTTTCGATTGAATTTAGTCTCGGATTGAAATTTCTTAACTTATTTATATATTTTTTTTTTTCTGTGTAATGAATAGTTCTTTGGTTTGAACCAAAGAGCTTTTCTTTCTCATCTGGTGGTAGCCGGACAACAATTTTGTGCGGAGGATTGGGCTGAGCTTAGACAGAAATACGTGTCTATTGGCGAAGAGGATCTCCTCCGGTATTGCTTCTCGTCAGCTTACATCGTAGCTCTGCTGCACGACAGCCTCGGAATTGCTTTGGATGATCATAGGTAATGCCTCATTGATTCCTTGAGAAAGATTTAGGGCCCGTTTAATAGAAGTTTTGAAAGTTTTCGAGTTTTGGAAAATTTTTAAAATAGTAAAATTTTATTTGATGCTATATTTTTTTTCTGAAAAAAGTTAATGTGGATGAATAGTAGCCATGGTTTGTTGTTTTAAGAATTTTGGAAAGTTTGAAGCATAGTAAAAACTAAAAAATTAAATAGAAAATACGTGTTTGATGCGGCATACATAGATATTGGATGCTATATTTGATTTTATTTATTTGGGTAAGCTGATTTTTTTGTCCAGTAACTAGATTCGTTTATTATTCGCAATCGAAGGCTATTTGCAAATTAGTTTCGTAAGTGAATTTTTTTTGCAATTTAGTCATTAAGCACCAGAGATGCCTATGTGGCACCCACATAGCTCAACGTAGGACATGTGTCCGCCACATCAGCGATAGCCGGCGGACACGATGATTTTTTTAAAAAAATTTTATTTATTTATTTATTGTCCTTTTTGTAAAAATTAAAATTTTTTCTTTAAACAAAAATGAAAACTAAAAATTTTGAAAAAAATAAAAATTCAAGTGTCTGCCATGTGTCGTTGACTTGGCGGACACGGCGACCCACACGGTATCACATAGGCATCTCTGGCACCGGAGGTCTAAAATTGCTAAAAAATTTCACTTACAAAACTAATTTGCGACGGCCTCTATTTACGGAACTAATATAATTAAAATTATAAAGAGGTCCAGTTATTTACATGACTAAAAAAATTAGTTTACATTTTTATTTATTTATTTTAAGTATACGTTGATGATAGTGCGAAACCAAGTTTGAAAACCTAAGTAAGCAAAGTCTAAATTTCTTTCTCAATCTATTATTAATGATAGAATTTGTACAATCTTCGAGCAGGATCGAGTATGCAAATAACGTGCGGAAAGTCCCACTCGACTGGGCATTGGGAGCGTTCGTTCTGCAGAGTGCAGCCGAGCTGGACGAGCAGCGTTCCGATTGGATATCCACTCTAACAGGCGGTAAATCTCCACATTGGCTACTTATCATATTCGGAGTATCCGTCGCATTAATTTTTGCGTCGTGGGTCGCGTCGAAATTGAGAAAGCCTAAGTTGAAGACGATTTACGACCTGGAGAAAGGGAAGTATATCATCACCCGGATCGGTAGATACTCGTAGCTTTTATGATTTAGGACACGCCCAATCGAAACCATCGGGGCGATCAGCTCGACGGCTGGATGTCCGAAACGGACAAGTATGTTTGAATCCTTGGTTTAATCATCGTCGGATTATTGATATATTTCTTTGTTCATATTGTAGAAAGAGAATTGGGATTTTGTTGGCAAGAGAATGGATCGGATCGTCCACGGAGAAAGGGGGCTTCTTGGTCTTTTGATCATTTTAGGTATCCCTTGTTTGGCTTTGTTTGCTATTTATGATTGATTGAAGGAGAGAATGCAGGTATTTTGGTCATGCCTTATCGGCGATGCCAAACAGGGCTTATGGCATTTAGCTGCTGCTTATACCGATTTCAGAAAATGTGCGTTAAGAGACGATGTATATATAGTTTTTTTGGCGTTTCAATTGGGAGTACAATATATATAGTTTTATTCAATTTTGAGCATTATATATATATATAAAAGAGATTATATATATATATAAAAGAGATCGGTATGGAGTCTATCCCATCAAATCTATTTTGTCAATTTTTTGGATTTTATTTATTATTTTGGATTTTTTAATAAAATAAATATGTATTAAATATCATTAAGTATATCATAATTAATAAAATTATAATTAATACATTTGTAAATATAATAAAATAGTTGATTTAATTTTATAATTAAAATAAATTATAATTTTATCTATTTATACACCTAATTAAGGGTTATTTGAAAATGTAATAACTTTAGAATGTAATTTTATTTATTTTTATAATTAAAATAATTATATTAATAATCAATAAAATTAAAACTATTATTAATTATATTTTGTAATCTTAATATATATAAAAACGCAAATAGGTTTCATAATTTTATAGTTTTTTTTTTATTTTTTAATTCTTAAAAATATTTAAAATTAATTTAATATTTTATTAATTTTTATTTATACCCGTAAATAATGGATAATGAAATATTCCAAAATTTTCATTATAATTGATATTAAATAATTATATTAATTGATATAGTTATAATTGATATAATTTATGAAATTATAATTAATCATGATAATTTGAAAATATATTTTAATTATATGTATAAAAAATAGATCTCATATCAATTTATTGTTTCTTTTTATTTTTGTTTTTTTAAAAAAAAAAATTATATTAAATATTCATAATATATATACCATAATAATATAAATAGAAAATTTATAATTATCACAATCAATATATATAATTTGATAATATAATATATATATATAGAATACTTCTTTAATTTTTAAATTAAATAATTGATTTTATTTCATATTATTTGAAGTATTCATTTATTTTAAATTTTTTTTACCTATTTATCGATATAAAAGAAAAAATCTAACTCATACCTTTTTTTTCCTCATTATTAATTTTTCAATAAAACGAAATTTATACTATTAAATTAAATATTCATAATTAGTATACCATAACAATATACTTAATAATAATAATACTACTATTAGTGATAATTATAATACTAATTAATGATATTAAAAATGAATTAGTATTATTTCTAAAATTTTGGAATTTTTTAATAAATTCAAAACTAATGTAATATTCTAATCAAAATATATAATTAATGTTAATTATATTCATAATAAATAATTTTTAAATTTTTTAAAAAAATATATTTTAAACATTCAGATTAATTATAATTATTTGTAATTAACGCATATCTTTCTAAATAATAAAAATTTATTAAACATAATTAAATTTATTATGAGTAAAATTGATTCTGACGTTTATGATTGGAAGTTACCAAATATTAAAAACGTCAATTACGATCAATTAACGTCAGCATTAATGACGAATTTGATGACAATCCTCATTTGAATGTTTATAAAAGATCATATCTTCACCCATTTCAATCACACATCAACTTTTCATCATTTCATCCTCTCAATTTTCTTCATTTTTCCGATAATATTTTTTCGGCGAGTTTCCGGTTAATATTTAAGTAACGTTTTTATTTTCCTTCGCCACCCAATATAGTTGTTTTTTTCCTTGCATTTTAATAATCGGAGTTCCAAAATATTGTAATGCCACCTAATATGAAGATAATGCGTCGTATTAACGTATAATTTACTTATACTATTTTATTTTATTTTTATTTCGTACTGTATATAAATAATTTCATATAATTTTGTGTTTACAGATATTTTTGTATTATTTATTTTTAGGTAATTCATATATTAGTTTATATTTAATAATAAAATTAACATTAAAAATAGATTTATTTTTATTTGCGATATTAATTATATTTTTGTGTTAAGCAGATTGCCCCTGCACGACAAGATCAGTTTCTTATCCATTTCAATCACATTTTAATCTCCTTTGTTTTGTAATTCTCTTATATTTTAAAAAATATTTTTCCTATGAGTTTTTTCTCAATTTTTTGACAACGTTTATCTCTTTTTAGCCACCAAATACAATTTTTTTTTCCTTCATTTTAGTTAGTTTCAAAAAATTGAGATTGTATCTAATCGAAAGATGATACAATAGTTTAAATTATAATTTATTTATAATATTTTATTTTGTTATTATTTTGTACTTTGTATAAATAATTTAATAGTATAATTTTTATTTTTTTTGTATATTATACATATTTTTCTATTATTTGCTCTTTAAATAATTTATATATTAATTTCTATTTAATAATAATATTACAATTAAAATTGATTTATTTTTATTTATAATATATGTATTATATTATTCATATTTTTTCATTTAAACTAAAATTTCTCATTTATTTTACATGGTTTAATTGAGTTCTTATAATTTTATTCAAATATATTTGTGTATATATAAATTTTCAATAAATCTATAAAATTTTATTTTATTTTTCTTTATTTTTAATATTATTAAAATAAATTTATATTAAATATCCATAATAATATTCCATAACTAACATATTTAACAAACTATAATTAGCACAATCAATAAATATTTTATAAATATAAAAGTTGATAAAACTATTAAGAATATGATACTACAATGTATATATATATAATACTTATCTATTCAATTTAAAAAATAAATATGCTATTATATATATATATATATTAACTGCATAACTATTGATTACATAAATTCTAATTTTTAATTTTTAAGAGAAAATAATAGATGTGTTCTTTTAATAAAAATTTAACGGAGACATAAAAAAATATAAAAATGCCGTGCATGCACAGATTTCCCACTAGTTATTTATATATAGATAGATATGCAGTGTGCAAATCACGTGATGATTTGTAAAATTATGCTATTGTTTGGTTTGCGTTTTACTTCATCATACGAATCGCGAAATTAAAAAATAATAATATTTTATTATAAAAATAGTGATAAATTAATTATTACTTGTTAGAGTATAATAATAAAATTATAAATGAATAAAATCATCTTATTTTTTAAAAAAATTATTCAAAGAAACACGTATTTTATAAGTAAATAAATAATATTTCGTCTGTATAAATAAAAGTGTTAATATTACATTAGACACTAGAATTTAAGTAAAATATAAAATATGTTTAATAGGTAATTTAAAAATATATTAGTAAAAATAATTATTATATAATAAAAATAATTATAAATTAAGATTAAAATAATTAAATTATTTAATTAAAATTTAAAAAATTATATTATAAAATTAAAAGTATGATTTAAAGTAATCATATTTTAAAAAATAAAATCACAAATTATAGAGCGCAGACGAAAATACTACCATTATCTCATAAAATCAACACCATTTTTTTTGCATATACAATTTTCAAAGTAACAAAATTGTGATATAAAAATAATATTATTTGTATAATATATTAAAAATGGTAAGGATATTAATTATATTAAATAGATAATATAATTACTAAATTAAAAAATAATACTCCCTTTGTCCGTCTTTGATCTATCTATTCATTTGCTTTTTCACAGAGTTTTAGAAATATTAATATTATATTGGAATAAAGTAGAAATAAAGATAAAAAGACTAAATTAACCCTATTAATATTGTATGATATAAAAATAATGACATTTATGTAATATATTGTAAATTAGAAGTGTATTTATGAAATGAATACTTTGTTATGAGACATATGAAAATAAAAAAATGGATAAATCGTTAAGAGACGGAGGAGTATATATTTTTTCAAATAAAAAAAAAAGTATTCTTTTTATGGAACGAAGAAATTGAAACTTGTCGTGAAAAGGAGGGAAGAAAATAGTACTAAATACATATATATATATATATATATTTTACATATACATATAAAGAGTCTAAAAATTGTAGTAAAAATGGAGGAAAAAGTGGTACTTAGGATCAATGAAAGTCAACATTTGGCCAAAAGAGAAAGACTGTGTGATACGCGTGAACGCTCTCTTACTTACAAATCCATCCTCGCACCGCACGCAGATTTATTGACCTCCAAATTTTGCTTGGCCGGGCACCAAATTCGCGATTTTGTTTCCAATTTTGTGTTCATTCTTCAGGTATGCTTTTCCCAATTTTGGTTTTGGTAGTTATAATAATTCTTGTGTATTCCCCGCTTTATATTTTCGCTTTTTCCGAGCTCAATTGTCGTCGATTCCAAATTGACCATCGATTCTGGCTTCCCTAGCTAAAGAAATCTTCGATACCGCGGCGTACGCCGCCGTGATCAGTGGATTTCTTTCGAAATTTTGAGTGTTCGGGGATACCCTTGGTTTCCGATTTAGGGATTAGGGATTTTGATTTTTGTTAATTTGAGAGGCCTTTTTTTCCCCCAATTATTTATTAATTATTGATTGGTATATTCGATTAGTATTGGAGTGGGCTCATATTATAAAAAATTCCTGTAAATGCGAAATATACAATCGCTTGGATACATGGAGATAAAAAGAAACACGGATTGAATTGTGAATTTGTGATTGATGGGTGTAATTTTCGGTTCAGGAATTCTGGTGGTTCTAATTGTTGATTTGAATTTTGTGTTGGTGTAAATGGGTGAGCATATGGTGGTGAAAGTGAACCAGCAGCAAAATTCAGAGGCTGTTGAGGCTAACAATTCGGTTCCCCTTCCGGAAGGAAGTGCCCCGAGCGGGAAGAAGCCTGAAATGGTGGGTTCATCATCATCAATGCCCTCTGAAGATGGTAAAGTGGTGGTGGATGTTGGGGGCGAAGAAGCCGACGAGAATGCGCCCCTCATAGGGATGGGGGAGTGCCGCATATGCCAGGAGGAGGATTCGATTTCTAATTTGGAGAGTCCTTGTGCTTGCATGGGAAGTCTCAAGGTAAAACACTTAGATCGATGATCGTTGTTATTGTCCGGATTGGATAATGTGCATGTGTGCTTAGTTACCATTTCACGTCTTGATTTAGGTTTTTCGTGTAGAGGGCTTGTGTTCTTTTCAAAAAGCAAATAAATTTTATTAGGTGTAAACTCAAAATGGTGCAATTTTTTAATCCTAAAGCAAAAGCACAAGCATTTGGGTCTCGATGTGTCTTCGGTTCATAGACTTCATGCAAATTGGAAGTATAGTGGATGTTTTGTGTATTTGTTTGGAGGTTTGGATTTTGAATAGTAAAATTTCGAATTTGAATACTTGTTTAATGTGAGTGATATAAATAGGTGTTGATGTGATGTTTTGAATATAAAATTAATTTTTAAGTATAATACTCCATAAAAAAATAAAAAATAAATGTTTGATTTAATATGTTTGTGAAAATTTTTTTAGAAGAATAGTAAAAATCCTCCAAAATCCTCCAAACAAACACTTAATTTCCTCTATCTAATATGATAACCTGTAATTTGAGCTCCTCAAGTATAATTCACATATACTTTCTGTCGGCCTTCGTTGTTTCATTTGGAATGTGACATGTAACATTATTTGTTAGTTACACTAAATGTTTGGACAATCTCTCATGTTCTAAGCTTCCTCCCTTCATGAATGACCTCCTTCAACTCCTCGACATTCTTTTTTTCCAATTGGCTTGGTTTGCTATTTCACTAATAAACCCTTCCTTTTGCAGTATGCTCACAGAAAATGTGTTCAGCACTGGTGCAATGAGAAGGGAGACATTACTTGTGAGATTTGTCATCAGGTATGGGATTTCTTCAACTTTAATAGAAAGTTATTTTAAGTTTTTCAATTTAGAATTTTCCTATCTCGGGTACCTTTTAAGCGATTGAGGTGTATGTTTATGAAGCCTAGGAAATTTTTTGTTTTCTGTTCCTAAGATTATGAAATCAGTATGGAACTGATATATAACATTTGATGTTACATTCTGCTGCGACATATTTCAGCCTTGGCGAATTTAATCAGTGCAATACGGAATAGACTTCACATAAGAATAGATCTTTTGTGATGAACAAAACAATTTTTACATCTAGAAAAAAGTTCCATAGGCTTGAAAGAAAGTAACATAATTATTTGTGAAAATCATTCATTATTGTTATGAATATCTAATTGGCATGCATCTTTGTTAATAATCGGGAGTTTATGGCTCAATGGTTGTTGAAGGGGAGGTAATTTATCCCACAGATGGCAATATGTTCGGGCCGTATCATAAAATGCCACGCTCAAACCATATCAATAGTATCACTACCCGACATTATGAATTGTGATGTTATTATGTTAATGCTGCTGGATGTACTACTTCCAATGCTTACGATGCTTTATCCATTGCCCTGTTCTGCAGCCATATCAGTCTGGTTATACTGCTCCTCCGCGCCCTCCACCCAACGACGCCACCATTGATATTGGGTAAATTTGTATTTTTAAAATTTTAAAACTATATATTTATGTATAATGCTGTTCAATCTTTTCTTTGCTTTAGAGTGAGATAACATGCGGTTTCTGCTTGCAATTAAAGAGATTAATCCTGTTCTGTTGTTTTCTTTTTAATTATATATAAAATTTTAGCACCGTTAAATGATTTTGTATTTGCTTCCAGAAGCGTGTGGCAAATATCCGGTGCACCACTGGATATGAATGATCCTCACCTGCTAGCAATTGCTGAGGCTGAGCGTCAATTTTTCGAAGCCGGCTATGATGATTACAATGCTGCCAACAGCAGCGGTGCTGCCTTTTGCCGCTCAGCTGCTCTGATTGTAAATCCTTACTTCTGCAATTTATTGATTCTGATCATTGCATGCACTTTAATAGAGAAATTCAAGAAGAAGATGATGTTAAAATATCAGCGCAAACATAGGATTCGGAATCCCTTTTCCTTTTCTTTTTCCTTATTTTTTTGAATAATTATTGATGTTTGAATTGGCAGTTAATGGCTCTTCTGCTACTGAGGCATGCAGTGTCCATCACCGACGATGGGGATGGAGAAGGAGAGGAAGACGCCTCAGCTTTCTTCTCGGTAAGCTGATGTGGGTTTGTTTGTTTGGAGGTTTGGATTTTGAGTTGGAATTTGAATAGTAAAAATTTTGAATTGAAATAGTTGTATGACCTAATATAAATAGGCGTTGATGTGATGTTTTGAATGTAAAATTATTTTTTAGTACAATATAAAAATAAAAAATAGGTGTTTGATTTGATATTTTTGGGGGAAAAAAAATTTGATGAATAGTGAAATTTGAAGAGAATCCTCCAAACAAACACCCTTTATGTTATTTTTACCCTAAAACGGAAGTCGTTACTCATTATACTGTTGTTAGCAAGCATTTTTCATTACGCTGATTGCTCAAACGAATGCAGCTGTTCTTACTTCGAGCTCTCGGATTCCTCTTGCCATGCTACATCATGATTTGGGCCATTAGTATCCTCCAACGCAGGAGGCAACGCCAGGTATATATGTTTCTCCATTTCCGTATACATTTCTTGCTTTACGACTATTTAAAAATGTTCGATGATAATGTAATTTTCGTTCAATTTATAGGAGGCAGCAGCTTTAGCGGCAACACAATTCGCAATTGTGGTTCAATCTGCCCAAAACAGAGGACTCCTCGTCGCCTCAACTCCAGCAACAACTGCTCCTCCAGCTGCTTCCTCACAGACAGTCCCTTTGCAGGCTACTCCTCGACAAGAAACTGTCTGATCGAACAATTCCTGAATCGCTTGTCTAACTTTTGTCTTCTTACAACTGTGCTGAAGAGTCTGTCAAGATCGAATTAATACTGTCGAAAACTTCCCTTTTCTCCCTTTTAACGTTCTTTGCATCCTAAAAACTTCACTCGTTATGTGTGTATATGACTTTCAGGTCCTCAGACACGTTGCCGAGATGTTAAGAGATGTCACACTCTCAAGGCAAGCATCCTCTTTAAATTCCTGTCGCTAGTGTACTTATATGACGTGCTCCATACTGTATGACCGCGTATTGCCATCCATTTTCATACTTTAGTAAAATTACCGTAAATTTAGAATCTGTTATGTCTTAGCAGTGGAATAAATTGGTTTTCTCTACTGTTTTGTTTGTACATTTGCTCGCTCTGCCTTTTTTTTCTTTTTTCCTATGCAAGTTGGCTTATAAAGTATGTTGGTGTTTATACCTTTTGGGGCCCCTTCGATTAATTAAGAAAAGTATATCGAAGCCGGCAAATGTGTGACATTCTATTTGTAGTGTGCCCCCCTATGTTTCTTGGACTACCCCTTTAGGACATTACCTTGTCTTGGTTTCTTCGAATGACTTGGTCAAGTCAGAGACATCATTGGTTTATACAAAAATCCATTCTTGGCACAAGGTAGTTATTTGTCTTGCTTGATATGGGATCTTATCCTTGTGATTGTGGTTATTTTCCAACTTTTTGTTGCGACGGCCTTGTGCAATTTGCTAGATATATGAGAGCACATATTTCATTAAGATATAGTAATTTATGACCAAATATCTCTTCGTTTTTTTTTCTATTTTTATTTTTTGCTCTAAATGGATCATTCTTAGAATTAAGTGACACGATGATCTTTGGAACATTTAATGAATGTGCGTTATTCATAGTATAAGCGATTGGGTGGAGTGGATGAACATAATATTTTTACTTTCAATTTGCATACCAAGGCTGAATTTCCACACCTGATTGATGCTCTTTCAGAGTTTCAGTGAGATTAAGATATAGTACAATGATTACTAATTTTGAGATATATATATATATATTTATGAGAACTAGAACTTTATTGGTGTGTTTGTCTGTTAGTTTGAATTTTTGGATTTGGACATTTGAATAGTAAAAAGTTAATTTAAATAGTTGTTTGATTTGATATAAAATAGAGGTTGAACGTGATGTTTTGAATGTAAAATAAATTTGTAGTATAATATAAAAAAGAAAATAATTGTTTGGTTTGATATTTTATATAAAACTCATAAAAGAACACAACCTTAGGATGTTTGTGTTCGTTCGTGAATATTTATGAACAAGACTCATGTTTGTTCGTTAAACATTCGAGCTTGTGTTCGCTTTCAACTCAAATAAATTTATTTGGGCTCTTTTGGATAGATTATTTTATTTTTTAAATTTATATATATAATATTATTTATTTATTTATTTATTTTTTAATTAATAAAATTATATATTTGAGCACATTCACCAATATACTTTGGACTTAGTCAACGAAACAAATCTATTTATGTTATTTGGTTCGTTTAGATTCGTGAACGAGTTTAAATCAAACTAAATTCACTAATGATAACCGCTCTAATGAAAATACATGAATATATTAGTGTAAATCTTTTTTCGTTGAAACAATCAATCGAGGCAATTATACCAATACAAAGATAATTAATTGTGTTTTCGGATGTTTGAAATTGCGATGATCTTGGTGGGATTCTGATATGTCCGCAGTTAATTCTTTGGTGGCTAAAACTTGGAATATGCTGTCTTGTCTTGTGTAGGGCAGGTGTTCGATGAAATGCCTAAAAGGAAACTTCTTTAACAACAAGACTGCATCTTTAAAAACTCAATAATTTTGATGAATTCCAGAAACCCAATTCCCACTTTACCTCAGACAATCCGATCCATCTCTTTAATTAAAAGAAAGAATCGGACAAAACCCAATTGGGGTTCAATTCCAATACATGCAGTGAGTGATGTACGTTCCGCTTCCCTTTTTGTACCTCCCATCAAACAGCATCAATAAATTCCCGATTAGCAAAATTACAAAAATCATTCTTTCAAACACAAATCTAAAGCAAAAAAAGCAAAAGAATCTGTCCGTTTCTGTAAGCTTTCAGTGTCATAATGGTGTAATTCTTTGGACCATTATTTTATTCACACACACACATATATATATATATATATAAGAAAAAAAAATTTAAAATAAAGCATACATCACAGAACCTGCACACACTTTAGAATGTTCCAAGTTGGGGTGTGATTTATCCCATTTCATTATTACACATAAATAAATAAAAGTGTGTAAAGAAAAAGATATAAATAAATAAAACAAAACAAAATAAATTGTAATAATAATAATTATTATTATTATTAATGGTAAAGAGAAAGAGAGACAGAAGAATGAAAGAAGACTGGCAAAAGAAGCCATAAAAGAAAACAAATAAAATGAGCACAAGAAACCATGACATATGATTTAGTATTTCTTTTTTATTTTATTTTATTTTATTTATTTGTTTGATATAATATATATATATATATTATTTTATTTTTTAAAATATTGGTGTTGCATAGAGAATAGAGCTTGGAATTCTCTAAAGTGAGATAGAGATCTGTTGTAGTTGTAATATAAAGTGAATGTTTGATGTTTTTTAAGTTTGGAATATTTATATATATATATATTACTTTCCTTTTTGCTAATTGCTGCTTTTATGACTGACTCACTCACTCACTCCATGCACAGATATATATATATATATATGTTTAAATTAAATTTGGCTATTCTTAACTCATTATTACATTCTTCTTTTATTTCTTAATACCTAAGTAATCTTCATTTTTTAGGTTAATCACATTCCAACATTTCTTTACACTATTATTATTTTCATCCTCGACATGTTTCTGAACCTTTCGCCTTTTTAGTTAATTATTTTATTATTTTTAACAATTTTTATAAAAATTTTATTTATTTATTTATTTATTTTTATCTATAAAATATTACTACATCAAAATATTATTACACAAATTTAAAACACAACCTTAGTCTCTTAACGACTACACTCGACAATCAACTAACTCAAAAATTAATACAACAGGAGATCTTCATGCCACATAAGCGCAGGAGTGATGACGTGGCATGGAGTCCAAGCTGACTGGACTGGTCTTCGTTCAACCAGACAAAAGCATGCAAGAAAAATGGTGGGGTGGGGTGGGGTGGGGTGGGGTAGGGTGGGGTTAAAAACACTTAGCCAAAAAGATGCTTATCTTCTCAAGGATGTTGTGTTGTGTTGTTCCCAATCATACCTTTATTCATCATCTTATTCAGATTCTTCTTTTTCAACCAACAACACTATTATTCTCACCCCCTTATTTTTATTTTGTTATTTTTTAAAAATTTAAAATTATCATTATTTTTTTAAAAATAAAAAATAAAATAAAATGTTACTATAAAAGTTAAAACTAAAATCCAAATAGAATCACCAAAATGAAGAAGTCCACTTATTATTACTCAATTTATTTTACTAGCAATGTATTTATTTTAGGTTCTCCACATCATAAATTACTAGTTTGTAGCATTCTAGGTTCACCTTGGGATCGATAGGCATTTTCAGATAGCAGCGGCAAGTTCACACATTATAATAAAAAATGCAATCTTCATACATTAATGAAATAACCTCACATTTTACTTAAAATTACAATTGCACAAATTTTTATTTATTTTTTGTCTACCATATTTTCCAGATTATTTTAGTTAATACATTATTAGGATATTGTTCGTAAAAAATGTGTCACTTCTTTTGTAAATTACAAAACAAATTAACATATATTTTTTTTAGATGAAGAGAATACAATTAATTATACATAAAAATTTAATGTTTTTTCGTTTACATATAAAAATTAATGAATGCACAAAACTGACAAATGATTGATTCGTGTCGAATTATTATTATTTTTTAAATTGATGAAATAACTCAATTCTATTCCAATCGATCAGATTCATATTAATCCGTATATATAATTGGATTGAAGTTCTTGATCTGAACGCTATAATTAGTTTTTGGCCGCTCTAAAATACACTTGTTTCGAATAGATATATTATTATTATTATTATTATTATTATTATTATTATTATGTTAAATTCATCATTTGTGAGTGATGGATTTTGGATTCTTGATTCTTGGGTTGGGTTGGGGTGGGGTGTGGGGGTCCCTCACATTATTTTTCTTGCTTTATGCTTTAAATCCCCCTCAAAAAAAGAAACATCCATTCTATAAGAATTGTTGCCCCAATTGTGGAGTGGACAACATAATGATCCCAACCTTAACCTTAAACTCCCACATTCTTCCACCATCATCATCCTTAGTTTCTCCGAACCACTTATCCTCTTCATCTTCATCTTCATCTTCATCTTCATCATCCTCACAATGTCTTTCTCCTTACATTCCTCAATTATGCTTTTTCTATGTCTATCATTCCTAACTACACTCTATCCATCCCAAGTTTGTGCCTTCACAAGTGCCAACCTTGTCACAAATCGAGGCGGTGGCGCCGCCACCGGAGATCGTCCGATCGCCCGGCCACATTCAAACAAGACGACGACCCCTCGAGATCGATCAAGATTTGATCCGAACCGGTCAAGTAAAAGACGGGTTCGAAGAGGGTCCGATCCTATCCACAACAGGACATGACAGCAATAGTAAAAATGCGCGCGCAATTAAATTGAATCAATTTTTTCGAGTGTTGTAGTTTTATCTAGTTTCGGTGTAGAGATATATATATATATATAGATGTGTATATAGCACGGGCTTCTTGGGCCCATAAAAGTGTTCGGGCCCAAATGCGCAGGAGAAGGCCCGAGAATAGAAGTGAATCGATGCATCGATGAGGATGAGATTTCTTTTTTGGCTTGGATTCATTATTTCTTGGTTTATTCGAAGACAATATGTGTCGGGGCTTTTCTTTGTTAGATTTTGATTTAGTTGAGAATGTTAGTATTAGTCACGACTTTTCGAAAAAAATCTCGTTAAATTTGAAATACTACGTACTTTTGATGTCCCAGAAAAACTTTCGAGATTGTGTTAGCAAATTTTGTTCATTTATTTTAACTATTGGTACAAATTCTTTGAAGATATGTCTTACGCTTTGTTTATTTATATTTTTAATTTTGTTTTCATATTATTTATTATTCATAGTTTTTTTTTTATATATATATATATATAATAAATGTTCTATATCTCTTTTTATTTAATATATTTACTATTTATTTTTATATAAAAAGTATATTACATATATATATATATATATATAACATCACATTCAAATTGTTGTTTGAATTAAAATTTAAAAATAAATCAATTATTCAAATAAAAACTAAACACATTCTAATCTTTTGTTTAAAATATAATATCCAATTTATATTGCAACAAAAATTTGTTTCTATTCAATTTTTTTTACTATTTTAAAATTAATCTAAAGTACTTTTAAACTCTTTAATTTTATCAATAATAAATTTTCAAAAAAAAAAAGAAATAGAAGTAAAAATTCACACCAAATACTTTTGTTTTATAATAAACTATTAACTCAAATATCAACATTTTGCTATTTGCCAAATGGTGTGTTTAATTTGTATTTCAAATCAAAATTACCACTAATTTGTATTTAAGATTCTCAATAAAAATAAATTATTTTTTTTTATAAAAATATTGTATTAAAATCTTATTTGAATAAAAGCTCAAATTAAAAACAAATTCTTAAAAGGAAAACAATGTATGTAATAAAGAACCCAATTGTTGATGCACTTATGTAAGTAGGTGCAGATCACTAATGAAACAGTGCTACTCTGAAATTCTAATAATGAAAAAAACGTATTATTAAAATATACTATAAATTTATTAAAATTTTATCGATTGAATGATAATAAAATTTTTATAAATTTATTGAAATTTATGCAATTTATTATTCATCACCGTATTCACATATTTATATAATCTAAATTTATTTTAAATTTTCGATTTATTTATTTTTTCTATAAAAATAGGAAGGTAAATTTTATGGGCTTAAACAACGTAAGCCCAACAATACCAATGAAATTTCTGTTAATGGGCCCATCATCCAGCAATGAATCTCATCCGTTGATTTCGAAACCGTAGATCAGTTTAAATGATTAATCTGCAGACCTAGGGCACCGCCGAGTTTACACTTCTGTAATCAAGAGATGGGACGGCGAATTAACTTGTCTGACCGATAGCTGATAGAGCTTTTAAATGAATCGACTTGTTAGTAAACGACACGATTAAAACTCGTTTACGAACGTTAATGAACCGAATCGAATAGCATAAACAAGCTTATTTGTTAACGAATGACCCTAATCAAACGAGTTCGAATTTTGTTCGCGATGTTAAAATAATATATTTATTATAAACATTATATATACAAATGAAATTACAATTTATAAATAAATAAAATAATTTTAATTTATATATAAATTAAAAAAAAAATAAGATAAACAAACTCGAAGAATAACACTAGCTAAAACAATAAATATTCTTCACGAGCTTAAATAATGAATATTCTTACCGATCTCGAAGGCTTAACAAACAAATACAAACACTTTAAATTTTGTTCGGCTTGTTAACAACTCTAGTGATTGGCATGTCTGCGTGCGTATGGATGGCCGCACCGTGTTCAGCGGCACATTCTGTTGCAGACAGGCTATAATTCGAACATATTCCTAAGAAACTCGACTCGATCAACTATGTACTTTCGACGAACTACTAGAGATTACGAGAACAAGAAGCCATGGGAGAAGCCAACACTTCTATCCTCTTCAATCTATCGTACATACATACGCCCGTATATACACGACGAAAAATCATCGATAAATTTGGCTAAAAAAAAATGTATTACCTCTTAGTTATCCTTGCAATCTTTACCGGGCCGTGCTTCGAGCCCGCCTTCGACTCTCGTCTCGATTTCGTAAGGCATGTAAGTCCCGAGTATTCGATCCCACACAACGAAGAACGGCTGCGAGAAATTATACTTACTTCCGTAGAGCTGGTGATGGATGTCGTGATAAGCCGAGTTGTTTCGGAACAATAGCTGGAAGGGATTTCCCGGCAGCCACAGGCCACAGTGGTCGTCGACTGTCTTCAATGTCGCGAACGAGAAGAAAAAGATCGAAGCTCTCGGGGACATGCCCGAGACGAGGAACGACGAGGCTCCGCCGATTGTGTCGAGCAACACACCCTCTAAGGGATGGTTGTACAACGCTCCGAAAGCGTACGGGACGACGAGCCTGTGGTGTTTCGAATGGATGTGTTTGTACAAGAACTTGTTTTGATGCATGTATCGGTGCATGAAATATTGCCATGTGTCTAGAACCGTCATTGCGATGAAGAATTGCTGGCCGTGCGCGAGGAGTGACGTTTGTTGTGGTTGCGAAGAATCGCTGTCCCTTCCCGTAACCTGTATGATAAAAAAAACACAGTTTGTTTCGCACATTAAAGCATCGGACGGAGAGATACTTTTCGTTTAATATAGACGTCAAATGAAAACAATACGCGATAACTGGCGATAGAATCGAAAAAAAAGAAATACCATAAGGAGAAAACAAAGTTTCTTGATCACACCGTGTAATATTGTTAATCATAAGCGCCTAAGATTTTATGTTATTGATCTTATTCCCCGATTCAATTCCTAGTCTTCGTTTCTTTACTATCTATAGCACATTTCGCCGTTTTTTAACTCATCTAAATCTGTGAAATTTACAAATGATCGTAATCCTATGTACTTATAGGCGAGAAGAAAGATAGATGATGCACCTATGATATAGACACACGGTAAGATTCTTGACAACATAAACAATTTCAAGAAAGTGTAACCAAAAAGGAGAATGTTTCGATAGATTACAATGTCAATCCCCTGTTTTTCGATGAACAGAAAGGAATGCCAAGACATAGAACAATGGGAGTTATATGTACGTCAAATATGTATGCCAAAATAATCCTCAATCACATAAAAGGTCACATAAAGGAGACCAAATATGTGCCCGGAAATAACCCAATCACATCTTAGGATTCGTAAACGACAACCCCCAACAAATGAACCTATGATTTTTCACTTTCTATATCCCTCCTATTCACATCCACGCATATATAAGATTACAAAATTCCGACTCATTTGATAAGACAAACAACACATTAGCATTACACGCTGATCGGCTTTGCTCAAGTGTATTTTCAATCTCTTTTTGCACTTCAACATAAGGGTGTAATACATCATTTTCAATACTAAGAACTTACACGATTTAAATCCAAACACCCAAAATCCTTCCAAATCAACGCATCCGAAATTCCACCAATATATAAGACTATGAGATTCCGACGCATTCAATAAGACACATTACCTTGGCATTACACGATTATCCATTTGTATTTTCAAATCTTTCTCCGCACTTCATCATGAACATAGCATCTAACCACTGATTTGCTCAAACAAATTTTTGAATCCAAACAACTAAAATCATTCCAAATCACGAGTAAACACATCCATATCGAAATTCCAGCAGTAAAATCAAAATTCCACCAATACATAAGACTATGAGATTCCTGGCTCATTCGATAAGCAAACAGCACGTTGGCATTACACGATGATCGGATTTGTTCATTTGTATTTTCAAATCTCTTTTGGCACTTCAACATAAGGGCCTAAAAACATCATTTTCCACACCTAAAATCTACACGAAACACAACATCGAACCACTGATTTTCCCTCCAAAATTTTTGAATCCAAACAACCAAAATCATTCCAAATCACAAGTAACACATCCGTATCGAAATTCCAGAAGTAAAATCACAAATCCAACAACCATTTCCACAAAATGTTTCTAAGAAATTGAGATTAACTATGGATTTTCCACTCCTAAAATTACAAATCCAACAACCATTTCCAGAAATGTTTCTAAGAAATTGAAAGTAACTATGGATTCACCACTAACTCAACGTCAAAAACATATAAACCAAACACATGAGAACAAAATATGAAAATCAAATCCAATTAGGGCAAAGTGAAAAAAAAAGTACTCACGGCGTAAAGTATGGTGGCCACAGTCGCCTGAACAACCTGCTGAAAGAGAACACCGATCACCACATTTTTCTTAGCCACCAAATTCTTCTCATCTTCATCCTTCTTCGAATGCAGTCTGTACTTCTCCATCGAACCTAGAATCGTGTAAATACCCGAATACGCCCAATACACAATAATCGGGGCAAATGTTCCCAACAATTCATCCGAAATTTGAAATCCACAAACCTCCATTGTCCCGTCCCCAATTTCCCTATCGAAAATTTTCCGATTCGCCCAAATTAGGGTCTGCGTTTTAGGGTTTCAACAACAGACCCTTAAATTTGGCTTTATGAAGGAACGGACGAACGATGTATGGATTGATTGATCAATTCTGACGGAGAATTTCGAGAAAAAGTATTGATGAGAAAGCGAATCCGCCGATATAAGAAATTTGAGTGGTGGATTTTGGGGGCGTTGGGAAAATGACATATCGTCGCGAACAACGCCCCCGCGTTTGAACTTTGAAAATGGTACTTTCTATTTTTAAAACTAGCGGTTGAAATTGAAAAGTCAATGGTCAACCGTTTAAAATAAGGAGAAAAAAGATGACGTGGAAGTTACCGTTAATGTTGCCGCCAAAAGATGACTTCCCCAATTTGCCCTCCATTGCTTGGCTATAACTTGGAATGGTGTATTATATTTGTTCTTACAAATAAATTATTGTTTATTTTTTTTAATAAAAATATATTATTCGTTTTTGTAATAACTCCGTTTAAACATAAAATTTTAGTCTTTTTAAATTAAAAAATAGTTAAAAGTTAGTAATATTTTTTATTTAATATAATAAATTTGTTCACTTAATATTTTTAGTCAATTTTTATACATATTAAATATATATATATAATAAACATATTAATACAATACATATAATATATATTCTATTCATTTAAAATAAAAAAAATAAAAATTTCAACGAGTCCAATATATTTTATAAGAAAAAATTGAATTTGATATAATAATTTAAATACGATTAATTTTAAATATATTTTCAATAATAATACTCTCTCCGTTCCCACTAAAAATATCATTTATATTACTTTCGTCTGTCCACTACAAAGTATCATTTTCTTTAATTATACACCTTACAAATAAAATACTACTACTCCCTCCGTCCCGGAACAAAGATAGTATTTGTTTTTTGGATGTAAATTTTTAAATATTAGTATTTTATAATATAAAAATAATAGCATTTGTATAATATAGTATAAATTAGAAGAATATTTATTATATTAGGTAAATAATACAATTACTAAATTAAAAAATAATAACACTATTTTGAGACAAAAAAAAATAAAAAATAATAATATTATTATTTTTTAATTTACTATAAAAACAAAAAAATCACTTTAAAGTGTAGACAGAAATATTGCCTTATTTGTTTAGATTTGAATATAAAAATGCTACAAAAAATAATCAAGAAATTATTATGAATAGTATATTACATATTTGGGAAAAAAAAAAAAAGGGTCAAACATCCGATTTACAGATGTAGTTCAAACAGCCAAAAACAATATCCAGATTGGTACCAACTCTGCTTTTAATGATTCAAGAGAGAAAGAAAATCTGCAGAATTTCAAGGACATTTCTATTTCTATTTCTATTTCTGCAGGAGTTCAATAAAAATGGCATTAGATTAGAAATATAAGACTTTACCTGTTTTCTTGATCTCAATATAAATGAATATGGTGTTTGGACCCAATTCTTCTTTCTTTCTTTCTTTCATGAAGCCTCTGTTGTAGTTTCAGGAAGCCTCTTGAGAAAATCCAGAGTTGTTTGTTTCTTCTTCATCCCGTCGAGCCGATCGGATATCTTGCTCCGTTTATTCATCTTCTCGACCGAGGATTTCCACTTGCCATATTCGTGCTTCTCCATCACTTTTCGCTTCTTGTATGCAGACGGCTGCGCAGAACTTTACTGCATCAAGTTCCATAAAAACGCAAACAAACACAACTTTGTGCAATAGACTATAATAACAAATGGTTTTCGCATTCATTGAAAAAGTGTTCACTTAGTGTTTTTGAATAAGATTTACATCAAGTTCCATAAAATCACAAACAAACACAACTTTGTCGCAAACGATTATAATATCAAAATGATTTTCGCATTCATTGAATATTATTCACCTAGATTGTGTTCTTTTGTGGATTTTACTACATAATTTTACTATTTAAATTTCTTTTTCTCTAAACATATTACATCAAACAATTATTTTTCTTTTTTATATTAGACTACAAATTTATTTTACATTCAAAATATATCATCAACCTCTGTTTATTCAAATTCAATTTTTTTACTATTCAAAAATCCAAACCTAAAAACTAAAACCCACAAACAAACACACCCTTAGTGTTTTTAAATTACGATTTACATCAAGTTACATGAAAACGCAAATCAACAACTTGCGCAATCGACTATAATTTCAAATAACTTCCGCATTCACTAAAAACAGCAAGTGTGGTCACCTAGTGTTTTTAAATTACAATTTCCTAAAAATATAACCTAAAAACTATAATATACAATATAGACATACATACGTAACAATAAAAATTAACAAAAATACACAAAGTATCACTTAATACTTTCATAATCTTTCATTTCTCGTAACAAAATACCTAAAATTATAAACACTAAACAAATATATTCTTTATATTCAATATATATTTTTCATTCAAAGCCAAATAATTACCTCCTCGCCGTCATCAGAAGAATAGCCACCATCTTCGAGCTTTCTTTTCTCAGGCAAAGCATCGAGAAGCTCTGCATTCAACGCCACAAATAAGTTGCAAGAACGCATTAGTTTAAAATCAAATCATCTCCAAACAATTCCTCTATTTTTCTAAAAATCTCTCCCAAATTTAAACTTGCTCCAACCCAAAGCATAAACAGATTTTTATTTACCGCGATTTCCTTTTATTTGGCGCGAATCCTTTTTTTCCTTGGATACACCAAAAGCATCGAAGCAGAGGTCTAGCATTGAAGTGCATACCTAAGGAATAAAGATTTCATAAGACGACTAATCACTCAACCGATTAAAATCTATATAGAGAGTTTCTTACACTAGAAAACTCTGACTCTGATGTGCCGGCAAGTTCGATTAGCTTGAATTTATCTGCCTTGAGCTGAAAAAATGTGCATGCATAAAGTCATTAATCAAGAACACATGATGAACTAGTAAATTTCAAGTGATTTTGATCGGTTTTATGCCTTTTGTTTTTTGGCGCATAGATAGAACGCTGCAGCAGTGAAAACAGGCCGAGTGAAATCGGCGCTTCCCCTACGCGAAGAAGGCAATGAAGCCGTGAATCGCTCCTTAAACCTGAAAATTTGTAAGCATGTTGATCAAACTAATATAAAATGCAATTTTGAATCTAATTATTGCACAACATTCATCACAATCTAAGAAACAGATTTCAATATCATACTTCTGAGTTAGAATTTCAACTGTAGTTTAAGAAATAGATTTCAATGTCATTCGATCGTAATATATTACACTTCTCAGTTAGAAATTCGATCACAATGTAAGATATATTTTAAGAAACATATTTCAAGATCATACTCTTGATTTAGGAATTCGATCATAATTTAAGAAACATACTACAATATTACACTTCTGAGTTAGAAATTCGATCACAATGTAAGAGATATTTTAAGAAACAGATTACAATATTACACTTCTGAGTTAGAAATTCGATCGCAATGTAAGAGATATTTTAAGAAACATATTGCAAGATCATACTTATGAGCTAGAAATTCAGTTGTAATTTAACATACATATTTCAATATCATACTTCAGAGTTAGAAATTTGTCAAAATTTAAGAAACAAATTTCAATATCATACTTCTAAAATCAAAATTAGATCATAGTTTAAGAAACAGCTTTCAATGTCATACTTCAGAGTTAGAAATTCAATAGTTGATTAAGAAACAGATTTCAAGAACATACTTCCGAGTTAGAAATTCGATCCTAGTTTCAGAAACAGGTTCAATACTGGATTAGAATTTCAATCACAATTTAAGAAACGGATTTCAAGATCATACTTGACAGTTAGAAATTACTTACGATGACAAGCCCTTGTGGACAAAAGGGATGAGCCGAATGCATCCGAATTGAATTGCCAATTCCCTCACATCGATTTTGTTCCTGCCATTAACAATGGAGAAGATATTCTTGCATCATGAACGCTTTGAAAATTAAAATTGGGAGGTAAACTTCTTGTTCATGAACACTAACTTGATACCAATTCCGTTCTGCATCGAATTGAAGGATCTGTTGTAACCTTTCTCAGACATCCCGCTCAACTTTATCGCTACTTGTCGATCGAATATAACATCCATGCTAAGGCAGTGAAATTGACAGATTCATCATTAGAAAAAAAATATTCGAAACCCTAAATCCCCAAATCAATGATAGACAATCGTCGAATGTACCTGGAAGCGGCAATCTCTAGGCAAATCACAGCCTTACAAATCTCCCCCTGAAAATTCAACAGATTCATGAAATCAAAGAAATGTGCAGTTGAATCGGCTGAGTGATGCGATTGTTAATGTGTAGAACATACAACGCCGATAATCGAAGAGTCAAATTGGAGGTCGGCGCGGCGGCGGAGTTCGGCGGCCTTGCGGATGAGGTTTTTGGATTCTGAAAGGCCGAGTTTCCGGGCAATCTCCGACATGTCCATTCCCGGCGGCGGATCTCTGAAATCGCTCTCTCCGGTCGATTACCTCCAAAATTGGTGTCGGAGAAGGGAAATATGAAATCTGATGGGAAGTCATTGTGGATTATTTGATGGAAGATTGGTAGCGGGAATTGGAAGTGCCGAAAACATTTGGATTTTGGCGCGCGGCGACGAACGGCGGCAATGAATATTTTGGGTTTTGGCGCCACCAGTGGAAGTTTTATAAGGCGGCGTTTGGTGTAAAATTTATATTGGGTGTGTTGCTGGTGAACTTTATTTTCTCAAGTATGAAAAATTGTGGGGTAAAATAAAAAATAATAATTTTGTAAACTCTTTCTATTTGGTCAGTCTCTTATGGTTTTTACTTTTCTTTTTAAAATATAATTTTATAATTTAATCATATTTAAAATTTTATAATTTATAATTTTTTTTTAACAATTAAACTATTTAATTATATTATTTTTATTTTATAGTAATTTCTTTTTATTATATTATAATTATTTTACTAATATATTTTTAAATTATTTATTAAATTAAGTTGGATAGAAAAATATTTTATATTGACTTATTAATTTTATAAATAAATAAAATATATATTACATTAAAATGTATATATTAATTTATAAAAAATCGTCCCACTAAAAAATAGCCGAACGAACAATTTTACTTTTCCAATCTCAACTCAATTTATTTATTTAATTTTCGATCCTATTAAAAATAATTCATACTATAAATATCAAAACACTATTAAGTTTTTTTTGTCCAAAAATAATTTTTGACACAATTTTATATATATATATATATATTTTTTTTAATCAAAATCAATATTTAATATAAAATATTATTTCTTAGGTATCTTCAACCCATCAACTCTATTTATCTTATATTTTATTTCAACCATAACTCCATTTTTCACTATTATTCTTCAAATATTCAATTTTTCCTATTATTTTAAACAACTTTTTATTTTTATAATTTAAAATAAAATTTTAAAAAAATTTAAAAAATAAAAATTAAATTTAAAAATCAAATTTATAATTTTAAAAATTAAAAAAATATAAAAATATAAAATATAAATAAAGCAACACCAAAAAATAACGTTGCTATAGTGCAACACCAAAACGCCCGCCAAATAAGCCAACCCATGTTCTTATACTACCGACCCATAACTCACTTAAAAGAAAATTTACACCAAAATACTAAACAAACAAACAAACCGTTTCCAAAATATACTAACACATAACTATATTATTGAAAATCAAACCGTATTTTGTATTGAATAATCCATTATTCTTTTTAAATTTCCAAAATAACCCAAAAATAGGAAAACAATCCAAGGCGTGTTTGGTTAGGATTTCCTTCACAAACCAACACTATTCAATCTCATAACTTTCAATACAAACACAATGCATTAGTCTCAAAATCAAAGCCAAACAAATTCCTATGAACACAACAAAACTCAATTTTTAATTTTTTTTATATTATATAAAAACAAGTTACTTCTTATAAAACATGCCGTCCAATTGGCAATTACATTCACCCTAGAATTCCTTCAAAAATTTAAACAAAGGCAGGCAATGAAAATGAAACAACAATAATTAAAATGTAATTCAAACATGTAGTCAAATAAAGTAATAAAGGTACCCTAAACCTTCATAAAATCGTCATAAACATAAAATCAAAACCAAGAAGTCAAGTAAATGTAAATGTAGGTTTAAAAAAACCAAAAAACAAAGCAAATGAAAGTTGACAGATTCAAAACAAAAGGGGTATCATGCAGAAATTCAAACACTGTCCATCACTTACCACAGAGAGACAAATATAAGCTAATTAAGCAAATCAACAACAACTAACCTGGCTCCGGCCGCCGCAAAATTCCACCTCAGGCGAGATACCGGTAGAGGCGTCGATCGACGTTGTCCCGTTCCAGAAAGTCCCGCTCGATCAGCGACTCGACCCGCTTCTTAATCTCCCCGGGATTCGCCAGGAACCGCGGCTGCAGCTGTTTCGTCACCTCCGCAATCACGTTATTGTGATCCAACACCTTCCGCGCCTTCATGATCCTCACGATCGCCGCCTCGATCTGCGGCTTCCGGTCCTCCTCCACCCGCTGCCGGGTCTCCATCTTCTCCGGCTCCGACTCCTTCTGCGCCACCACCGTCCCAATCTTCACCTTCCGAAGCTTGCTCGTGAACCTGTCGTTGACGGAGAACGCGTCGTCCGCTCCGATGTCCTTGCTCATCGGATCCTTCCGGAGCACGTTCTTCCCCTTCACGCATGCCAGCGACTGCAGGCACCGTTTCAGGTCGGCGGCGGGAATCTCCGTGGCCTGCTCAATCTCCTTGTAGCTGAGCGACTCGCTGCTGTTGAACAGCATCAGCACGCACATCTGGTACGTCGACACGTTCAGCTCGTACTTCTGGTCGTTCGCGAACGTCGCGCGTAGATCCGCCGCGCCCATGTTCGTCTGCCAGGTTAATCGCCGGCCGGTGTGCGTGCCCAGATAATACGATCGGAACCGTTCGCAGAGAGCGGATATTTCCGCCGGCATGTTGCAGGCGACGCTCGATTGCGTCGGCCACGATCCCGTCGTAAGAACCTGGACGACTAACGTCGGGCTGTTCGTTAATTCGGAGCCGTGCGCGGCGTAGAAACCCTGCATAGCATCCTGAGAAGTTTTCATATCGGTGAACATGCCTTCGAGTTTCGACGTAAACTGGTAGCCGCATTCGGTCTTCAGCTTCACAATCAGGCTTCGCTCGGCGTCTTCGGAGATCGTTTTTCCGGACAAGAGCCGTTTCGCCAGGTGCTGCTTGTAGTACTTTTCGAAAACGTCTTTCTCCTGGAGGTAACGGAACAGCATCATCACCTTATCGAGAATCGTCTCGATGTCCTCGTCTTTAACTCCCTTGAGACCTTTCCGTAGCTTGTCGTCTACGAACAACGATATGTACTCGGGAGATCGTTGGTTCAGATTGATGAAGTACTCGAAGGAAGAATTCAATCCATTCTGGAAGGTCTTGTCGTTGCCGAACGCCGAGCTTATGATCTTGTCGTACTTGTCTCTTTTCTCCAGGAGCAAGTCGACGAATTCCACTGGATTCTTCGATTTCTCCGGATCAGTCACGAGCTGTTTACCGGTGTCCCTGAGATGAGTCGTCATGACGTCTCTAATCGTCAAGAGTCCATCGGGAATCCGACGGAATAAGCTGTACATCCTCCCCAAATCTTCGAATTTATCGTCGAGAAACATCTTAACCAACCCCGAATTCTCCATATGAACGAGCCGAAGCATGTGATTGGCGATCATCTCTTTCTCGACAACATTAGTGATCTTCTCCTCACTCCTTGCATCCAAATAGTGCGACACCCTGTCGATCTCTTCATTCAGACGTCGTTCAGCTTTCTTCAGGTAATCCCCACAATCACTGCACTCAATAAACTCCTGAGATTCAGCTCGATAGAAATCAGCAGAAACTTCTAGAAACGGCTTCTCGAAATCTTCTTGGTAGACTGACGGCCCCAAATCCATCAGCATTTTAATTATGTTCCTCATCAGCCCTCGGTTGATAACTTCGCCGGTTCGTTCTTGATATATCAGATCAAGAACTGTGTTCTGAAGGCGCGGCTGGATATTAATGGAATGAATCACATTGTCCCGCCAGAGGTTTAGCCCGAGCTCATGGATGGGGGTTTTGTGGGTGCTCGGGATGAATGTTCTGTCCATGTACATTAGTATGTCGCGGATCATTTGCAGTGCTTTGTTATGATCGCCCCATTTTGCATTTAGCTCTTCCAGGAATGATGCACCTTGCGCTGCCTCTATAGATTTGGACATCGTCTGAAGATGGAGTGTCATTGTTGCCACTAATCCGGAGTAGAGCTTCTCCCCAAACTTATGTAGTACCATGTTGTAAGCATTTCTACATGCATAGATAATCCCATGTCAGAGACGAGCCATTTATGACATAGAAGCCACATACAATAAAGAAACATAATGTATAATCAATTTCCTATCATTAAAAAACAAGAACCATTCCATTTAAAATCATAAAACAAAATTTAGTTGAGTTTCCTACAAAAATAGTGGTTTTTCATGCGACAAATAAAGAGATAACACAAAGAAGTTTGTTTGGTTTTGGCCGTAAACCAAAATCGGCACTATTCAGTCAGTATGATTCCCAATAAAAATATAGAGTACTATTTCATCTAACAAAATATACATCAAAATACTATTTAAACAAAAATTCAACCTCTAACCAAAACTAAACAAATAAGAAAGAGTAGAAATGATCCTAACTACTAGTAATCATCATGCAATTTTGTTGCTATGGATGCTCCTATATACGATAATAAATGCCAAAATCAGTAAAGGTCCTAAAATAATGGATACTGAAACATACAATATATATAGTAGCTACTAGCTACCTTGAGACAAGTTTACAAAATAGGAGTCCTACAAGTCAAGTAACAAGCGGACCAGAACAATGAGATACAAGAGTTTTATCATATGCGAGCTTGAAAGAAGACAATCCAAACAGACAATAATTGGATTTTGATTATTCGAAATGTTTATATTTATTTACTATTTGTATGTTGGATACTGCATAAAGTTCCACAATGCTATAGACTATCTTTGCTTCGCTTAAATTCAGTAGACATTTGTCCGAGTCTTGAAGGGAATGTAAAACTAACTCGGAGCCATATTCTTATCTCAAATAAAATATTATATAGTAAGTAATTAATTATGGGATGAAGCTTGACTGCCATTAATAGTCACCGAAGAGTGAATCGAAGGATAAACTTCACAAAATTTTTAATTAAAGAATGAGCATAACTGGAAGACCGAAGTTGTAAACACGTGTCCTTCACTACCTATAAGTAGACACGTTATAATTTGGATGACAGAAAATTACAGCTAATGACAATTGTTTTAAAAATAATAAAGATAAATAAGATAAACCGAATGAGTAAATATGCTATGGCATACGAAATAAATCTATTTCCACATCAGTTAAACGTTGGTTAACTACCCTGTGGTAACAACTTAAAAGACTTTGGCTGCTTCCCAAAACGTGGCTAATAAATTTACATCAAATTGTCGTTGCACTAAGAAGCCTCGACCATACAAGCATATCATTAATTCATATTACAGCAAGCATTTAACAAATATCCAGATCACATACCATAAAATGTATTTTCAGAGAATTATGGAATCATCAAATGGCACAATCCTACAACCATTTCTGCTCCTTAACTAAAAATAAGCACACCGTGGGATTAAATACCGAAATAATTAATGCTTAAGCACAATCACATATAAATCATAACAAAATTCATTAACTGTTCTCGAAACAACTTGAATGAATGGTGAATATAACTAAGATCACATAAATATCACTGTAATGTCCACTTCAAGACAACCTTATCAACCAAAATTCCCAGCAACCAATTAATGGAAATCGAAAAGGAAAATAAACAAATTCCACAAGCATGCCTTCTGTGTCATCTTTTCCTACTAGCAATTCGAACTGGACAAGTTTTTGAAAATCATTCTCTGTCAAATCCTTAAAAATGAAATGTATGTACCATTCAGATAAACAGATCATAAATAATCAATCACAATTGATAAGGCATATAGCAAATAACATAGCCTGTAATTCAGCACAAAAAATAACAACATCAAACAACAATCGGAAGCATTTCTTCATATAAACAACAGAAAGAAGACCTGTATAATTCTTCGAAGCTAAGCCCGCTCGCGTTGTGATTATAAATCTCATGAATCGCATGCTCGATAATCTTCCAAGTCTTGTCCGCATACTTGGGATCCACCACCACTTTATGCTTAAACGCTTCAATCTGAAAATTCCTCTTCTTCTGCCCGCTATTCATCCTTCCAAAAAAAACAAATCCAAAAAATCCAAAAATAAGAAAATCAACCCTTTGATTCAGAAAATCCGAGCCACGAATTCACCCCCTGGGTGCCGCGGAGACAAAAAATTGGGAACGACGATAAAATCGAACTTCCGCGAATTGATTGATCCTCAGTTCAACAACAACTAGGTTTAGGGTTCGGAATCGGAGGGCGAATCAATCCAACGAAATGCGGAGGGAGAGTCAGCTAATCCAGCAACGAGTAACGCGCGATTGATTGAGGGAACAATATTTGTTTATATGTTTTTGAAATTTGGGGAAAAGGGTTTTGTGTCAACTATGAACTCAACTGACGATGGCTCTCTGTTTTGGGAGAGATATTTGGTGGGGCGGGGCGGACGAAAATCAATTATTAAGGAGGATTTGTTGGCAGGAAAGGAAATAAAATTTATTAATTAATTAAATAAATAAATATTGGCATTTTTATTTTATTACAGCTCTATCCACACTATGAGAGAGAGACACTGATTTTCAAAATACCATGCGTTTTTTTATATTAATATTTATAAAAAGCAACTATTCAATATCAAATATTATTAGTACTAACATAGTTTTTCATATCACAAAAAAAAAAATAATAATAATAATTCATCTAAAAACAAACAGATTAATTATATTAAATAATACCATGCATTCCTTTTATATTATTTTTTTAATATTAATTATTATATTAATATTTATAAAATAACAAAAATTTCTTATAATACAAAGGGAATTATTTAACACAAAATATTACTGGTACTAACACAGTTCTTGGTATTATACAAAAATAATAATAATAATAATAATAATAATTCATCTAAAACGGAACATACTGATTATATTTTTATAAATCTATTATAAAAATATTCATTTTGTCATATTCTTATTTAAAGACAATATCACTCTTTTTTTAAGTATAAATTATACTATTTTTTTTGTATATCAGCAAATTTTTTATTTAAATTTTATATATAAATTAAAATAAATTAATATTATATAGAGATATAGTATAGTAAGTTAATGTAATATCCATTTTATATGTAATCTTAAAATAAAAAATAATATAAAGGTATAAATTTGGATAATAAAAAAAATATCTGCTACTTAATATACAAGAGAGCTTCTCCTTGAGATTCTTGGGGCAAGTTGGCCGGAAAAAGTAGGAACTTAGTTACTTGTAGGAAATGTTTGTATGTTTTTATACAATTCTATTTTGTCGAGGGGTATGAATTTATAAATTTGTGTTAGGTACCAAAATTTTGGAATGTTTGATAATTTGAATCGAGGAATTCAATTCCATTGTCCGATCTAATGGATTTGATGGTGGTATTGAAGTGATTATGAACATATTTAACAAAAAGTCTAAATAATTTGAAACCAGTTAGCCTTAGAAAAAATTAAGAAAATTTGCAAATTTTTGTCTAATCATCAACAATTGTCACGAAATACTTGCAATTTAAAGGCAAAACAGCAAAAACTCCCATCGTGGTTTGACAAATCTGCTGAAAACTCCGTAATCCTAAAACTCCAAAAAAATCTAGTCGTGGTTTGTAAAACGTTGCACACTAGCCCCTTTTTAAATCACACTGACACCGTTAAATTTTAGCATTATCAGACCGTTATGCCCATATGGTCTCTCTTCTTTTGTTCTTTCTTCTTCTCTTCTCCGTAACTTCTTTCTTCCATCTTCTTTTCTTCCCCAAATTCTTCTTCACACATCTTTTTTCTCAATTTTTCTCATTCTTCTTCTCTAATTTTTTTCAGGCCATAGCAGTTGCACCCCTTCTTTCTTTTCTTCTTTTTCTTCAATTTTTCTCTTATTCTTCAATTCTTTTTAAGGCCACAGTACTTCCACACGTTTCTTTCTTCTTCTTTTTCCCCCAAATTTTTTTTTCTTCTTCTTAGAAAGAAGGGGCTAGACATCAGAATTTTTCTCCAATTTTATTTTTCTTTCTCTATCTCTTTTTTTTCAATTTTCTTTCTCTATCTCTTTTTCCCCAATTTTCTTTCCGAGCTGTTGTTTCCACCGTTATATTGATTATATAAACATATTTCTGTTCAACTTCGACTAATTATTATTAAATTAATATTTTTATATTAATTAAATATGTTAATATATATATTTTATTATCAATTTTGTTCAAAATAATAAAAATATTTAATTTTTCGATGTTAATAAAACTTTCAGTCTCCTTGATGAAATAACTCTACCTTTGCCACCGAGTGTGATGATATCCAATTGTTAGTAGACATTAGAAAATAATTTCAATAATTTTTTTTAATTGTAAATTGAAAAATAATAATATTTTATTAATTAATAAAAATATGTAAATTAATTTTGATATTTTTGTTATTGTTATAAATATATATATAAAATTATTTTCATGAAAGTTAGAAATACTTTAATATTTATAAAAAATTATTTTTATTGTAAAATATAAAAAAAATATTTTTAAACAAGAAGGAAAAAAAAAATTGAATTGTGATGGAACAAAAATATTTTATGAACATATATCCTCTATTGAAATTAATAATAATAAAACGACTCCCTATTTTGATGTTGTTAATTTAATATTTTAGCACCAAAATCACTAAATCAGCCGTTTTCATACAAAAGGAAACGCCGAAAACAACATACAGTACCATACATCGTTACAACTTATGCCTACACACAACATCACCATTACATCACCGGCCGGCGCCGATTAGCCGGAAAAACTTCCCGTCTACACAACCCACCACCACACATCACTTCAAATTTGTCGCCGTCGCCGCCGCCATCTTCGAGGGTCCGGCAGCGCCGTGCTCGAGTGATCCCGAAAACCGCTGCGGACCAATCGATTCGCCCTTCTTCGACTTCCCCGGGAACTCGAATGCCGGGCTGCCCTTCAGCGACAGCGTTTTTCGGAACCGACTCCGGTTAAGCGACAGCAGCGTGTTCCGGGCGGGTGTATGCAGCGCGCCCTCGACGCAGTCTCCGACGTGCGCGCAGCCCCACGGTTTCGATGACGGCTCATCTTCGTAGAAAGGCTTGAGCCTCGGGAACGCATTCCGCAGCTTCGAGAAGACCCGGGGGTCGGACGAGCCATCGTCATCGATCTTGACGCAGACGGGGCACGGCGGGTCGTTTCCGCGCGCCTTCGGCGTGGTCTGTTCGAGACACTCGGCGTGGAAGACGTGGCGGCAGGAGAGGACTCCGGCGACCGGCATGTCGCCGCTCTTCACGATTCTCCGGGAGCTCCACGGCGATCGTTGGGAGAGGAGACGATCGCATAAACTGCATTTGAAGTTGTCTTGCGCGGCGGCGGCAGCGCGGGATCGAGCGGGAAGATCGTAGTCGAGCGGGTCGGGTAGTTCTGTGAGATCGATGCTTCCGCTGTCCCTCCGGTGCGGCGTAACACCGTCGAAATCGGGGAGCCGGGGAGGAGAAACCGCGTTGCTTTCCCGAGCAGTCGGCTCCGACGGAAGCGATAACGGGTGGATCGCTTTGGACATGAAGCTGCGGCGATTGCGATGAAATGAGTGCGGCTTGACGACGCAGTCGTACTCGCTGCTACTCTCGGATGGGGATGACGTCGAGCCTCCGCTTTCTTGCGCCGCTGACGTTCCCTGTATGATCGAAAGTTTAGCGGCGTCGGATTCGACAGGAATATTGCCAGCAGATTATACTAGGTAATACGATAACTTTACCTCCATTGCCGGCGAAAAGGATATCGGCCTCAAAACTACATCTGAAAATGAAAAAATTCGAGACTTTAGCTTTAACTCATCGAGTCGTAAATGTCGTAGAAGTTCATTCGACATCTAATTGTATAACGTAAGCTAGAAAGAACTAACGGGTCGAATTTCATGGCATTTGAAGGCAAAATAAAGATCCCAAGAACAATCCTATCATTTTAGTACACCAAATTATATCTCGGAGATTCCGGGCTATCTGATTGCTACATTAAAGCTCAAGTATTTTGAATTGAGCTCCGAAACAAAGACCAAACTTTGATTAATTCGATTCTAATAGTATCAACATAATGCATATATCAAATCCAAAATTTCGAACATTAGGTAAATAACAACATTAACAAGACCGCATGGCAAAAAAACCGCAAATCAATACTCAGAAACGAAGCTCCCGGAAGAAACAAACGATTAAACAAGCTAAGAGTTTACACAGCATACAAGAACACAGCTTATAAAATTGATCTATTGATGAAGTCTCGAGGTTAATATAATGAAAATTTTGAAATCAATGAAGCCGAAATCAGAAGCTAAATGATAATTTATAGAACGAAGATCATGATAAGCACGTCACCTTTAAACAAGAAATTAAACTTCATACCTCTTCTCGACGTATTATAATCATCCTAAACAATAATTTATAGAATAAAGATCAAGATAAAGCACATTACTTTAAAACAAGAAATCAAATTTCATACCTCTCCTTGACGTATTATAATCATCGGTGCTGATTTCTTGTAAGACTGGAGGAGTCCATTGCTGGGTGGGCGATATAGACGGACTGCTTAGATACGGACCTACGCCCTCAGATACCAGAAACTGATGATTCGTCGTTTGGCTACCTCTCACCCAGCCTCGACTCTCTCGGCTATTCGACGATGCTGACGACCCAAACAACTGAACGCCGTCATGGGAACCAAAGGAAAGCGCTTCGGGTTGGAACTGAAAGTCCCATCTCGACGGCGGAGGAGAAAAGCTCGAATTGGTTCTCCAATACGGCTCGTGAGGTCCCATTGACCAGTCGCGGCTCGCTGCGTGGGATCCATGTGGCCGTGCAGCCACACAACAAAGGGACCCCGTTTTAGCTATCTTTCACAACACGCTGGGAAATTTTACGACCCCGAAATCCTCTAACTCTTCAAAAAACTTACTAAAGCTTAAACGAGAATTGAGATCAAATGATCTGTTCTGAAAGCCAGAATTTCACAGTACATGAGAATCAATTATCGCATCAAGTAGAGCTCATCCAAAGAAAAAGTGAAAATTTTGACAGCAATAATCGCTACAGTTAAATTCGAGACCCGAAAACTTCCTAGAATACATTACTTTGAGACTGAGATTCGAGAACAATCAGTAGCCATCAACAATCACCGTAAACATCGAATTATCACTTAAACAAGAATTCGAATGCCTAAAAGCATAAAAAACAATGACCTAAGAAAAGTAAAGTTTAGTTTAGTCCAAAAGCTACCAATGTTCAATGAAATTAACAATCTTTATATATGTATGTATGTATGTATGCACCCTACCAAATTCGAATCACAGGAAACTTCTAGAATTTACACACAGTATAAAATAGAGAATTAATCCCCAAAATATAACTAAACAAAATTCTAAAATCTCACGAACTTTAGCAAAGAACATTTTTATACCATACAATTTACCATAATATTTTACAGTTTTTCTCCTCAAACACAAAGCCAAAATAAAAACATTTGTAATAGATATATACAGCTATCAAATTAATTAATTAAGGCAGCCTGAGGAATAAACATTTGATTTTTTATTTTTTTGAAGAACAGTCAACTGGATTAATTGTCTTTTATTAAGTATAACAGAAAACCCAATAATTTCGAATTATTGCAGCTCATAATGGCGTATACCTCTGCAAAAGCTCGAATTTAAACCAAAAAAAAAAAAATGTAACAAGCTCAAACAATGAAGATTACATCCATGGCTGCCGACGAAAATGAAGAAAGCGGAAAAAAACTAAAAACCAACTGTCAAAAGTGAGCAAAATTCAAAATCTTTAGCATAAATAAATACAGAATAAACAGCAGCAGTCGAATTAGGAGAAGAAAAACAGCTTACAAATGGGCGGAGGATACTGAGCCGCAGAGAGTGAAGGGGGAAAAAATTGAAAACAAAAATTCGCCTGCGTTTGCGTGAAGAACCCTAAAAATTGGCAGAGAGAACCGCGATTCTTTTAAGCGGATATTTTTGTGTTAGACCCCTCATCTAGTCAGTATTTTTATTTCAACCCCAAGGCTTACCTAATTATTTTAGCTATTATTACTGATGAAAATAAATAGTGAAAACTTTGCAGGTTGATGTTCACTGTTAACGGCCTTCTGTTGTACCAAATTCTCAAAATTTACTATGGGTGTGTTTGTTTGAAGGATTTTGGTGGATTTCTACTGTTCATCCAATTTTTTTCCCCCAAAAACATCAAATCAAACACCTATTTTTCATTTTTTATATTATACTAAAAATCAATTTTACATTCAAAACATCACATCAAACCTTATTTATATCACATCATACAACTATTCAAATTCAAAATTTTTACTATTCAAATCCCAACTCAAAATTCAAACCCCCAAACAAACACACCCTATGTGAACGTATTTATTGAAAAAAAATATTAATAACTTTATTCGCAACAAGAGTATTATTTATTTTTTATGTCTAATATTTTTATTATTAATATTATATTAATTTGTAGTAAAAAAAATATATAAGTATAGTGTAATATAAAAATAATGATATTGGTGTAATGTATTGAAAGTTATAGGAATATTTATTATATTAGGTGTATATATAATTATTAAATTAGAAATATAGTATTTTAGGACGGACAAAAATAAAAAATGATATATCTTTTTGTGGGACAGAGCAATTTTTTTTTCACAAAATATTCAATTAATATCAAAGAATTAATATATTTATAATTTAAAAAATTTAAAAATAAAAATTCTGAAACTTACTCGCAGTTTAGATATGTAAATTAAATAAAAAAAAAATGATTGACGAATTAGAGTCAGAATTTATGAAATCATTAGAAAATTTTGACAAATTTGTTTTAATAATAATAATAAAAAAATAAAATAAATAAATGGATTGATATTATTAGGTTCTACTTACCACATGCAACAAATTGTATTATAGCACACACATATATATGTAATGTCTTAGCAAGTCTTATGTTGTTGTCTGGATTCAATCATTTACGAATTAAAATTAAATGCATTACAGAATAAAAAGGATAAACAAGTTTAGGTTTTTTTATTTTATTTTATTTTTTTAATATGATATTTTTTAATAAAAAAAATATATATATATAAGAAATTTAATTAAAAAATAAAGTAAATTAAGAAGTAATGTAATAAAATTAGTAACATATGTCGTAAATAAGTTTTAAATAGAGGTTAATAATTAAATGTTATTTGTTGATTTTTTCAAAATTAGTAATTGAATAAATTTAATGGACGAATTAAAAATGAAAGAGAATAAATTTGGTGGACAGAGGAAATATATTATAAAAATTTTCACTAATTTTATTTTTATTTTTATTATTTTTTTTAGGAAAAAACTTTAATACACAATTAATGATTTTTTTTTAATTTTTTTATAATTTCAAACACAACTTTATACTACACCAAAGATTTCATTTAAAAACATAATATAAATTAATAAAAAATTACAAAATACTTTATTAGTTTTATACTAATAGAAAAAGATTTGTACAAAAAATTTATATAAATATAATAATATTTTTAATGTTAAATAAAATAAAAAAACATAAATGTAACAATTGGATAAGTAATATTCACTCAGCATATATTTCAATAAAAAAAAAATATTATTTTATTTCATAAAAATATTATATCAAAATAAAAAATTTTTAAACAAAAATGCAAATGAACTGCTTATCTAAAATAAATTTAAAATTAAAATAAAAACCAAACAACCCCTGCATATATTAATCAATTCTACAAATAATATAATATTAATAATTGTGTAAGGTAAGGGAATAATGGAAGAATGACAGGCAGACTAGAAATGTATTTAAATGCATTGCCAACTCTCCAAACCATTCAACCACTTATATGTTTGATTAAACTAAGGCAATTAACATTATTTTATTTTATTTTATTTCATTGTTGTTATTTATTTATTTTTATGGAATAAAAGTTGAAATGAAAGTGCAATAATAATCTGACAATAAATTAAAATTAGTCCGACAATAAATTAAAATTTAAGATTTAAAATTCAAATGAATGATAACCCACGAAAAGCGGGTCTATACCCGTTTCCGTCGATGGTAAACCTGAGTAAGGCCAAGGCCCTTGCACCACATCAACCATCAATTATGTACATTTTGTATTGAAATCTCTAAAAATACTCTCATATAACTTTATTATTTTATCATTTTCATTTATATGCCAAAGTGTGATTATACCATATTCAATGAAAAGTTAGATCATTCTTTAAATTTATACTCAATATATATACTCTCTCAGTCCCGGTGTAAAGTTACAGTTTACTTTTTGCTATTATAATGGATTGCAGTGAAAAAAGATAAAAATACCGTGTAATATAAAAGTAATAACATTTATGTAATATAGTGTAAGTTGGAAGAAATATATATAAATTAGAAAATAGTAACCTTGTTTTGGAACGAACACAAATATAAAATGACAACTTTTCAATGAGACGAAGGGAATATATATATTTATTTTCACCATTGCTATTCACGGACTCCATATATTTCTTATACCTATTATATTTTAATCCAAAAAGTGTAGTATTACTAACCCCATAAAAGTTTCAATTTTTACCTTTATAAAAGTACAAAAATAATACTCCATCCGTCCCACTCATTATGTCCACCTTTCCATTTTCACCCACCTCATTTATTTTGTCATTTTTATACATTTTAATCTTATTTTCTTTAGCATAATTTTCCCAAATTTTACTATTTAAACTCTGCGTTTCCCGAAAAAAATATATTTTTCATCTCACAAAACATCTAATCAAACATTATTTTCATGTAAAACCCAAACCACATTTTTTCCAAACTCATCAAAAGAAACACATACATATTTTTATTATACGATAATTATTTTCACTAATACATTCTTAATTATTTACTAATTATACAATTTCTAAATTCTTGTGTTTACATTAAAACATATATAGATAGCCGGGACAAAGGGAGTATTAAAATACTATTTCTTCCAATCTCCATACTCAAAAGTTTTGATCACACTTTTAAGACACAGAAGGTGCAATTTTTTTAGCCCCGTACCCAGCCATACAATCATCTTTTTTTTGGACAAAACGTTGTAATATATTACCCATTAGCATATCTAAAGAGTCATCTTTTCAATCTCCAAAACACCCATTTGGCCTTTTTCCTAAACCAAAATATTTCTAATAACACATTAACTAGCGTGAAGTGTAAAAGAGAAACGATAAACAGTTACCTCGAGGCCATCTTATTTCTTCAAGAAGTACATTCCATCTCTGAATTCAAGCTTCTCTTCGGCGACAAGGCCCGCCAGAAAGCTTTGCAGCTGCTCCAGTGACTTATCATAGGCAGGATCACTTATGCAAAACATCTGTAATAAAAACAAACATCACGATTGTCTTCTTTTTTCTTTCGAGTTTTGATATTTTTAAGGTGAAATAAGTATTGGACTAGGATGTTCTGTATGTGTAGTAATCCTTGCTATGCAATCAGGGAAATATTTACCTTGAGCGTGTTGTGTATCCGGTCCAAAGCCATGCTGCCGAAATTTGTAAGCATCCCCATGATAAATTTCTGCAACAAAATTCATGAAAGAAAATGATCGCCAACTTATTAGCTAACTGATTGCATACATGAAGATTTTTGCAGCCACGTACCTCGTAAACAGTCATTTCTTTACGTAGTTGATCTTCAACGGATGCTACGGATATCTCTGCATCCTCATCGCCAGCCAAAAGCTCTTCACAGCTTCCGCCACTGTTGGGTCCAGCTTTTCCACTCTCGACTAGGGCCTCCACCAGAGTAAAGTCGTGGTCACCTGACTCTTGGATTGATTCTGCTAGAATTCCCTGCAAATAAAAAAAAAAAAAAAAAAGGAAAAAGAAAAGATTAAAAATATTAAAAAGCTAAAATGACAATAATTATACTTGAAACTTAGATGTCCGAATTTAGGGAAAAGAAGGAAAACCGATTGGTATAGAATTACTATACAGAAAATGAACTCTTAATGAACCTTGTTTATCCAAAAGTAAATCCTTTTATTCAAGACATCTACAGGTACACCGACTGCAGCAGCAAGATTCTTCGAAGTCCAACTGAAGGCATGGGAAGCAGTTTATGAGAGAATAATACATCCTTAAAATAAAAATAAAAATAAAAATCGTTGGCTTACCTAGTTTGGTCTTCGAATTGACTTATGATAGAAGCGTGAAGAGGTGTGACTGAGAACTGCATTGTTCTGTCTTCAAATTGCAGCTCTAACTGGACAAACAAAATTAACACATAAATTTTTCAGCGCCGTTTGAACAGAGAGACGTATCTGGATAATTTACATGGGCTTATAATATCAACTGCCGCAGTTTGTGCACCAATGTGGCAGAATAGTTTATCATGCTTCACCCAGTCCCAATAGACCATAATTTCTCAGGATTTGCATTGATCATATTAATCATGATGTTTTTCAGTAGGGGTGTTCATGGGAAAATGGTTCTTCAGGCTATGCATGTAAAGGAAGTTGGGTATTGTCATAAGTGTAGGTACAAAAGATTTAGCGGCATCTTAATGGCAAGCAGCTGACCTTTACAGTTCCAAGATTTTTCTTCCAAACAAGTTTGCGTGGGGTCTTAATTTCATGGAACCTATTGGAATAATCAGTTAGGAGCTGATCCACTGGTCGAGGTATATTAAGTGCCTCCTCCTGCATTTAGAAATATAACAATCAGGCAACTAAGCCTTTCTTCAGCAATCTTTGAACAAATAAGCAATTGCATACCAAATTTCTTTATGCATTTCAACTTCTATGAAAGCCATTGATTGTGAGATCAATGTGTTTGGGAGGTGAGCTTGCAGAAATTTAGATATGATTTGAATACCTGGATGGGTGGCCAGAAATTGGACGATATAATGGTAGCATTAAGATTGCCCAGAGATAACTCAAGTTCTCCTACTTCAGCAACTGCATTTGTTTGAACGCCACGGTCACAAAACCATTGCAAAGACATAATATTAAGTAATAACAATCTCACGTAGAAAACTATGTAAGGAAGCAACATGATTTCCCACAAGGATAAAAAGGAAAAATAAAATTACAGCAATTGCAAGACAAAACCTGGTTGAGGTTGTTTTTTGAGGGTTGCTTTTATATTTGTATTAGTCCTTTTGGAATCAATTAGATCATTGAGCATTATTTCACACCTCTGCATGCTGCTCTCACCGAAATGAATCTGCAAGGAACAAAACAAGAAATGTGATACATCAGAAGTGAGATACTCGATGGTATTTCAAGTTGAACAAACATAATATCTTCGACAATGACCTTGAGAAGTTCCAAAGTACGTATCTCTGAGTCAATGTCATAATCAGATTTATTGAGAAGCTTTTCAGCTAGCATTACACGGTACTCATTCACCAGCTGGTCCTTGGAACCAATTATTCCAACAATCATACCAAGAATATCAACTTTCCTTCGATTTCTACCACCCTTCAAAGGATCTGCCTCTACCGGATCAGGTTCCCAACTTAAAAGACAGACATTACCATAGGCATGTCAAACATTCAAAATTTAAAGGGACAATTCAAACATTCTCTTTTGTATATGAATTTTGCAAAAAGCTTACCTTTGGGCATTAATCCAAGCTTGCTTGTCATCAGTGTTGGCATCATCGTCAAGCCCAGAATTCTCTTGATTTTCTTCATCTCTGTTTAATTCTTCAAGAAGGCTGTCTCCAGCGGTTCCTGGTCCACTAGAATTACCACCAGCCCCATCAGTGAGCATAGTCACTATGCATTTAATGGTGTCCTTCCTTCCCCTCAAGTATTCTCTTATTGGTTCCCCAACAGCTTCAAGGAAAACACCAGCTGGATCTATTGTTCGAAGAGCTTTAATAGTTGAAACATATTGATGCAAGATATCATTGGTGGAGGCACCAGCTGTGAGTAAGCGAAATTTTAAAGCAGCTATGAAAGAATCAACAAGCTTTGCATGCTGCCCGGTATATTCAAGGCACTGCTTCAAGTCTTCAATTGCAGGGGCACTGAAATATTAAGCATTTACCTTTTCAGATGCATAAATAAGTAGATTGCTATTAATATTTTTCTTTAATTTCTTTATAGATGGAGAAAAGTGATGGACACACAAAGCCTAATGGCATGCTCTAAGTTTTCAACTCAAAAATAAGAAAACCATGTGTAGGCTTGGTATGACAAAGTAGTGAATATAAAACAAGTCGAAGTGAAAACAAAAAGAGGGAAATGTAAAAGGAAACTATTGTGGAAAACTTGCATGGTTTGACAAATAAAAAACTTTCACCAAAATCTATTGCACTTTTACAAAGATAATAAATGTGCAAGTCCAGCCACTAATTGGTTACAATACTGCATTTGAGTGCTTAACTTATTTGAACTATCTCATAAATTCGATCTAGCAGTGTGCATAAAGGTAAAAATCTAACCTGTCTGGGTAGTCGACAATAATTTCAAAAAGCTTGGCTATTCTTAGATCTTGCAATGTTTCATAAGCATAATATTCTAGGCGCAGCTTCCAACGAACAAGCTCCTCAGAAGGAATTTCACTTCCATTATATGTAAAAGATGGTTGAGATGCTAAGGGAGATTTCAAACCAGGAGAAGGGCACTCAATGCCATTGGAATCACCTAGGTAAGCAAGAAGTGCGTGTAAAAATTGAAGTGGGACAGCCTGCAAAACATAACTTGCTGTTTTAGAGGTCATAAGTTATCTCCTACTAACATCCTTTCATAACCACACTATTCTTTCAGTAACTTGAACTCCATGAAATTGCATAGTTCAATATCATGTAAAGGTATAGAGATTAAAGGAAGCTCTTTAACCACTAGAACTGAAACAATATCAATATATGTTACCTGTATCCACCCTTTAATGGATTCTAACACTGAGAACCTAAACTCGTCACCAGCCAGCTCATGTACTTTAGCCTGTGAAGGCACAAACTTCAGAGTGATAAAAAGCGCGTGCACACACACACACATCGACTAAATTAAAGCAAATCATATGAAACCTAGTAAATTTCATTGAAATGAAGTCCAAGATAGAAACATATGCTAGCAACAAGGCAAAAGAAAAAAAAATGACATCATGAAAAGAAAACATAAGAAACATGAGCCAATTTATAGATGATGATCTGTAATTTTTTACTGGTGATAGCATATACAACCTTAAGTAACAGAAATATAGCAGATGCATAGGCATCCTCAGCTATTGATGTAAATCCAAGGCTCCTAAGATCACGAACAACCACTCCAATGCTCCTTACTAATTTGTTGTTTCCTAAAATGGTTTTATCATGATGGGTTTCATCAATATCCATTTCCCCTGTTCTGCAATCTAGATCCATTCCATCATCAGAAAGTGGCTTGTTATCATTTTCAAAGCCTCTAGCCATAATTGCACTTAACTCCTCCAACCGCTGCTTGAAGTACCAGTGAAGTACATCTGATAATTTATGGACAGAAATGACATTCAGTTACAAAGTTAGTATTCAAAGTTCAAAGAATACCATCGTATGTAAATCATCCATTTCCTCCATCTAACCGTCCACTGTCATGGTTACGTAACCAGGAATGCAACGTGCAAGACATAGAGTTACACCAATAATCAATATGACCAAACACTATATATAACAATTGATCTGGAAGTATGTTAAAATAATTACAGTTTACACAATGAAAATTTTGGCCTGGAGCAGAAGCATATCCAGATTTACTCTGACAATATCAGCCGAGTACATAGTACAAGGAATAGGTAAATTCATATCAACTTATTATTAGATACATACTATACGGATTTTCTCGGACTCTAAAAAAGGACATAATTGTCAGACAAAGCTACAGGGGCATATATTCAATGGACCTAATATCATGACTAACATGTCCACTAGTGGGTATATAAATCATGGCATTTAGCAGAACTCAACAAGAAAGCATGTGAGACATATGCATGAGGTAAAAAGTACCTGGAAAATGCCTAGGTAGACTGGCCATGAGCACTGAAGATACAGAAAACTGATATTTTGACAATAAATTTCTCTCAGGCTCTAAATACTTCTGCTCCTTATATTTTCTTTCTCTGAACCTCTCTAAAGCATTAACTAACACCAAAAGACATTTCTCCTGGTATTGTTTTTCATATACTATTTCTTCCAACGCTTTGCGTAGTACATCCTGCAACTCACCGAGTTGATCCTGTTTGAAAATCCTTCAGAATCAGAAAGCTGAACACACTGATAAAACCCAATGTGTAAATCATCTACAACAGTTTAAACCTTTAGCAAAAATGGAAGTGTTTTCTGCCTATTTCCACGCATAGCACTTGGAAGTAACTATTAGCATTTGAATTATCATAACCAATATCATTTAAAACATTCGGGAAATCTCTACAGGTGTTGGAACAGCTATAAGTAATGAGCTTGCTGGTTTACTAAAGATCACACCAATGGGAAAGGTAAATGGTAGAATATAACTGAGGCTCTCCTTAGCCTTTTTACACAGCTCATCTATTTTAAGTTAGTCGAGGATTCAAGCCCTTACTTTTTCCACACAACGGATAAGCCAAAAACATTCAGCAGAACATCTTCCATTAGAGATAAAAGATAAGAAGAATCCCTTATATTCTTTTCTATATTCCTTAAAAAAAAAACAAAGTTCCTCTCAACATTTATCCAGCTCATTAGTATCGGACCATATTTGCTAACATCAATTATTTATAGTTTGTATTACGAGCTAGCATCTCCAGTAGCTGATATTCCCGGACCAAGCAATTAACCAGTTTCATCTAAACTTCTACTAGAAACAGAAAAAAATAAAACTGCTTAGACTGAATTGTATAAATTACCAACAGACGAACAAGTCACCTTAATCCACAATTTCTTAATCTGGAGATTTCAACAGTTAAATACTGGCTTCAGTTAATAAATAAGGTTCAATTTTAAGGTATTCGTGCAATTTTGTTTGGCCTGTCCGTCCTTGTTTTTGTCCTCTGATTTTTTGGGGTAATCTAATAAACACATAGGATGAATAAGATAACAAAAAAACTGTGTTAAATCACATATAAACATACTGAATCTTCCATGTCAAGATCTGCAGAATCTTTGTAGACAGCAAAATGCTTCCAAAATCTTGAGGCGGCATTTTTTTCAAATGCTTCCTATGGCAACACAATTACACAGAAACTTAGAATAGATAAAGACATTTTATATTTCAACTTTATAAAAAAAGTGATCTCCCATTAAGGAATGGAACACAATTAAACATAAAGATTTTCCTCTAATTAAAGAGTAAGGATAGATCAATCTTATGCTCCCCCATTTAATTATTCGAAATCTACCTTGTAGGCAAATTATGCTTAATTTAGACAAACTTCTGGCATAAATTAAATGGCAACTTGTACAGACTGTGAGGAAGTTACGATCTTCAGTTTTATTGTCCAATTATTCACATGTTACTGCAGATTTCACTTAGGGTGTATTCTCAAAAAATTTTACCATGTTTTTACTATTCACCAAAATTTTTTCCCCAAAAAATATCAATTAAATACTTACTTTTTGTTTATTATATTATACTAAAAATTAATTTTAAATTCAAAACATCACATCAATACATATTTATATCACAGTCGTACAATCCCAAACCAAAATCCAAATCCCCAAACAAACACACCCTTAGGGTGTTTGCTACAGGAACATGGAGATTTCTCTTGTTTGTTTTGAGTCAGAAAAATCAAAATTAAAAAAAATATATATTTCTCAATTCTCTGTTTCATTTCTCATATACATAGAGAAATCGAGAGAAATGCAAATTCAGACATACAGGGTGTGTTCATATGGTAATTCTTTTTTTTTTTTCTTTTTCTATTCAACTTTATAATTCTTTATAAACATAAATTATTTTATTTTATAAAACATCACATCTAAATTACTATTCAAATAGAAAACCTAAACAAACAAAAAAAATATATAAAAAGTCACCAACTAAACAAACTATATTTCTTCGCGGATCTCCACTCTACTAAAACCTCTCTTATCCAATCATCGTCTCTGCCTTGTCGATTCATTTTCTCTTTTTCACTCCACTAGAATGCAATGTATCATTTTCTCTAGCTTGATTAATCCATATTGCTACATTTATATGTTACATTTTTAGGCAGATTCTATGTTATACTGAACATAATAGTCGATTCTCATTTTCTTTTGAATTCTCAATTCTCTTTCTCTACAATTCTATTCCCTTATCATTTCTCTATCATTCAATTCTCTATACCAAACACACCCTCACAAGTTTCAAAAGTAAATAGAATGACCATGAAACATATCACTGCTAAGTGCTAAAACTATGCATCCGAAGCATCAAGCAGAAAAATATCAACTGTATAAAACATGTTCTTACATTGTTTTATGCTTCCGCGACAATTAATTGACATAATCAGAAATGTTCAGTTCAAATAAATTCAAAACGTTTTCAACGCAAGTACAAACATAAATTTCAACAAGGTAGAAGAAACCTGCACGGAGCAAAGGAAGTGTTCGACAAGTAGCGATTCAAGTCCAAGGCTGCAGAGATTCCGCACGAGCGAAGTGAAATCGGAAGCGAACGACAAATTGCCTTCACCTCCCAGCAGCGCTTCAGTTGCTACACAAAACGCATTCCAACTGTCCGTCATTTCTACAATTGAAGCTTCGTTCAGAGTATCGAGTACCGCCAAATTGCACATCGGCGATGATGATGAACTATTCGCCGCCGCCATTGCCGGAACAAACAAAAAAGGCACAACAAGGCTACGAATTAAAACCCTAGCTCAGACGTCTGATACGTTAAACCACCACTTCCATTAGAAGATTTAACAGCGCAAATTAGACGGAAGAACGCTTGTGGATTGAGCGCTTCTTGCTTCTGCTGCTTCTGAATTTTGCCATATGAAATGGCCGCCATTTTTAGCAGTGTGTAGTTTTTTCAACTGAGGTAGTGCAGACCGCAGAGGTTCTTTGACCCGCATGAATCGAGTAATAGGCCGGGTCAAATACGGGTCGGGTAATTATTTGGGCCCCTGATAAAGTGACTAGGCTATTTACTTCGGCCCAAATGGTCTTATTTTTTTAACATGGGACTTACAACAGTATCCTTCGTGTGCGCTAGGTAAACCTCCGACCAAAGCTAATAGCCTGCAAATTAGGTTCGACAAGACAAGTTACACTAGGGTGTGTTTGTTTGGGGGTTTGGATTTTGAGTTGGGATTTGAACAGTAAAAATTTTGAATTTGAATAGGTATACGATGTGATATAAATAGGTGTTGATGTGATGTTTTAAATGTATAAATTGATTTTTAGTATAATATAAAAAATGAAAAATAGGTGTTTGATTTGATATTTTTTGAGGAAAAAATTGGATGAATAGTGTAAATCCAATCCAATCCCCCAAACAAACACACCCAAACGAACCATGCGTGACAGACAAGACTCGGGGGTATGTAATTTGAATAGTAAAAATTTTAAATTGAAATAATTGTATAATGTGATATAAATATGTATTAATTTTTACTACTGTAATATAAAAAAAATCTAATAAATAGTAAAAACCGGGGGAAATTGGCTAAACGAACACACTCTAGCTAAAAATGATTACACGTACATGTACACGAACATGAGTAATTTGTCCTCGTCGAGGATTTTATTCGTTGTTCTTATAGTATCTTAATATTTAATCAGAAAAAAATAGTAAAATTTCTATTAAAAACTATATCGAAAAAATAGTTTAAAAAAAAAGAGTTTGAAATTAAAACCAAACACACTACGCAGTTATACTACTATACTACCCGTTGTCCTAAATTTTGTTGTAGTAATTTTTTTTACGACCAATTGTGGGTTCTATGGATCCCCGTTGACAATCTTTAGAAAAATGTTTACCATAGCTAATGATTCCAAACAGAAATGGTGACAATAAGACAAATATGGTTCTATCATTTTATGTACTGTCAATTTTACCAATATTTAAAGTATATCAATCGTTTTATGTACTATTAATTTTACTACATTTAGGGCGTGTTTGTTTGGGGGATTGAATTTTAAATTTACTATTCATCCAATTTTTTTCCTTCAAAATATTAAATCAAACACCTATTTTTTATTTTTTATATTATACTAAAAATCAATTTTACATTCAAAACATCGCATCAACACCTATTTATATCGTATTATACAACTATTCAAATTTAAAATTTTTACTGTTAAAAATCCCAATCCAAAATCCAAACTTTCAAATAAACACAAAGTATATCAAAATTTTCAGTATTGTATAAATTGATACCAAAAGTTTTGTATATGAAATACGTTATGATTAAACATATAGAGGGAAAAAATTAGTATATATATATATATCATATTTTTCTTATTAAATACTAATTGATTTTACTAATATTTTTGGTACGATATGATCTCTATATAAAAAAAATAAAAATGATGCATTAATAAGGATTTATAGATATCGAAAATATCAATATAATTTACAATCATACAAATGTTTTAGATAACATATATTGATATATATATATATATATATTTATTTATAGATAATATACAATCATATTTTTAAAAAAAATTAGTACAATATACAATGTATTTTAGTATCAATATGAAGAAAATTATATACAAAAAATATCAGTATATCATGTTTATCGTACTAAAAGATATTGATTTTACCAATATTTTTGGTACGATATGGTCTTGTATAAAAAAAATTGACCTATTGATATAAATTTATAAATATCGAAAATATCAATATGATATACAATCATACCAATTTTTCGGTACAATATTTATTTATATTTATAGATACTATACAATCATACCAAAATTTTCAGTACATCATAATGAATTTATAGATACTTTTTTTTTTTTGGTACAATATACAATATATTTTAGTATTTTCAGTATATTGTACTGATCTATCCTTAAATTTGATGACCATTATAGTCGTTGCCGCCCTATCATTTAGGCTTCAATCCGTCGTGGCCTTTTCATCAAGTCATCAAATTTTTATTTATTTATTTTTTTAAGACATGAAACATATTTTTACGACATTACGGAGACCTGTGTTTTTTGGACCACATCGACCTGCACTTCTCGCTCGTTTCAATTACTACGACTATGGATTCATTACAACCTTAAATCGAGAGTGGTCCAATTGCGCTGACATTTATATTGCACAAGCTAAAGGGCGTACGATTCGCGAGCAACGGCTTTCTTCGAGGAGTTATTAATGAAGAAACTTAAGCCTTCTAATTTTTCTGCTATTGCATCATCGTACTCTCTTGCCTAGGTTGAGTTGAAAGGCCTTTACTCATTCTGTCTATGTCTGAAAAATTGTAAAGATACTCTTAACTTGACATTACATATGAACCCACAAGCAATAAATTATCGAACATGGTCTGTATCTTTCGAGTAATACGTGGAGACAAGGCGCGTGATTTAAATACTGTTCGATTGTTGTGTATTTACTTCTTGGCGTAGTATTTTCGAGTTTGAGGTTGAATTTTAAATCGGTAAATTTAAATTACTTCGAGTTTGAAGTTGGTTGAAAAATTCGCCAAGAAAATGGTTTAAATCTTGAATAATTTCTAGTCTTAATATATTTTTAGGTTAAATAGTTGTTGGATATAATAATTTATATGAAAACTGGATATTGAAAATTGAAAAATTGCTCACTAAGACATTTAAAAACAAAAATTAAAAATAAAGGTTTAGATTGGGTGTCGAATGCCAGAAATTTAATTATCTTAGTTAATTTATTATATATTTTAATTAAAAAAAACTATAATTTTTTTTTTGAAGACATATATAGTTTGATCCAAAGCAAAAATGAAAACAATAAATACATAGAACTTTATCAAATCATTGATTTAAATATTTAAAAAAATCATATTCAATATTAATTTTCATGCAAAATACAAAAAATCAAACAACTTTTTATCTCAAATTATATAAGTGTTTTGAAATTTTGAGTTAGGTCCAAAAATAATAAAAAGTGGATTTCTAATGTAATGTTTTAAATAAAAAATATGTGTTGATTGCAACTATTTTTTTTTTTTTTCTTTTGAAAGATTTTATTTTATTTTATTTTTGTTTTGAATAATGCGAAGAAAACAAGTTTACAAACATTAGTAAATTGTGCAACAAAAGATTATGAGTTGTCGCTGGTTATGGGACAAGGGTTTGTTTCGTCTAATCAAAGACACACGTTATAAATTAATGTCTTACAAAAAAAATCCCGAAAAATAAAGAATGCATGATGTCGATTCATCTGTAGAGCGTGATAGCAACGGATGTACATACAAATAAAAATAGGATTCATTTCCTATCTACTCCCTCCGTATATTTTCAAATGGGTCATTTGGAGTTTTGTAGTAGATTAATAAATAATAGTATTTTATTGATCAGTGAAAATGTATTAAGTTTTTGACATTTTATGTACAAAGTAATTATATGTGTAATGATATATTTGTAATTTAAATAAAAATTAATGATATTTTGGTATTAGTGTATGATTATTTTTACTAAAAATAAAAATGAGTACTTTGAAGTGTGACATACGAAAATGGTAAAAAAAATACTTTGAATATATATATATTTGTATGTATATATCTTAATTTGATTGTGGGCTCTAGAAATGGAAGTAGGTGAAATGTAATGGCTATGGTAACACTAACCTCCATTAAAGGCCTCCTTATAATTTGCAGCTGGAAGATACATTTTAATTGTCCTCTTATTTCTTGGTAAGAAGAATGGACAATTCAAATTCATGTTTTAGTTTTCGATCACTTTATTTGGACCATTCATTGTGTTTGTGTTTGTGTTTTATGTCTTTCGATGGTCATTTGGCAGTGTGATTTTGTTTTTGCCGTTTGGCGCGAGGTGTTTGTTTGTGTATGCGATATTTCAGATAGAAAATAGACGTTGAATGTGATATTTTTTTTAGAAAAAAAAAAAAAAATTATATTACTCCCTCCGTCCCAGATACCATGTTCACGTTGCCGTTTCTGTCCGTCCGACGTACCATGTCACTTTCCTTTTTTGGAAAATGATTACACACTTTAATATCATTTAAATTTTTAAATTTTTTTTAATTTTAATTAAACTAATTAGTTATCTTAATCTTAATTTATAATTATTTATATTATAGGATATTATTTTCACTAATACATTCTTAATTATCTACTAATTACACCTCTCTTAAAATACTAATTATACCCCTCTTAAAATACCGTGTCTAAATATAGCAGACACTGTATCTGGTACGAAGGGAGTATATTATATTTTTTTAGGCCGTCCGTATAATGTATTGGATCGCATGGTAGGTTTTAACCTACATATCTATAAATATTTTATCTATATCATTTGTAATTGAACACTTAAAATACTATTGAAAATATCTGGTTTGATCGTCCCAGATCAAATTTTCGCATTCTTGTGTGTGTGTGAGTGTTTTTTTATTTATTATTATTATTATTATTATTTTAAATTTACTAATTTTCTCAACAAATTATTTAATAGTAACATAAAACTTCCAACTACACGTCGTGACTTACAACAAAAACACCCTTTACTCTCATTTAATGCTATTTTTGTATGGATGTCACGTCGCCTTACGTACGTGCAATGCATTATATCAATGTTATCGACAACAATTCAAATAAATGACAGAAGGGAAAAGAAATATTATAAATACATTAATGTTCAATAATCAAGATAAGAATGATTTAATATAAGCCAAATTTAAGTATGAGAATTATTAGCAGTGATTCAATCAAATTATGAAGGAGACAAAATATTACAAATATAAAAATGTTTAATAATCATGATAAGAAAGATTTATAAGCCAAACTTAAATGTGAGGTTGTTTAGTTTACTTTTTTTTTTTTTTTTTTTTAAATATAAAGTTTAAAAACAAATATTC